TGCGAAACATTCGTTTGAAAAGGTGGAACACGATTTACAATGGTGCGATTTTTAGGCTTTGTCTGTTTGCATAGTCTGGAGTTATCCTGAAGTACAGCGGTAAAACATACAAAAAAAAAAAGAAACCGCCTGTAAAAATTACATAACACCAACTGAATGATTTCCAATAGACTAACCAATAGAAACATTCATTGAGTATTTTTAAAAGAACTTATTTTCCCCCCAAAGAAACAGTTTTATTTTTCTTAACTTTTGTATATTGTTAATTTTTAGCTAACGTACTAAGTCAATGAGGAAAGGCAGGGAGTATTGAAGGATTAAACTAAAGGGGAACTGGGCCATAGCATCCGGGCAATAATCACAAGACTATCTGTTGACTTTCATAATCTTTGCCCTAGAGCCATGAGTTTTGATGGAAATTTACTTATTGCAATCAGTATGAGACGTCGCATTTTTTTCCAGTTCGTCGTTTTTGTCTCCAGACCTTATACAATCAACAAACATGACCCTCCTTTCCCCTTCCTCCAGCTCTCTTAGTCTATTCAGGTTGTCGCAGATTACTATACTAGCAAAACATCTGAGTGGATAACTGACGTTTGGCTGAGTTCTCCTACACCTATCTGTTTGTTTCCCATTTCAAGTTCTCTGTCCTTGTTTTCAATCCAACTTTTATTCCCTTCTCAGACTCTGCAAATCCAATTATAGGTTAATTCAGTAAAATATCGAATGCCACTGAAAGACTAGGCGCGTCGAAAAGGAGTAATTAGTGGAACAACAGAAAAGAGAAGCGCATAGAAAAAAGTTTCTAAAAAGATGTTGTATTGACCATATAGTTTAGAATAGTCCAAGTAATGGCAAATTTAGTTGAGTATTTAATTTACTTTTTCAAGAATTGCTTTAAACTACTAGCAAATCATTAAATTGCTTAGATCTCTTACATTACCCAGATTCTGTTTTATTCCATCGACCTTGCAATTCTCCATGTCCATCGCAGTTTTTATTTCCATCAATCAGTTCTGCCGGTAAATAAATACATCGACTAATTACTTCAAAAGAAAACTTCACCTTCGTCGAATAAGCTCTCTAATGTAACGTTAATTTGTCGTTAGAGTCTCAATAGCCATGACGTTAAATGATGTAAGGTTTAGGGTTTACTAAATCGGTGATCTCCAGAGTTCGATTTTTAGTGTCATTCATGGTCTCACAAAATATCTCAACAGACTTGTAACAATCGATTGATGAACAGCGACACACTAAAGTTCTATGCAGTTTTCCGTTCAGGTCTATTGTCGAAACGTAAGCAAAAACGTACGTTACAACATAGTTTGACAAGTCACAAGTCACAAGCTGAAAACTCCTTGTTCGATTCTATCCTCATCTTTTTCCGCTCTTGAGTCATTCGATTTCCGGCAGATTTAATTTTTATTCTATGCCTGACGCTTCCTCAGGAGAAAAGAAAAGAATATGAAAAAAATACATGCTAACCTTCCTTTAGATAGGTACTCGTAATAAATTAAAATACAAGTTTTTTTCGGTCCCGAAGTGAAAAATCATAGCGGACAATTCCTTAATATATGATCGCCCGGCGATAAAAGTTTAGGGCATACCATAATGAGAAGTATGCCTTTTTTCGTTTACCCATTTTCGAGACCTAAAAAGACATCGAAATTAGGGGAGTATTTGATTGGCTAAACCGTCGCTACAACAGGTAGGTTGGATGGATTAAGTTTTTCTTTAACACCATAGATTTGTGATCAACAGAAACAAGTGATTGATCCATCAAACCCAAAGCGCTGTAGGCAAAGAGATTAAATCAGCAGTTCGTTTAATCCAGGTTTAACCCTTTTATTCCCATGAGTGACCGAGACAGAATTTCTTCTTACAATAATGATACAATATCAAGCAGACAATTGATGAGAACAAATCAAAATGGGGATTTTTAGTTGTTCCAAATACCAAATTCTCCAAACTAATATCATGAGAATTGAATGGAAGACAGTAGGGAGAATTATTAATGAGATCTTAGGAGTGAAATGGCTAGGCGTTCAAAGTAGATCAGGTGCCGGCAAAAGTGCAGCTACTCAATCCCTAATAAAAAACTGAATTACTAACCGTGTTGAACGTTGTCCAGTTTCTCTTTCCTTCCTCGAATTTCTTATTTTGAGATGGGCTCATTCTAAGCTTGACCATGGGTGTGCTGAAGAGAGAACAAAAATAGAAGATATAATTTAAATCAATTTCGAATACGAGTATACTTCTCTTTGATTATGTGCAGGTATTTCAGTTTATTGTGAATAATTTGACAGATTTCTCTGACAGTTCACCGGTACTAATTTAAACTATTCATATTTCTAGGTGGGGAAAAGAATTTTGGGGTTTAATTCTCTCGCCCAAGTACATAACAAAGTGGCCCAGTCGGGGTTTAAACGGCTTCGATCCGACTTCGAACATGCGCAAGATATCAAGTGTTATACTAAACTTGAGATAAAACAGGAACTTTTTACATTCGCAGCACAATTTTGAAAGAAGGGGACTCAAGTCCTCTGGTTTCCTAAAAAGATTTTACGTCAAAACGTTTTCACAATCACCCGTCTGGCTCTGCGGCGGTGGTTGGGCGTCAGGGAAGCAGCGAGAGTGTTTACAACAAATCTAATTTTGATATAGTGAACGCATAAGTGACTGCATGAAGAATAAGAACGAGTATAGAAATAAAAATCGATAATAACTGCACATGTCATCAATAAACTAACTTCAAAGTAAACATTTCTCACAATTGCTCCAAAAAATCGCATTTTCAATAAGGACTGTCATGGCAGCTGTAGTTAGGAAGTCGTCTTATTCTGTACCGTGTATGATATGCTTTTCTGTAATTTAAAATTAATAGTATCGAAGCCAACGGCGAGACACTACCTTTTTTTAAATATGTATTTACTCTTAAGTTATGTACCCCAGGAAAATTCGAGACAAAATGACTTCCATCAACCCTCAACGTCGAATTTGAGCCACACTACTCAGCAACTTCGAACGAAGAAACGCACGCTGAGCTCGACAGAACGGACCATACTGTATCTGAGGTTATAAAGTGGAAGTGATGTGTTTTGTGGCCCCAGAAAAGCTGCAAAAGATGCTGAACTTCTTTTACTCTTTCCACGTGGAAGACTGATCGCAAATATGGATATAAGCTTTTGAAAATTATTTGTAATTCAAATGAGTTTACCGACTTTGAAAGGCGAACCGAAAAGTGTCGAATAGCCCTTCGGTTACTGCCGTTCAATAATAAAACGAAATGGGATGGCCTGATGACGGCTCATTTCGAACTTGGTAAATGTCGAAAAATGTAAATATCGCCGTGGAAGCACTAGGTAAAACTCAAATGAAATAAAAGCTTGAAAAAAAAATACGAAACGAATAAATTAAAAATATTCATTCATTATTCAAGGGACTAATTTTTAAAACTTGCCAGAGTTGCCATGTTGTATACCTCTATCAAACAAGCAGAAAACGGACTTTTTTTAAAATTTTTGAAAGTGAAGTTATAAATATGTTTGTTCGTCGCAGTCGGAGCGAGTGAAGAAGGGCTAACTCTGGAAACGTCAGCCTAGACACTCTTCACGGTGGCCAATTTACGTTATCAACCCAGTTGATAAAACCGAATTATCTTGATATTCTCCCCCTAGTGACGCAGCACCGCAGTTCCTCTAGAAACGTATCCCCTTCATTCATATGTTTGGAATAGTAGTATTATTGTCCATTAGTCGTGTTGATCATAGATTAAGAATGAGGAAAAAGAAAATCGTTCAACTTATAGCAAATGAAAAGAGATGTCGAGAAGAAGATGTAAAAAGTTAAGCTAGTTTTTTACTTATATATTTATGTATTTACTGATTGCAATATTTTTACATCATTCTCAAGCAGTGCTATTCAAACTTAGAACTATCGTGATAGAGGTGGAATTTTACGACGTGGATTTACGGAGTTCACCAGTGAAACCTCTCGTAAATATTTTGAAATGACTGATCACGTCGTTTTAGACTGTTCACTTCTCAAAAAGTTCCCTGCATCAAAAACTGTTCCTTGCCAGTTTTAAAGCCTTAAAAATCCATTTCAAATCCCTTGTCTGGCAAAACAATTGATCTTGACAAGGACGCCCCTTGACTTAGGAACGTGCAATTATTTATGGGTTTACATGCCCTTTAAGCGCTGAAACTTGAACATCTTGAATTTATCTTAGAAAAGTCCGTTGGCACGAACATATCATTTGTTGGATGATAAATTCCAGAAGGCTAACATCATACCAGTTCTTTATAAAGCGATTAGATAGCATAGTTTAAAAAGGAAAATACAAAACGTATCATCCAAAGCGTAACATAGGTCTTTGCCGACGGTAAAGACGTAGGGTATGCCTACATTATGTAGCATTATTATTCTCCCGACATTGACAATTCCGTTTATAATGAAGAACTTTAAATAGACTCTTTGATGTTTCTACAAACAAAGAATTGAGTTCCTGTTCAGGCGACGCCTATAGATACTATCATTTACATCCTGTTTGGCAACGTAGCCAAAAGCCATATCCAATCAAAGACTACATGTAAGGAGTTTTAAGTTTATTAGAGTTTTTTCTTAGAGTTTGAAAGCTCTAAAATCAAATTATCGATAAAATTTTTCCATGCAAAAGAAGCTAGGCGTTTCAGAGGTAGGTAACTGAGTTCGTTGAAGCAATCATCTGGATTGGTTTAACCTCGATAGAAGGGATAGTCAAAATTCTTTACTTTCTTCCTTTGGTTAACTGTAGTTTATTATATTAATGAAGATATAGTTGTCACGTATAATCCACTGTCTGTCATTTGTAAAATGATCGAGTGGGAACTTGTAAAGATAATGCATCCTTACATGCTCTGTTTTTCCTCAGGAGTAATCTAGATCATTGTGATTAATTTCCGGCCACGCGCCAAGACTTCAAAGAGCTTTGATTACACTGAGGTTAAAAACCAAGTGAAGCTCAAGAACATCCAGGTCCTCTTTCAAACACTGATTGTCTTCTACTTTGCCCAGTGTCCTTGCCGGTATGGGTTACTTCTCTTCATTTGATCGATAATATTTTGATGTTTTTATCTTAAACTAACTTAGCTGAAGCTGAAGCTGTCAACGTTATCGGAGTTTCCTTGAACAGTTTTGGCCATGATTTCGAAACGATTTGATTTTTTTGACTTTCTAGTGAGTTTGAATTTCAAGTTTTTTCCATTAGTCCACTAAATCTACCTTGAAATAGGGCGGTCATCCATCGCTTTATTCTTCGATCAGATTTTTAAGTCATTTAGTAAGGTTTACAATTTTTTTTAAGAATCAGTTTTAATGAGAACATGTATAGGGAAAAAGAAAGATGGAATGAAGGATCTGCTATAAGTTCGTTAGGTTTTGAGTTTCAGATAATTTATTAAGAATGCTTTTTCTCTGACTCGCGTTAATCCATGTACTGTGTGCAAATGGTTGTAAGGGGAAGTGTGATCGCGCACGAAGCTATTTTACAACCTTGGTCGTTTTTAATTCATGCTGATAATTTTTATTCTGCGGTTCAACGTTGCGTAGCCACCGGAATCTTTTGCATCTTTAATTTTCGCACAACTGAACTCCGTCAGCGACGCGGTTTTTTCACCTCTTAACCTCAAAATTGAACGAAATCGCTTCAGAATTAATTATCAGTATTGTTTACTTGCAAGCATGCAACAGATGGGCGGTCCATTCTAGAACAGGAACGGTCCGTTTCATCCAGTGGACGGTCGATAAGGAGTCTCTTGAGCGGACGACTGAACGGATCCGAAGAGAATTTGAGGATAGAAATAACCCTGACTGCCTACCTAAAATACTGACCCGAAAAATTTCAAACACATGAAATCATTCAAAAAAACCTCGGAAATCCGGTTTTTAGAGTGATAAACATATTTAGAACCCACGTAATCTCTTAAGCCTCTGATCGTGTGTAGGAACATCTTGTGGCCGGTAACAAAGCCCTATTTGCCCAACCCTTCGGAAGATAAGTTCGACGAGAGGAAATCAAGAATAGCGAGTATTCTCGCGCAACGATTGAAGATTCGATCAAATGTCTATTTCATATTTCTTTAGTAGCAATTGACATAGAGTCATTAGCGCAGCAAAGTAATTTTCGCCAATGTTGGAAAATGACGAAGAAATTAGAACCAAAATTTCGCAATTTACGTGACAGATTGCGAGATAATCTGATGCGTATAGGAAGTCAAGAGCTTTAGGCATCGTTTGAAACTCCTTAATTATAACAATCATTAGCTAGTAAAAGGAAAAAGTTGATTCCGACTTGGTAAAAGCTATTAGAGTTTTTTCTCTCGTTTTGTTTTACCATACTCACATTTACTCGCAGCTTTAACACTCAAATTTCAGATCCAACATTTAAAACTATGCAAGTCCTTTGTATTGTTCAGTTACTATTGCTGCTATCCTGGAGCAGTCCAACGATAGGTCAATGCGGAAATGAAGACTGGACAAGCACATTTGCAATAGCTGGTGACTCTACTTCTCAATGCACCAGTAGTGTCTCCTATGTCAATGGACTGAGAAGCGAGGGTTATGGTGCCCTGTTAGAAACTGGACCTGGTGTTGTTAAGGCAGCTAAATGCTGCTCTGTTGACCAGCCGTACTCTCAGGAGAGTAACGATTGTTATCAGGCCCAGTGGTGGACTGATTTGCAGCGGTATGTAAGAGTGTTAACATTTTTAATGATAAATTCCTCATTCAAGCAGCGACATGGTGATAATCGGATAGAGAAAATAATAGTTTTTCTAACTGGGCGGATCTTCGATGCTCTACTCTCAAACTCAAAGAAATTCGCGCCTATTAGATCGTAGGCTTAGTTGATGCGAAACTACCCACAACACAGCTTTTTTATCTATTCATATGCCGACGTTTTTCGAGGAGATAATTGGGTAATTGATAATTGGATAAAGAAATATCCGGATTTTTCCATTGATAAATGAGTGGGTTCTCTACCCTCAACTACAATAAATTCACGACTGCCAGATCTTAGGCTTGGTTTATGCGAAGTTTCCCAAAAAACAACTTTTTCTCAACTTAAATGTACATTATTGTAGGAAGTTAACGATGCATGGTGACCACGCGAATAAGATTTACGTTACACAAAATTAACACGAATTTTCCACAAGTTAGGTCTAAGTACATAAAATTAACGCGAATTCCTCCGGCGAAAACAATGTGTACCCAAGATCGAGGATATCTCGTGTATCGTACAAGCTGAAAGCCTTTCATGAAGCAAAACTCACGTCTGAACATGAAACAGATAATGAACATGATCGGTTTGTAGTCGCTGGACAAACAATTCTTCCGGGGACGCTATTTCTTTCCACTAAGTCAAACTAAGTGTTTTCCCATCATGATAGAACTGAGCCGATATATCCGGTTGTTGAAATAAACGTGCTGTAAAACAATAATGATGTACCATAGTTTAATTAACATTGCGATGTAATTGATTAGCACGGTTTTTTAAAAATAGCGTTGATAAAGTGCAACATTAATTTCCTATAATAAGGTATAAAATTCTATAAGGAAGTACTACAAGACCAGTTTAGTTTAATTATACGCGATCGCTTTTTAAAGTGATTCAACAACAATTACTCATTGCCTGGTTGTAATAACTCGACATTATTTTTCCCGAGCTACATAAAAATTAATTATCAAATCCATCGAAAAAAATGCCACGAAATTAATGTCATTGATTTCAGTGTTTTTTCAATTTTTTTCAATTTCCCTTCTTTATGGGTAATTCAAGTTAGCTTCTCCGCAGAATATGTCCGAGATGTTTGCGCAGTCGTATCAGATCTCAGTCGTACGCTTCTCTTCCTCCCATCCCCCTCAAAAAAGTTATACAGAAATTTAAACGATTATGGAAAATATGCGATTTAATTTAATTCCATTTAGGTATTCTTTTAATTTATTTTTCAAAATTTTCCAATTAGCCATAATTCGTGGGCATTGTGCGAGAGGCCGGGATACCATCTACGCGGGTTTTTCACCGTTGGGAGAAATTTCTTGGCTGACATTGGCGAGGGTGTTTGCTGTAAACCCGAGAGTCACCCAGATCAAGATGGACCATATAGCGATATCAATGTTAATTTCACAACAGATGGGATGAAGCAGTGTCCAAATGGCATGTTCCTTAAGGGATTGTACAAAACAACATGTTCCACGATAGACTGTCTAACGAAGATCAGATGCTCCGAATTGATTCCAGGTTGGCTTGTTATGCATTTTTGGAGCGGTGTCCACTTTTTCTCAGTAATCTTTCACTTTTATGAACTCTTTTTGACTCTGACAGTGACTAGTATCCAATTTCTCCTTACAATATCAGCCTTAAATCACACATTGAGCTCACGAGAATAATAGAAATGGTGACCAACTAGAAAAGCTCTTGATTGTTTAACAAATTCTCCTTGTCAGTACCCCGGGAAATGTATGGAGAATAGTAAGGATAATATGGATACTGACCTAAGGAAGACTCTAAGATTAAAAGTAACCACTTTCTCGCACCATTTGAAGGATCTTTTCTGCTAAGAACCGTTCCCCTGATTGGTTCTACTTTTTTCCTTTATCATGTGTACAAGGATATTGCTATTTGCACGTTGGTATTCTCGTTATTAGCACTATATTTGTTTATTTCTGTTTAATATATCGGCAATGCGACTGCTCTTTTTCCACGAAGAAGCCTTTTTCTTTTTATCCGTGCTCTTTCTTTTCTTTTTCTTACTGATTTTTCTCTCACACAGGAATCGTTCACGGTGGCTGGTCAAACTGGGGAGACTGGAGTCCCTGCCCTGTGACTTGCGGTGGCGGCACTCAGATGAGATTCCGCTCGTGTACAAACCCGCCGCCATCAAATGGAGGAAGTAATTGTGTTGGAGATCCGGTGGAACTACAAGGATGTAACCTGAACCCATGCTGTATGTTCGACAACTATTTTGCATATAATGTTGCAAAAATATAAAACGGCGGCTGGCTTACTTAGCAGCCGTAAGCAGGGAGACAGATGGATGACATTAACTACAACGTTTACGATTCCCTTCACCCATTTTCCCAACTTTTCTAAGCAAATGGGCCAATCAGAGCATGGCTTACTCGTATCATGCTATTTCATACAGAAAGAATAATGACAAATGGTAAATTTTGAGTAAAATCGATGAATTATACGGCATCTTCTTGAGGTAACGATCGAACTCAACGTCCTTGATCTGAAAGATGTCGGGATATGGGGGAGGGGGGCACATCTTCATTCAGCCAAGCGTATACCGCCGTTCTTTGCGTTGTTTAGAGGCTCAAGCAAAACAAACTTTACAGTCTTTTTTTATAAACGTTTTGTGACAAATTAGAGTCTTTAGCATATAACTTCTCTAAAAGCTGATTATTTGCCAAGCCAATTTTGTTGCTTTTGAGATACAAAGATAAACAGCAATCAAGGACGATAAATTTCGGCAAGGTGGGTACTCAAAAACGAAATTCAGTTTGCTGATAAATATTGCTCCCAGTACTCAAACGTTGTTCATTGTAGAGGAGATATATGCCACTAAACGCTTACCATTTTCAAAGGCTTAAAACGTATAATTCATAATTTGTAAATCTCTACCGTGACATGTGGCACAACTTTACGCAGTGCAGTTAAACCCCGAAATTAGCACAAGTTGCTAATCAATTTTAATAGAGCTTGACACTCATGTGTTTTTCTTCTTTTTTACGCCCTACAGAGACAGATCGCATGCGCCTGATGAAGCCACAAGAAAGATGACAACTGAAAATAATGCTGCACTTAAAATCATGTCACAGTATCGCTGTTAAAAAAAAATTTTAATGCAATAAAAATGATTTGAAGATTTTAGAAATTGTTAAAGATTGATTTTTCTCATTTAGAAAGAAAGTTCTACCATGGATATCTCTCAAGGAAGAAGAGTAAAAAATATTTCAGACTCATGTTCAACTCACGCTGTGAGACTATTTGTCAATCACAACCTTCCTTTGTTCGCACTTTTAAAAAAACTAATTGAAAGAACAAATTAATTGCAATACCGATAAAATTGATTCTATTACAAAGCCGAGAGAATTTTCCTTACCTTGAATAAAGCTTTTTCTATGTATCCATCTATTGCTGAATTATGAACATTATGAAGCAGCGCACCCTACAGAAGTGTAAACTTTAGAACAGAATAATGCTTGGTTCTTACAACTAAAAGTCGAATTTATTTGCTCTACAATAACATCAACCGGCATGGAGTTGTTGATGCATTATTGCAAACGTGTTTTGCATAGCCTTCGCATCATGTTGCGGACCTCGTGAGGTATTCTTTTAGGGCTTAAAGGCCATATTCCTGAATTGCAATCGGATGGCTTCCTTTGAATTTTTTGTTTTTGCTGTTAGATTTTCGAGAGATCGTGATTAATAAAGACATGAAAGAAATTGGTAAAGTGTGGCACTGAATCTCAGTGCTCGATGCACAAAACCGTCCGTCAGCATGCACCTCACCACATATTGGGATTGCAACACATCCAAAATATTTTAATTTACATGCAAACGAGCAACAAGGATTTGGAATAGTCTAACCGAGGACTTGAATCAAACTAGGAATAGTCTTACCACAGAGAGCAATGCGGAACTTTGATGTTACGTACAATGTTCAGCTAACTTTCATTTCATAGACAACTGAAGGACGTTCAATCTATTTTTCTCAAATGCAAGTCATTAATATATAATATATCTATCAACTTACTGCTCTCATTCTATTTTATTGCTTCAACATCAAACAAGCTGGAACTTGTGGCCGTACTAATGTAACTTCCACTGTCATCTCTTCTTGCTTTTGTATTTTCGTAGCCGATTTTGGATTTTGGACGCTAGTGGCCGATTTTCGATTTGAACACTAGTGGCTGATTCTGAGTTTTAGACACTAGTAGCCGATTTTAAACTTTGAACATTAGTGACCGATTTATGAATTTTAGACACTAGTGACCGATTTATGAATTTTAGACACTGGTGACCGATTTATGAATTTTAGACACTAGTGACCGATTTATGAATTTTAGACACTAGTGACCGATTTTAGATTTTAGACACTAGTGGCCGATTTTATTTTTCAGACACTGGTGCCTGATTTTTTATTTTGGACGCTAGTGGCCGATTTTGTATTTTGGACGCTAGCGGCCGAGTTTATATTTTGGACACAAGTGGCCGATTTTGCATTTTGGACGCTGGTGACCGATTGTGCATTTTGGACACCAGTGGTTGATTTTGTATTTTGGACAGTAGTGGCTGATTTTGTATTTTGGAGACAAGTGGCCGATTTTGCATTTTGGACGCTAGTGATCGATTTTGTATTTTGGACAGTAGTGGCTGATTTTGGATTTTGGATTTTGGACAGTAGTGGGCGATTTTGCATTTTGGATGCTAGTGACCGATTTTGCATTTTGAACACCAGTGGCTGATTTTGGACACTAGTGGCCGATTTTGGATTTTGGACAAAAAGTGACCGATTTCCGATTTTGAACACGACTGGCCAACTTTTTATTTTGGACATTAGTGGCCGATTTTGTAGTTTGGACACCAGTGGCCGATTTTGAATTTTGGACGCTAGTGTCCGATTTTGGACATTTTGCATGGCATTTTAAATTGCAACACTACCTTTTACTATCATTTTACAACCTTTATACCTTTATATCAGTAGCCAGATGCAGTCTCAGACTGCCTAGTTTTTGTAGTATACAACCTGAGATTAAAAATATTATTGTGTTAAGTAATGAAGGTTGCCATCAACATCCTGGTACTTCTAATACATAATTGGATATGCAAAAGAGTAGCCCCTAAGTAAACTCAAAGCGTTGCCAGTATCACTATCGCAGAGGTCTGAGCGGACAGCAGAGAGAATATATCATAGAAATACGCCTCTCACAGCGGAAAAAGACTATGTCGTGAGAAGAGGGTTAGTGTTTTCACCACTATAAATCATGGGGATATTTTGCCATCAAGAAACGGAACTAGCGAGCCAATGACAATAGATCTAAAGAGGGCACTAATAAAGTGAAAAATAAAATTGATTGCTTAGGTTTTGATTGACCAGGGATTTTAAGTATTGCCACCTTTTTGTCTTTTATTGTATGTATCTTTTAGTATTTAGTTGTTGCTGTCATCTAATTTTTAGTTCATTTTTTAGTACAAAATTAGACAATGGGTCACCTGAAAACCAGTTGATTTTGCTAAGCGAAAACTCCACGTTGAATTAAGTATCGTATCGTGTCGTATCGTTAATATTGCCAGGCAGCACACTCTTGTAAAAACTTCATAACAGAAATATTTCGAATACTTGCACTGTAGTATTGCACTTTTCAATACTTTAAGCTACAGGTACTATCTGTCGTTGAACATGCTTTATTGATTATGCTATTTACATTGCCGTAAATCAAACGACCGACTTGGCGTGATGTTTCGGAGGGTTCGAAAAGTCATTTTTAGAGCTTTAAAGAAACACAATATACAAAGTTGCATATGGTGGAATTTTAAAGATGATTTCAAAACAGGGTGACGTCGTAACAAGTTAGAATTTCGAGATGGGGTGTTCCATTCGACGGTAACAAAATGTTAATTGTACTCTTTTTTACAGCAAGTCAGTCTCTCCAGAGGCTGAATACTTCGCTTAATACAGGTAAATTGTCCCTGTTAACATCATGTCTGCGAAATAGTTAAAAAGGTATTTTGCAAATCCATTGCAAAGGAGTCGTGATCTTAACTTTTGCCAAATGTCTGTGAGAAGCATGAATGTCATCCTTTTTCTACATGTTTTTTTTTCTTCCAACTCCTCTCATTCAGTCCCAGTACTTGATAAGTCCATCCCAGCCACAGGTTACCACCTTTGACGTCTCGTGAGGATGCCACAGGCAAGCGATGCAAACTGCATCGTGTGCTTTGAACTTGCTGTAAGTCAAAAACAACAAAATTTAACAAAGAATGTGGCACTATTTGGTAAATAAGACAAAAACAATGAGTTATTGCGACAAGGTTAATCATTTTCCCTAGTTTCCCTTACACTCATTGAGAAGTGTGTCGACAAATCCAGTTTTGAAGTCTCTCATAGCAGATTACAGCACTTAAGGATACGTTTGACCTTCGAGGGCAAATTTAATTGAATTTTCTTTTTCATGTCAAACTAAGCATTATTATTTTAACTATAGTTTCCAACAAAAATTTTGGAAAAATATTCAAACGCGCGCGAGTTATTTACAGAAACCTATTTTCGATCTGAGTTATTTAGCCCACCAAAATGTGAATAGCCAATAATAACATGTCAACATAAATGACCCCGAAGAGTTTCTAGAGGCAAAACACCCTACTCCTTGTATTCCAATCGCGTAAACATCTCCTGATTTCGGTTGCACGCTCATGGAGATCATTTCTATCCATGTTAAGTCAATGTCACTTCTCTGTATCACTTTAAGGCCATACACTAACATTAGAGAAATGCCTAGTCCATGATTGATACACTTAAGTGTAATTGTAAGCCACGAGTTACCAAAAACACCCTTCACTTCTGCCAAGTCAAAAATGACCACAGTAGCCTTAATGTTTGTAGGTGTAGCGAGGACGATTTGAATAAAAGTAAGCAACAACTCCTTCACAATAATAATTTCTAACAATGTTAATACTTATATAGCGCCTTATAAATGTGAGTATGATCAAATACGTTTTAAAATAACTGAAATAAATATGTAAACCTAACAATTAACAATAATTAAAAAAAAATTTTGTATGCAGATCTTGCGACTATCGACATTACTAATATCTGTATATAATCTAATACCTTTCCTATAAAAACTTACAATAAAATACTTTAAGAGTCAAAATACAGATATTATTATAAATGATACAACTTATAGTCAGACGTATAAATGCATAAATTTGTTGTATGTAGATCTTACGATCATCTACATTACTAATATTTCTATATAATCTAATACCTGTCCTATAAAAACTTATAAAATACTTTAAGAAGCAAAATATAGATAATATTATCTGTGATACGATTTATAGTCAAATGTTGAAAGGAATAGACAATTGAACGTCTCATAGAAATATTATGAGCTGACTATGAACCGAGGAATAAAAGCAAAATCATTTTTCCTACGGTTCAAAAAAAGAAAAAAAAAAAGGAAAAAAGAGGCTGATATTACCTGTAGAGTTTTGTTGATTTCCAGTCCCATATACAAAGTTTGCCATCTGCATCGCCGGAAATAAGATAACTACAACAACAACAAAAGTACATTCTCGAAAATTATAGTGATTTTAATCAATATAGTTGAAAAAAAAGGTCAAAGAAAATCCATACGAAGATCATGTCGATGTATGTATATTTTTACTGGAATTTGATAGCAATGGAAGGAAGACCCCGATAAATATTTTCTACACAGAAAGAAATGGTGTGATAGGGAAGAATAAGAAAAATTCTTCAAACTGTTTTCACTTAAGACATTATTTTTTTTTTTTGGATTCATTTTCAGATAGGTACGAGGTTGAGAACAACGTTTTCGGTTTACCTTCCATCCGGTGAGAAATTTAACTGACAAGCGTAGCCCGCAACCTAAACAGAGAAGTCGTGGAGATTTATGTAAGACAATCGCATCAAAAGCTAAAGAATTAATAGATCAAATGGCTCGCTTCTCACCATATGGCCTTTAAACGTTTTCTTTCGGTTTTGACGGAAACGATTTAGTACTGCGAACACCATGATTTGGTTGTCCATGGACTGACATGCCATCCATTTGTCTGCAGAAAGAACAAAGTGAGTAACTTCATCTGCTTTCTAATTCTCTTTTCAAGCTACTACTTACTCCCTTAAGCGCGAGAATTTGGTGTTTTATCAGGAGAAAACCATAAAGCTCGCCACTTTTTCTGTTGCTGAATAACATATTTTTATTGTAGTGAGAGGTTGTATAGTAATCACTCCTGGGAGAAGAGACATCTCTCACCAATCACTAGAGAAGGGCTTGGAAACGAGTGAGTCATCTATCAATTGTCGTTCCCATCACACTTTGCACTTGGTACAGTCGTCAAAGATCTTATTTAATAGCGGGGAAGTACGAGCTTAACAATTTCACGGTGGAGGTATCAGGTTGTTTAAAAACAAAATGAAATTTAAAACGAGCAACTTACTGTTGGGGTGAAGAGCTACTGCGGGCATGGAGTGCATACTAGGTTCGGCAATATACTTGAAATCCACAGGAATGTCCCTGGTTCGAAAAATGAAACTTAAGAGTCAGATGACACAGTCTGCTATGATTCTGAGAAATTCGCCCCGTGCGAGTAAAATGGGATCGAAAGAAAGAAAAGTGGAGGAAGAAAAAGATAAAAGATGAATAGCTAACTGTGTGTTCCTCGTCTATTGTTTCCGGTCAAATCGGAATTTAGAGTGTCAGAGAGCCAAGAGAAAAACCCTTGAGGAAAGGCGAGAATAATCAACAGACTCAACCCAAATGTGACGTCATACTCGACAATCGAGCCAAGGTCACAGCAATAAGCATTTCCACCTCTGCGCAACCCCACTTCGAAGAAAAGAGCAAGGTTTCTTTAAGATAAACGGTCATCGCAAGAACTTGACGAACGATGGCTGCTCTTTATAAACACGAATAGACTAAGAAAGATAACAACACAGTTACTCACCATTCCCATACTCTGATACTTTTGTCATCAGAAGTCGTCACGAACCTTCTGTTTTGATCCACAAACGTTATCGTGTTAACCGCGCCAAGATGTCTGAAATGGAGTCAATATTTTAGACAGAGCTCTCTTTAAGGTAACACAACTACATGTACTTTTAAAAGTACGAAGTTCATGGTTTCGTACATTTGACTTGCATTTTCGAGGCTTTTTATTTACGTCTCATATTTACCCTCTTGGAGAATTGCTACCTCACAAACTCATAATTTCGATGTTTTTTTCCTTGTTCAGAAGGCTTAATTGTGATTCGACGTGACCAAAAATGACTCAAAACACTGTTACACACTTGTACCATTGCCTCTAGGTAAACAAGTTAGAAGTTTTGACCAACCTGTCATATTCTTGAACAATTTCGTTCGCTCGCGTGTCCCACTAGAATCACAGATATAACCATTAGTAATTTGTTAAACGCCCGGAATTAGGAGCTATGCGCATTTTCTTTCTTTTAAAAGGATGGAACATTCGCAATGTTCTCCAGCACATTTTGCTGGGGCACGTTCTTAAAAAAGTATGTAACACCATCAAAACGGTGGCATAGTTTTGTTTTGCTAGGTTGATCACTCGTGTACTCAAAAATAATATCGTCTGGAAGAAATTTTACATCGATACAAAACTTTAACATTTAACAGCAAACGTTACTTCGACTGAAAGATTTCCAATTGTTACCGTTAATATTTTCTTGTCTGATGTTCCACAAACGAATAAATGCTGCTTATCCTGAGAAGAAAGAGAAAAATGGTTTTGACCACGCAAATCGAGGAAAATCTTGCAAAATTGGCAAACAACTATTATATTAAGTTTGAGCAATACCTCATCAGTTCTGGTTCTATTTCAAAACCATAAGGTGTGTACCTTACCTCGTCAGGATTAAACTTGACACAATACGGAATTTTTCGGTTGGTAAAACGTCCAGTGCACTGCCCTGTAACGTATGTGTCATATAAATGCTACCAGGAAAATATAAATCTGAATAGAAATTCACTGTAACGTTGACAAAAATGAAGACATTTTTTCAAGATTCCCCACCTGTTTCTGTGTCCCAAAGTTTGACATATCTGTCATAGGCAGCACTTAGAAACTGTGCCCCACTGTTGTTAAACGAAATGTCACGAACAGCTTTACTGTGACCTAAAAAGGACGACGACATATTGCAATATTAACATCTTGTGGGAGACCAACCTTCATCTGTCACGCAGACATGTTCTGAGACTGAAGATGCACCAAGGTGGGAAGTCGGGTGGGAATCGGTGAAATGCCCCCTATCCCACTCATCCTCTCGTCTTTAACCTTCACACGTCCTTTCTATACGCTTATGAAACAGTAGTTACTGGCTCGGTTATTGATTACGGCAGAGGAAAGAGTCAGAACAATTTTGTGAAACCACGCGAGCTTATCAAAGTTTGGAAAATGTACACCTCGTGGACTAAATTTCATGTAAACACGAAAAATTTATTTGCTTTAATGTGTGGTACATTATGCTATGCAAAGGCAAACTTAGAAGAAATAAACGAAAACATACCCATGAATGTTCTCAAACAACGTCTTTTGCCGTAAACTTCCCACAACTTGAACCGACAAAATAAACAAAAGGAAAACAAAATCATAATCAAAAAAATTGGGATGAGATACCCCACAATCAGCAATGCAGCACAAAATTTCGTGACTCAGTGACTGATATTTTCAGCTCTGGACCATTACTAGTGATAACGGAGCACAAAAACGACACGTGCTCAACAAATGCGCTGATGCTACATGTTCATGTTATCTTGAAGTGAGAGGGAAAATTTTCTCTTTGATGATCTCTTCTCTCTGGATGGGATGTAACTCAGGAGTATTTAAGTTCTTAGGCAATTGTAATGGCTAAATGTTAAAATATTTGATTGGCATTGCTCTCTTCTAGCTATTATACATTCCATCTTTAAGCTAGATAACACGTTGCTGCTGAAAAGGAAAGTTTCATGTCATCACCTCATACTAGAGTTTTGTAACTGAGATACATTGTAGTTTGGTGGTACTGATTCAAGGCTATTCTGAGTGCCTCAGTTAATAACATATTATGTTATTAACTATTACGTTATTATCTGAGGCACTCCGCCTTTTGGATTGAAAGAATCCTTAGATTTTTTGATTAAGCAAGTTACTGTCTAGCCATTTGTTCTACTGGCCAGACCTACCTTAATTTTGCAGTCCATACTACAAGACAGTAACAGGTGAGCTGATGTTGGAAAGAACCTGATGGAGGAGACACCCTTTGAGTGTCCAGTCCTAATGAGAGATAAAAAACAAAGACACACTGTAAACGGCACTGTTGGCGAGAATTATTTTGCCGATGTTCACGTTTCAAGGAGTTCAAAGAAAGTAACACTGGATATTGTAGAACAATTTACAGGACAAAGAATTATACAGTAGGTTGTGTGACAATGATCATTGAGCCTCTGGTGAATAACAAAGAGGCCTGTTTTTAATTTTATTTCAATAATTCCTTTTTCAGAAAATAATGCTTATGAATCACAAAGCAGTGCTTCAGCATCACAATCTTTAATTGCAGTTGATTATCACAAGATAAGATGTATTATTTGACAAATCATGCTACAAGAACAAGGTACATGTACATGATACGCTAAATAATATTTAATAATAATAAATTTAATGCTTATAATATGCATATACCCATTTACATGTGCTCATATGCATGCAAACAAATAAACAAATATTTCAAATATACATAAAGTGTTTGAAAACCCTAACTAAAAGGAGGCAGACCAGTTGGCTATTTACAAAGCACAGCCAAGGAGTTGAACTCGGGGCCACCAAGAACAAATCCAGTGAGTAGCAGGGCAGAGGACTTGAACCTGGGACCACCAGATTATAAGACCAGGGCCCTAACCACTCAGCCATGCTGTCTCCATAAGAATTCACATCTTTCTCCACAAAACGCTCAACTTACTGACCATGTGTGAATGTGTTTTTTTGGTAAGTAACATCTCTCTGGTGGTTCATCTGTATCCAGTTTCACATCCAGATCTTTTGGAATGTGAAGATACGAACGACCCTGATAATCCACAGAATCTTGAACTGAAAGGAAAAAAAAATCAAGAAATTAAAGTAAATCAGAGTATTTTTAGATAAGGACAATCCACACACAATCATGTACAAGTCATGAACAAAGACAGAGGTGACGAGAGGATGGCTCCATCTGAAGTCTATACACATGTAGTTGTGTCTTTGAAGAATCACTGTCATGTACAAACAGTATTTCAAGGTTGCAAATAGCTTGTTCATATACAAGGATACAGTCATGTAAAATCAGGCGTTTCAATGAAAGGCACTTACTGGCAGTCTACTGCTGCCTCTAAGACCTCTCATGGCTGTCAGTTTAGCCTGCCAAACAGGCTCTTTTTTGGGTTTCCCCTTACAACAAGCTGCCATTATGCTATTTGCAGCTGTTTGTGGAAAGAGTTGCCAAAACTCCTGAATTAGAATTTGTACTTGAAATTGACATTTTAAAAAATTGTGAATTAATAAAAGTTTTTCTTTCAATGAACAGTGGATGGATTTCTAATGAAACCAATTTTTTTTTTAAATCTGCTAACTCTAATATTTCAGTCCAAGCCTATACATTCCCTCACCATGAAGAGTGGTCTTTTCTTCCACAACTTGTTCTTCTTTCTTAGTTCTCTTTTGCTTTGTCATCTCAAACTCTTCAAGCTTAGCTGCTTGTTCCTAAAGACAGAAAAAAGTTACATTTTCTTTCCAAAGGTTGACAAATGTCAACTGATAAATTTAATTTTATTTAAAAACTTTCTACTAATTTCACCTCAGATGGCTTAGCAACTTTAGCTTCATCAACAAATGTTGCCCATGGACCTGAAAGGGAAGGTTAATGTCATTAAGTCCTTTATGCAAAAATAAGAAACTTCAGATAACTCAGATTTGCACTACAAAATATCACAAAAACAGAATGGTATGATGAGAAATAGGAAAATTGCCTTATTGTATCAAACTATAGTACATGTACTTCCAATATAATCATTATGATAAAAGTTGGTCACAAATTCAAAAAATATATTTCATAGTAAATTATGTAAACTATGAACAATGTAAGTTGCTCTTTCTTTGTATTCTTTACCTTTGTATCCTTCAATGTCTCCTGGATCACCAGGTTTTTCTCGTTTTCTTTTGTCACCTGGGCGTGCTTCTGTTGCTTCAAATATTGTCAAGCCTGGAGAATACACAATAACTTATACCCTATGGTACAGTTCTGCCACAATTATTGTGCTAACGAATGGACAAGCAAGCACATTAAAAACAACAACCAAAAGCAAACAAAAAATTGACAAAAAAAAAATCACCCAGTCAAAACACAATGAAATTATCCACAGAAATGTTGAAATGCTCCTCAGCAAGCATGTAACGAAAGGTACATACCCTTCTTCTCCTCTGCTTTTTCTACATCTCCAACAAACCTATTTATAAAATAATTGTAAGGTTTCAATGAATAATTAATCAAATATACAGGATAAAAAAAATCTGCTGGTTGAAAAGCTGTTTCAAATGTACATTATGTTGCTGGCTGCCATCTGTTTTGGGATATTCTTAAAGTCTTTTAGATAAGAGAAGGAAAAAGAGCATTCTACATGTACTTCAACACTCTCAATTAACCTCTTTCCTTTCAGTACCTTGAAAGTTAACACAATGGAAGCTTTTTTTCAGCTGTCTCACTGGCCTTAACCTATTAACCCCTGAGAGTGACTTGTGTCTAATTTCTCCTTACAGATCACCAGTTAATCAAACGTAAAGGTTATAACAACGAAAAGAAATGATCAGCATGATAGTAGGCTCTTAGTTGTTAAACAAATTCTCCTTGTCAATACCATGGGAAATATATCAAGCACAGTATATTCATAGAAATTCTGTGAAGACAAACCTGTCCCCACTTGTGCTGGCTCCTCCTGTTACACTGGGATCAAGGGCATAACCTGACAGATTTCATACAACACTGTTCAATTCAAATAGTTATTTCAGAAATACATTGAGTAAAACTATTCAAGCTTTCTAGATTTATCACAGCTGTTTTCATATGATAAATGAACAATGATAAACAATAATACCTTTAAATCTACAGAAGAAAAATAGAATGATTATGACTGAAATATAAACCCTCTAACTCCCAGAGGTGATCAACATGTAACTTCTCTCTATAATATCCTTACACTATCCAGCAAACAGGTTAGAAGATTACTCAAATTTATCAGGCAGAAGTTTTAATCTTGATTTAACACCAAATTCTTGCAATAAATTTAAAAGGAAATGTGTAACAGCTAGAGGCGAGAATTAACAATCAGATCTTGGCAGTTAAAGGGTTAAAAGAGGTTGACTGTTAGTAATGACAATTATCTGTATTGCCTACTTATGCCATAAGACACTGAACTTTGCTGAATATCCTCACCATAACTAGTAAATGTTCTTCTTTGAGTTTCAAATGTAAAGTCACTCATGTGAGCTGGTTCAACATAACCTGAAACCAAATCAACAGATTGATTTCTGGGCACATGTGCAGAGCTGTCATTAAGAACCAAAAATAAATGCAGGTGGCAGCTCAACTTGTATAAAAATCAAACTTATTATAAAATCATGTTACCAGCTAGCGCATTCTTTGGAGCACTTTGCTGCCTAGTTTTAAAGGGATTTGATGGTCCAACCTATCCACAGACAGTAGAAAAGCATTGATATATTAATTTATAAAACATATTAGTTAACTTCAAATAACATATGATACCCTGAAACTTCATCACCCTGCTCTGATAAAACTACTTGGCAATTACATGAAAATTTGCAGTAAAAATTCATCAATGTACAAGTACAATGTACAGGGCCCAGTTCTTCAAAGGCCAATTAGCCCTAACCCAGGGTTAAATTTTAATCCAGGTTTCTATATTTCTCCGTTCAAAAGCCGTTTTGGAATAATTTTACCCATTGTTTTAAGAGCATTCAATTATCAAATTGTAGTCAAAACGAAATAAACTGAATTTGTTCTTCAAACTTTCAGATCTGAAATCAAATTTCACACTAACCCTTGGTTATCTTAACCCAGCTTTGAACAACCCGGCCCACGCTATAACGTTTTTCGTTGAGCACTAAATGTCTTGAGATGACGACACTTGCATAAAATATTCAGTCCTCTCCTTCGCAACTTTTCTCATGGTTCAGTGTCCTACATGTATCACAATTTATGATTCTGAGTCCCAAAATGACGCCTTGAAAAAAACATAAGGCGGGAAGCCTAAAGATAAAAGTTTTCCGAGATAAAATTGAACTGTGGAGTGTTCCATGCACTAAATTTTCACCTCAGGGGAGAACATCTCCTCATATCGCGGATTGTAAGTGACCTCCTTGGTGGTGGCATCCACTTGTCTAATCACACCGACAGCCTCCTTAGGGATCAAAACAAATCACTTGTTAAACCTTCTTATAATCCATCTGATATTTTCGCATCTTGAGAAGCGCGAAGAATTCACCAAACCTGACTGATTCGTAACCAACCTTTGCAGTGACAACAGGGGCACTTTTAACCTGAACTTTAGATTGAAGTTGTGAAATTGAGACATTAGAGTTCAGATGTGCCGTGTGATCTGCTGTAGTTTCCTCTTCAGGACTTTCATTTCCTTCAGAATCGCTGTCATCACCATAGGCATTCGCAAGAGCTTCTATTGCCGCCATGTTGTTTTGGAGTTGGCCAGGTTACGTAGTAAGCATGAGTTTGGCCCGGTTACTCTGTCATGTAAGCTACCACAGAATGTTCCAACAAACGATAGCTCGACGGGGAAAAATTACGCCCGGTCAGAGTAAAGGGGCATTCAGCGGACACGCATCTGGAGCTAAATATGCATACATGACAAAAATAACACATAAATGATTGATGTTTCTCGGGCAAAATATAAATGTTAGTCAACTTCCACATGGAATGGCTGTTACTGACTTATGTTTTGTAAAACCCCATGTCAGCCTACTTTATCCAGAACTGGGAATGCTGCCGTGCGATTTGAAATTTTGGGGGAAGATCCGCGCGCAGTGGCATAATTAATGTCTGTCCAACTATTAGACAAGAAATCGATAATGAGCATGAAATAATTTTTACAATTATTGGACAAAACTGACAAAATACAAAAACCAAGAAAAGCAAAACTAAAATCAGTTCCCTGTTTCCTGCTCAGTAGTCTGTACCTTCACAATGTTATGATGTATATCACAAGCTCTCAGTAAGGGATCTAATTTTGGGGCCAAAATGAAAGTATTTTGGAGGGTATTTTTTTTGTAGGCGAAGAGAAAATTCAAAACGTTCCTTTCGTGTATCAGCAAAGCCACGAACATTTCAAGTGTTTCATTGATAAAGTTATATTTACATAATGTGTAATTTTCCTCTTTTCTTCACACAACCCCACAAGCTCGTAGCTTAAAATATTATCGTGTATAAATAAAGGTCATCTATCTATCTATCTATCTATCTATCTATCTAGTTCTATTTATGTATGTATGTATGTATGTATATATCTATCTGTCTGTCTGTCTGTCTGTCTATCTATCTATCTATCTATCTATCTATCTATCTATCTATCTATCTATCTATCTATCTATCTATTAATCTATTAATCTAACAAATGAATGCCGCGTCCGGTGAAGAGTGAACGTAAAGTAAAAGAAATTTATTTATGATAACTGCGTCCACAGAGGTAAAAATGCGTGATACCTGGGTCCAGTTGTATAAAGGGAGAATAACGCTATCCAGCGGATAAGCGATAGAAAAACGTAGAGCGTTATCCACCGGATATAATTTTATCCAGTGGATAGCGCAATCCAATCCAATTCGAACAACCGGGGCCTGGTGTGTAACTTTTCCCGGGCACACACTTGATAAAGGATTGCTTCCGTTGAGAAGTGTCCACATCGTTGTCTTTAAAGAACCCCGGCAAACAAGGCCTTCCGCCATCACGACATATGCTAATATTCTTCTTCTTTGTTTGATACATTTCCTTTATTTCTGACCGGAAACGCTCTATTGCACTCTCAGTGAGACAAACCTCCTCACCCTACCCGCCAAACCGGTATTTAAAAACTCTCTACACCGACAATTTATACTAGTAGTTTATGGAGTTTCAAGATGGTCGACTGGTAATCGTGGGCGCGTAACGAGTGCAAGTGAGGTCATCGAGGTCGCGGGTTCGAATCACGCTATGGGAGTTATTCTTAATCTGGCTTGGGGGCCGAATAACTTCTCCCCGAGTATGATTTGGAGCTGGCGGACAAGGAGTAACTCTCAAACTGGCTTGGGGGCCGAGTAACTCCTCCCCGTAAAAATCCTTTTTTTTCCATTTTTCTCTCCTTCGTATCACCATTTTTATAGTCTTTTCCAGTTTTCTATCTTTTTTTTTTCTGAGCAGTTGTCTTTTTGGTACGGCTGTGGTAAGTGCCGGTTTCTTTTTATAATTAGATGTAATATTATGTTATTATTATTTCATTTTAACTTCATTATTTTTTATTCAAAATTTTCCATAGATGGCTCATGCATGTTGAGCGACAGTTGCATGGCAATTGAAACTAGGTAGTTTTGATATCAACCCCAGTCGTTAGGCATCGTTTCCCGTCACTAGACAATATTTCCCGTCGTTGCACATCACTCACCGTAATTGAACATCTTAATGGCACGATTAAGAAACATCTCACCGTCCTCGACCATCATTCACCTTTATTGGGAGTCATTGACGGTCCTCAGAAATCAATCCCAGTCATTTGAAATAGTTTGCTGTCACTAATTATCATGAACCATCAATCGATCTACTGTAATTCACCGCAATGGACATCATTCGCCGCCAGTAGGCGTCATTTACTGTCAGCAAGCCTTATACACCGTCGCTTAGCTTTCGTCACTGTCTCTAACCACCAATTACCGTCAGTTGGCATCCTAAATCAATGAACATCACTCACGGCACATTAGTATCATTTAGTGCAGTTTACCGTCATTATGCTTCATTTGCCGCAGCTTAGCATCATCTATAGTCTATAGGTGCATTCAGTGTCAATAAGCCTCACCCACCACTATTAAGCATCATTCACCATCACCCAGGCGTCATTCACCATCACTAAGCGTCATTTACCACCACTAAGTGTCATTTACCGTCACTAAGCGTCATTCACCGTCACTAAGCGTCATTTACTATCACTAAGCGTCATTCGCCGTCACTAAGCGTCAATCACCGTCACTAAGCTTCATTCACCGTCACTTACCATCAGTTATTGTTATCAAAAATCATTTCCGTCACTAAGCGTCATTTACCGTCCCTAAGCGTCATCCGCAGTCACTTAGCGTCATTCACTGTCAACTACCATCATTTATTGTTATCAAACATAATATCCGTCACTAAGCATCATTAACCGCCATAAAGCTTTTTATTTACTTTTACGAAACACCATAAACATTATTTCTCGCGACCAAAAATTACGATGACTTTTAAAAAACATAATTTTCTTTTACAAGGTTATTCACGCGAGACTTCATACTAAGAGACAAACTACCAAAGCACATTTGAAACATTACAAGTTTATTTTCATTAAAGAAAATTAACAACCTGTATTTCTAGCTAAGAAGTACGTCTGGCAAAAAGTTCGAAAATTTCATACAAAATGGAGTCTAATTAGTATAGGAATGGTAATGTGATTGGTGGAAAAGGCTGAATTACTTTAATTTTAGTAAAGTTCAGGAAAAATAGAAATATTTGTATCTAAGCCTTCTTTCCACCATCATCATCTTGATAAAAAGCGCTTGACAAAAGCACTCTATAACTTAAACTGTATTAAAATATTGAGCTCATCACAAAAGCATCAATATGTTGCTTTCTAGCAAGTCTTGAATTCTTGCACCAAGACTGCCTAAAAATTTTGCTGTATGTTCTGCAGGAAATGCTTCCCAAAACCATTTACATGCTTTTTGACTCTAGACTTAAACTAGTCTCATACTAAAAAAAATTTCAAATTCAGTCTAACAATATGTATTGCACTTTGCTATCATAAAAAAATGCTCCACACACCTGTTACCAAGAAATAAACAAAATAAAGGGAAAAAACAGCAAAGATTGAGACAAAAAGAAGAGAAAAAAAAGAGGCTGTCAAGGTAGATATGAGTGAGTTTCAAATATTTATGTGGCTCATTCATGTGTGCCAGTATTAAAAAGAAACAAAGAATCTCAACTGAAGTTGATCAGTGGATGTATGCAAAATTTTATCCTGAAACAGAAAACAAATCAGAATCACTCATGGATAAATATCTCCTTTGTGAAAAAGGCAGCAAATGTTTCTTTACATAAGGTGTACAATCGACAATTTTCTTAGAAGGGCTAAATTTGAGGAATCCAATATTTTTTAAATAAAAACTGTTAAAAATCTTTCCAGAGATATGCAGCACATGGCCTAAACCTAGGAATATCAGCTAGGCAGATTATGTGAAAATTTAACCCTTTAACTCCCATGACTGACCAAGACAGAATTTCTCCTTTCAATATCAATACAATACAAAGCAGACAAGTGATCAAAATATCAAGAAATTATCAATCAGGGGATTATAAGTTGATCCAATAGCAAATCCTCCAGACTAACATCACAACAACTGTATGCAGACAGTTAGTTGAATTATCAATGAGATCTTGGGAGTTAAAGGGTTAAGCAAATTTCAAGCTGACTTTTCTTTTCCATTGTTCAACTTGGGTTGTAATGACCAAATCATATGCATTTACTGGTTTCACCAGACAATTTTTCAAAGGATTTAAAGTGTACCACTCAATAACTTATGAAGAGATGAGCTTGACTCACATTAATTTTAAAGAAATTGTCACTACATCATTGTGTTCCTGTTTGATCAGGTGGTACAGGAAACTCCCCTGGGGGACCGGCCACACCTTGTTCCCCTTGAGGGCCTCTTTCCCCTTGAGGTCCTTGTTCCCCTTGGGGACCCTGAGGTCCTGCAGGGCCTTGAGCTCCTAAAGCAAAAATTGCAATAGAGTTTAGACTTCATATTCAAACTATCTGCACATGCTCTATGGATGGCTGCATGATCCCTTATAGGGTCCAACATAGGTTTGGCAGGATGCAGGATAAGGCTTAAAAACAAGGTGGGATGTGGGAGATAAGAAATTTTGAGGCAAAATGCAGAATGAAGATAGGAAGGCGAGAATGGGATATGCTCTGTTTAAAGGAGGGATAGGGAAAGGACAGGTTTAGGATGGATCATAATTTAGCTCAAGTTGCGAGTCACATGACCTAAGAGACAAAAAAAAACTATTTACTTGCTTTCCCCAAAAACCATGCGTAAAAATACACAAAATTCCTATTATTAACTAACATTACATATTCATTTTTTTCTTGGGTAACATCTGATGCAATTTAATCACAACCTTCACCAGACAAATTAGTTAAAAGCTATGTTGACTCTCTGGTTGGTTCATTTACGACAGAGCAATTTCTATGACAGCAACACCATCAAAATTGCTAGCCTCATCAAATATTAAATAGTAACCTAACTAAAAGTGACCACATAGTTCAGTCCTCAAGCCTGCCAGTAAAAACGCTAAGGAACAACCATTCTTTTAAGCCAGCTAAACATGCTTTGAGAAATTTATTGTATTTCTCCATAAAAAAGAGTACATTATCAGTATTGCAAAGGCTTCAATTTGCCCATCAGTTTAAATAAGGTGGTGAACTAGGGAAACTTGGGTTTAACCAGGTGGGATCAGGATGAAAATGTTCATTGTGGTGGGATGGCAGGATGGCAGAATGGAATACAAAGTAGCAGCAGGATGTGGGATTGGAAAAGTCTATTTTGGACCCTCTTACAGCACAGGAAAGTTAGGTATGATTCACACAAGGAACTTGTCATGACCCAGCCTAAATACTAGTAACTTGAACAACAAATTTTGTAAGTCTTTCTCATGTCTAAAAGATCATCTTACCAGGTTCTCCATTTAATCCATCCAGTCCCCTCTCTCCTGAAGGCCCTGTAATAAAAAGCAATTATGCAAATGAAAAGAGAAAAAAAAGAAAAAAAGAGAGATATCCAGAAACAAAATTGCAACAAGAAATAACACCAACCAAGGCTCTCTGTCTACCAACGATTTGCTGATTAGAAATACAACCTGAGGGCAATGATGGTATTGATGCTTTCGAGAATATTAGCAGTACACTTTACTGGTAAATAATTATGATTGTGACCCTTCAACTCTCAGAAGTGATTAATATGTAACTTCTCTCTATAATATCCATAGATTATCCAGTCCCAACTTATCACATAGAATTTCTTATCTTGATCTAACACCAAAATTCTTGAAACTAATTAACAAGGAAATGTGTAGCAGTTAGAAAGGAGAATTAACAATCAAATCCTAGGAGTTCAAGGAATAAGGGTCCTAACCACTATCTCATCGCTTGTCACTTCATTATTAATATCCCAACAGTGTTCTCCTTTTCAGGCAGTAGCCAGTAACATTTACTGCCTTTAGTACCTCTTATTACTGTTTAAAATTACTTGGAATTCTTGAAAATTCAACAGGTAAAAGGATTGCTTTACCAGTTTGAAAATTTATTTTACCTGTCATGCTTAAAATAAGGGAGAACACTGCCCAAGTTGCCCACTGCAACAATTGTTCAAACTTGAACAAATGAGAAGGAAAATTGTGGAGTTGCAGCTAGCTAAATTTCCTTTGCAACAGCTCAAAAATACAGTGGTGAGGGCTTTAAAAGAAACAACAACAGGTATTTCAAACACACCTTGGGGACCCTGTGGCCCTTCTGCACCTGTGTTACCTAATGTAGAAAAGAAAATAAGAAAAAACAAAAATCAATACCAGACCAAGCCAAAATTTAAGGGTGTATTTGTAGGTACTGCTCATTTTAAAACCCATTATTATGTAATAAGAAGATTATTTACTCTGTATGTTTCTGACATGTTTGTTATTATGATTCATAGAAATTCAAATTTCTCATCTTCTAACATAAACTATCTTCAATAGTGTGTGCATACCAATGCAAACAGTGGTAAACTACAAGACACGTTTAAGATGTGGCATGTATAATTTGGGTACTCAGGCAAACAATGACATCACTTTTTCCGGTCTGCAAGTAACATTACTATATATGGTGAAATAAATGCACTTACCCCTCTCCCCTTGTGGACCTGCAGGACCTGCTGGGCCAGTCTGACCAGTTGGACCTTCGATAACATCACAGAGAACATGATATCAACATGGTACCTCACTAAGTTCTTGCGATTGAGGGCATTATCAAAACATGCTTGAAAGTAAGGTAGAGAACCTTACTGAGATGGGTCACTTACTCTTCAACTCAGTTAGATTAAAAATACTGCCTTCAGACATTCTATTGCAGAAATTAATGTGAAACAATGATACAAACTCTATTAAAAAGAACCAAATCTATTCCATCAACATGATTTTTTCTTGACTAATAGAGCATTGGCAACAAAACATGCCCAAATCTTGTAAAAATAATAAATTCTTCACAGCAAAAAGAGAAAAATGGTAGTAATGGAGATTGGTCACAACAATGAACATTGTAATTCATTGGGTCCATGCTTGTGGCAATAAATAAAATACGAGAAAGTGAACCTCAGGTGGATTACATCATACTGCCAAAACAGGCTGTTTCATTAATATACTTACCATCAAAGGACTTACACTAGCTAAAAAACTTATTTAAAAAAATGGAGGAATTGAGTGCTGGTTATGAATCAAGGGCAAATAGATACAGGCCTTTTTTTTTGCTATAACTGTGATCATGCAGCTATTTTTTTTTCAATATGTGGTATCTAAAACTAGAATGTTTTTTTCCTTGAAAAATTTGAAGTATAAGCAGAACCAATCTGTGTTATATTCTGAGTCATTAATATCTTCAAAAAGGAACCTTTTAGCAATAGAATTCAGTTTTAACTTTTGCACCTCTCATTTCAAAGACTTTATAAAACAACAAGTATAAGAGGTGACAGAAGACTTTTATTTTTATTATTTAAGGATTTTTTAATTTTTGACAGCTTTTAAATCATAAGTTTAACCAACACAAAAAAGCAGATAGAATACTTTAAAGTTAATGAGTTTTTAAAATTATTCAAATCTTACAGATTGAGTACCTTTGTCTCCAACATCCCCTTTGGGACCTTTTTCACCCTGGGGTCCCTTTTCACCAGGGGCTCCTGTCTCTCCTTTCTCGCCTGCAAGTCCCCTTGGACCCCTTTCACCTGTTAGACCACGTGCACCTAAAGTATCCCCAAATGTTCCATAGGGAAGGTTTCTATGTGACCATCATTTGGCTTTCAAGTAAAATATTTTTGAGCTTTATCTTTTTAATGTTAATTGTTAGGTGCTTCCTAACATGATAGTTACACTCAAGGTTTTATGGTACTTAACATTAAATATTATGACTTGTCAAAACTCAGCTGTCTTTGATAGACAGTTAATTTAAGTGGATTATCTATCCTTTATACGGTGGACATTTATAAAATAAATTCCAATTTATATATGAAAATATTTTAAGAACTTAAGAAGAGCAAGATAATATTCTGTCATATTTTCTGGCAGCTCCCTTATACAAAAGTAATACATATTTTTCAAAATAACTTTTCAACACTGCTATGTCTACAAAATAGAGAAAAATAGAATAATCTCTTTTTAAAGTTTAGCCACCTTTGGAAATTTTCTTTTTATCAAAACATGTCATCAAATATTAGACGACAGAATACCTTGCATCCCTCTTTCCCCCTGGAGTCCTTCATCCCCCTTGGGTCCAGTATCCCCCTTGAAGCCTTGTTCCCCAGGGTCTCCTTTGTCACCTTTCTCTCCTGGATCCCCTTGGGCACCTTTCTCACCTATTTTGCCTGGGACACCTGTATAAAGTTTCCATTTCTATCAGTCTGGTTCATTAGAGACAAGGCCAAAAAAATGACTTCAAGATAAGCTTAATAGTGTAAAAAAAATAAATAAATAAATAAGTTGGTGTTTGATCAAACCATACTTCAAATCTGACATATTTATGCTTCAAAATATAGGAGAAATCCCTTTAGAATCACCTTAAGCAGTGAAAGAGATACAACAAGTCAACTTATACATGCCTGAAAGGTTTCAGGAAGTCTAGGTACCACAAAAAAACTATTTTTCTGCTATGAAATTCTAACCCTGACTTGTATTGTTTTAGAAGAGTATTAGCTTTCATCATATGTTACAAGATGTGTAAAGGAAGAACATTCACTAGCCTCCATAAAGAGTGTTTGATATACAGTTATCAGTCCTATGAATTAAAAGTGTTTAATTTTAGGTTGAAATACTCATGGCAATGAACAACTTAAAATGAATAATCAGATTAGTTACATTTCAGACTGGAAAATTGTATTTATTTGATTTCACTTTCAAAGGGAGATGAGTAAATCAAATTATATCAAATTTAATTTTATACAGAAAAATTGCTTTCTTAAGGTTGCAAAAAAATTAAGAATTATTTATTAATTCACTTTTTTAAAGTATACTTTACCAGATCAGTAGATAATTCTCATCAGAAAATATCAAGCCAGTCTTACAATAAACTCAAACGTTTACAATTTTTTTTAATCTTAGATTTCGCTTCAAATCCATTGACATGGTTAAGGAACGGCTGAGTCAATATTTATCACGTTCTGTAAATACATTAAAGAAAATTATTGCAAAAAGTCCTTTTTTAAATAAATATTTAAATAAAGTTAGTTTAAGTTTCACTGTTTGCTTTATTAATACCATTTTGAGCACAATATGGCATTGATAATCGATATTTAGGCAGAAAGCTTGCCAGTGCCACGTTGACAATCGTAGAGTTCGTGACACAATGAAGATTGCGTGAACGGTTTTCGAAGGTTTCTTTTAGAGCGCATAATCGCAACTTGTAGATGAAAGTTTTAAATTGACACGTTTGTCATTTGATTGGCTTCTTCTTGTAACTTTGGGGTTGTTATTCGACTTGAAATAAATTCAGTGTCATTTACATTAATTTTAAAGTAAAGCGTTTTTAATGCGTGACATCTCACGGTAATTTTACAGTCAATAGAAGCATCGAAGCCGGTTAGTTCTTCTCGAAACAAAGGAAATCGAATCAAGCTGTGCAGGATCACCATTTCATAAGAAAGCAAGGAATAAAAGTCTCGATCTAATAGTGTAAATTGAAATCCAGTTTAAACTCTGAATTGAGAAATCCATATGATAAAGGAAGAGGCTGCTTGCGCAAACAAACGGGTCCACGAAATAAATCACTTACCCGCTTCTCCAGGCATTCCTTGGGGACCAGCCGGTCCTAATTTCAAATAAAAAGGAAATTTTAGTGTCATAATATCACAATAACTACAAAAGCTTTGCATACCTCTCATCGTAAACCACACATTAATTTATCCTCTTAGGAAATAAATGCAAATGTTCCATACCTCGTTCTCCGGTTTTTCCAGGGGGACCATCGCATCCTGCATGAAAATACAATAAAAAAAAAGAAGGATGCAAATTAGGACAGGATCTTTCTAGATTTAACGTAAATTTTAGAGATTTTTAGACTACAGAGATAAAGTTTCATTTGTCTACATGGCTCCTTAACCTCTAGCGGGCCGACCATTTGTTCGCGTGCACTGCTGTATTAATTCGCTGAAAAAAGTGGATGCCCATAGTTTAGGAACACAAAGGGAAATTGCATCTAAGAAATAGTTCGTATGCGTAAAGGAGGGATGTATCGAAATTTACCTTGTAAAGGAATAACTCCGTAGATCATGGCAAAATTCATTGCCATAGATGAAGTGGCGATCACAAATATGAGCAGTTGAAATGCGGAGAAACCTCCCGCACCCTTGGCCGCAGCCTGAGTGTCCTTTGTATCCTTTGGTGCTTTTTTTGCGGGCATAATGCTGAATCAAAATCAGATGATATTTGAGGAAATGTTACAAATACAGCACTCACGATGAGGGTGATGCCTGCACGCGCAGACGGCTAAATAGAAGTGGCCGTGTTGAATAATCAATCAAGAAGATTGGGGTCAAAATATCGCAGACTGGTTCTATTCTCCCGCGGTCTAATAGCCTGCGCCTGCTGAAACTTTGCTCACGCAGGGCGGAAGAATCTAATAGTTCACAGAAGTTTAGTTGTAATCAATATTTAATTTTGGACATACTGACGGTAATTTAAACTTCAATGAAGAGGATTTTGGCTAAGGCGAAAGCTAAGCAAGATGGAGGTGTTACTGTGGAACATGCCCTCGAAAAATACGTGGATCGTCCGACAATTGCATGGAATCTTCTCGAGTCATCTCAAGTTGTAGAAAGGCTAAAGCTAAATGATATACGAAGCCCAAAGCCTCCTGGGCACACAAGATTTGTCTGCATTTCAGATACACACAACAGAACGGATAGAATGGAACATGCTATTCCCGATGGGGATATCTTAATTCACGCAGGAGATTTCACCAGTTGTGGAACCCGTGATCAAGTGATCCACTTCAACAGATTTTTAGGGACACTCAATCATCCTCACAAGGTTGTCATCGCTGGTAATCATGACATTTCGTTTGATCTCAAGAGCTACGATTCTCTGTGGTCAAACTTCACACGGATCAGAGAGGAACCTGAGGAAACTCGGAAGCAACTTACAAACTGCATTTATTTGGAAGACGAGGAAATAACTGTGCGGGGATTTCGAATTTATGGCTCCCCATGGTGAGTTAAAAGAGGCGTAGAGCACATTTCTGGAGAGGCTTGGTATAAACCGGTCTTGAAAAGCTTTTTTAAATTTCAAATACAGGTTTTTGTGACTCAGGTGTCTATCAAGTGTTAACAAAACAAGCTCCTAGATGATAATTCCCTAGGACATTAATTACACCAAATTTGTTTGGGGAGTCAAGCATTACATGGGTCATAACATGCATGAATACATTCAAAGTAATTGTCATTAGTTTACATGACACCACATCTGATGTCCTGCTTGGCAGCACAGGGGCAGTATAGGTGTTTACATGTACATTATTACCATCAGAGGAATTTCCTTGGGAGAGAATCAACTAGAGATTGAGAGATCTCTAGGTTTGGATGTTGCTTTACCTTGTTGTATTTCTAACTCTAAATTTCCTCTCTTCATTTTCCTTCAACTGGCGATAAGTAAGGTGCAAGCTTTGTTTGCCTTAGATACTTTCTTTAGTTACTACAACAGATTTATATTCTGATACAATTCTAGGTCACCTGAGTTTTGCAACTGGGCCTTTATGAAGCCTCGTGGTCAGCCAATGCAGGAGACATGGAACAAAATCCCAGATGGCATTGATATCCTTGTGACCCATGGCCCACCCTTAGGTACTGTAGTTTGCTCAAATCCTTAACACCCTACATCAGTGTGCCTATTCTCTATACTGTTCTCATCACATATTCTCTTGTTTTGATGAGGAAAATTTGTTTGACAATCAAAAGCTTCTTCAGCTTCACTGTAGTAATAATTTCCTTTATCCTTACAAGCTTAATGCTTGATTCAGCAGTGAGACTGTAGGAATAAATCAGATGCTTGTCACTCTCAGGGGTTCAAGGATTAGGCAACTTAAAATTACTCATTATTTGAGTGATAATTTAGCAATAAGAGCTCCCTTATCACTCTACATTTCTGTGAAGCTTAAAAAACCATAAAAACCAGTCGAAGAAATATTGGTGGAATACTATTGTGTCCCAAAGAAAAAGCCACAGGTGTGAGAAAACCATACCACAAAGTTACCCATTCCAGTAATTAGCTTTAAGTGTGAAGGTTTTTACTTGTGCTTTGAACTGTATTGCACAGTCATATAATTTTCCCGTAACTAATTGACTTATTATATCAAACAAAGTGTTCACTGTTTTCTCAGCCTCAAAGTGTTACTTTACTCTTTATAGGTCATGGTGATCTTGCAGTTTCAAGGCTAAGAGCTGGATGTCTTAATCTCTTACACACAATACAGTCTCGCGTCAAGCCCAAGTATCACATTTTTGGACATATTCATGAAGGTATATAACATCATATAAAACATTACCTCAGGTTGTAATTTGTATGACTCAGTTATTGTAATAGTTGCACTGTACAGTCACTGTGATATACAGTGTTTCACTGCCTCAATGATTAGGAAAGTTGAATGTGAAGTAAATTCTGTGTTCTAATCAGATACCGGCTGGCAGATGAAAAAGCAAAAAATTTTGAAGTATTCGGTTTTTCATACAATAAACCCTTAAAGTTATGGTCTGTTTGGCTTCATTCTGTTAAGGGTTTTTTCATAAACCTTGACAAACAAACAAACACAATAAATGGAGTAAGTTTCTAAAGAAACCGTGTTGTTGTATTGGCAGGGGTTATTACAAGATAATTTGGTTTTATAAACTGAGGTGACATTAATTAAAATGGCCACTGGTGAGAGTTTCTTAAGCTGATGTTTTGAGCATTAGCAGAATAAATGATGTGATAATTGTTAAATTCTGAATACGTCTTTTAACCTAATTTTTTTAATATAATGACATTCAATAATCATTTAGTCCACAGATGTAAGAATAACATTTTTCAATTGTACTCCGTAGGATATGGAATAACTACAGATGGAGTTACGACATTTGTTAATGCCTCATCAGTAACAATCCAGTACCAGCCGTCTCATCCACCAATAGTATTTGATCTCCCAAACAAAGAAAGCCTTGATCAATCTTGATTTAACCTTTGCAGCATTCACTTTCTGTTAAGTTTTAACATGGGGTGTATTTGAATCAGACTCTTGCTTTCAGATGCTGTGTGCCTTCTAGTTAGTATAACTGGTAATTGTGGTGGGATCCCTTCCTTACTTCTGCCATAGCATATTCCTTGGCAGACCTAAAATAGCTATGAAACCTCAGTGAGTTTATTCCCAAAAGTACTGACACAAGTATGTATAGTACATGAAAGCAAGACTCTGAAGCAAGTACATCACATGTTACAACAAAACAGGCTGTTCCTTCAGATGCACAAAGCCTGTCATGCTTAAGCAAATGATTTAACTCAATTCCAAGCAAGGGCTCAGAAGTAGCCTATTTTTCTCTTTAACAATTTCTCTTAATTAAAAAGTTTTCAAATTGTAAGAAGGATCAATTTTATATATTTAAATAACTTCATCCAGCTGAATACCTAGAATTTGAGAACTGCAGCTTATATTACTTTGAATTCATACATATTTATTCCATATTTTTGAAGTGTATAATCACAGCTTACATGACTAGAAAAATACTATAGATGGGTCAAACAAACTACAAATTAGTCTACTAAATTTAATTCTAAAGGGTCTAACAGAGAACCTTTGTTAATGAATTATTTGTTTTTGAACACAATCTTGGTGAGCCAAGTTTAAAGGTCTTAATAAATTTAATACATCTTGTTTTATGGCACATCACTGTCTCTTGAAATCCAAGGTGCTTCTCCCATCTAGCACAGTAAATCTTGTAAAATTTCAACTATCAAACAATTGTAATTTTAAAAAAGAAGTACAAGCCTAAAGTTGATTGATGTTGCTAGCCATTTTTTATGGCAATTAGATTTTTCAGCATGTCAAAAGTGTTTCCATCTGGTTGTACTGATAATAATTTACCAGACTTGGTTTGCACTAATAAGTAACCAAATTCATCAAGTCCTATTATCATCACTTCCTCCTTGTCTTTCATGTCATTCACTGACAGGTTAACAGTCACTTCACTGAAAATAGATTCAAGAATACATAGTTTAATTTAAAGTACCAGGCCCTGTTGTTCAATTGGCAGATAAAGCTATCTAACAGATATATCACTATTGGGTGGATAAATGTTAACAAATCATACTGCACTATTCATGATATAGAGATTTATCCAGTAGATAGCATTATCCACCCTTAAAACAACTGGGGTCAGGCTTGCAATTAAGGGTGTATATGATGGCACTATTTTGTCTTTGAAAAGTGGTACTTTAAAATTTGAGACTTTATAAATTTATTTGCCACAACTACATTATCTTGTATGTCATATGACTTGGCATACTTACTTTACACAAGTTTAAAATAAACAAATTTCAGTCTTTAGAACCAATCATTGTTCCATTTGATAGTATTTAATGTTAGTTTGATTGTGCAGTTATTTTTCAGCATTAATTATAATAACTGGTAGGTAAGATCCTCAAAGGGTCAAATTTGTAAGATCAAAACATGACAAAAAATTCTAAACTGTTAGTTCACCTACTGTAAAATTGAAAAAAAAAAAACATCAGCAGTTAACAGTGTGATACCTAGATGATATGATCCCTCATCAATAATACAAATTTTACATTGGTGTGAAATTTATCCTTCTCATGTGACTAATATTTTCAGTCTGATACCAAATTAACAGTGACCATATAACATGCACTGTTGACCAGCCATCAGCATACAATATAATTAACAAAAATTATCCTATTACACACCTATGAAGCCAGCGGTTGTAGTATTTTTTCAGAAAAGGTGCAGAACCATTCTCCTGGAAGTCCTCAATAAGGGCTTCTATTTTGTTGACTGTTCTTGCCAGCATCTCTTCCATAGTCAGCTGCTTTAGGTCAGTCCCACAATCACTATTATACTGTGAAATGATCTCATTAACACTGATGGTAGGTTCTGTGTTGCTGATGTTAATTCCCATTCCTCAGTGAGAAAAACAATAATTTAATGAAGAATGCCACTAATTCCTTAGTCAATATGACCTTAGCCTGAACTTCTGTTTTAAATTGACAGAATTTGGAAGTGTCGTGATTCAAGGGAAAACTTTTGATCAAATAGATTGGACAAATTATATTCCAACAAATGATATTCCTGTTGTCAGTTTCAAATCTTACTTTGAACAGTTAGTGAGGTAAGTGGCCAAATCAACCAACTTCAAGGTTCATCAGCCAGACCATTTTTTTTTCTTGACCCTTTGGCTACATATTACTGTATTTTGCTTGGACAATAGAATTAGCGTATAGCAACTACAGTAGTACCTCTGAATGGGAAAGTGTTTTGATGGATACATCTCTTCAGCACTTAATTGGGTTGCTAAAATTAACCAACTGGAGCTACCAATGAAAGTAGACTTTTAGATAAACACAGCAACACTTACCCATCACAGCACTCAGCATGTTATCTGTTGCTGATGATGTCACAATAACACCTCCAATTTTAATCTTATTGCCAAAATAAACATCATTTGGCCATTTGAGGCGGATGTTGATATCCTTTGTTAAGAAACAAACATACTGTGAGTCAAATGACTTCTGCAGTAATATCCACGTTTCTAAATATTAAAAACATCTCAGGCATCTCAGCCCTTGCCTAAATGTTAAAACTAAGAAACAAAAGATGAAATAGTTCAAACCACCATAAATTTTCTAAACAAAAATAGCAATCTCCATTTCCAGGTTCAGATTTCTTTAAACTTCAGATTAAGTTGAAAAAAAAGGGATAAATGGTTTGTGAAGACAATGATTTCTTCACCCTCAATTGCATTCAGTGTGATGCAGCCAGAATATCAAGTTTGTTATTGTTCTAAAGATAGGATGTACTTATTTCCTCCCACATCAAATAGTTGATCATCTCCAATTCAGCATTTCTTTCTGTCATAGTGTATTTATCAGCAGCTGTTTTATGTATTTACTTCATATCCTGGTTGAGATGTGATTGCCTCCACAGCAGCCAGTGAAGCAATGTGCTGTAGGTAGGGTGGTCTTTTACCAAGGTTGGATGCAAATGGAATTTTAACATGAAGGGAAAACATTAAACAACCAGATGGAGACAGCCACACATTTCCACCTCGGCCTGTGGTTTGATGCAAAAAAATTAAGTTTTATTTATATGTTGACACAAATGCAATCTGTGATGAAATATGAATTAATACATCTATGTTAATTAATACACTAGGTCTCTACTTACATTATTAACAAAAGGGGAAATTTTAAGCCCATTCAATTCGATACATTTGTATAATAATAACAACTACTATCATAATGCAAATTTAAGAATCCAGATCAAATGAGGTGTACCCTCAAACTGTTTATGCCAAGATTTTGCTAAGATTATCATGAGCTCACTAACATTTGTAATTAGTTAACATCATGGTTTTGAGTGCAATTTAGTGTTCATAAGCACAAGCAAATATTTCAAAGACAGCACATGAATCATGTTGTGACTTTATGATAATTTAGTACATTGAAAAAAAAGCATCACAGAAAGTTGACAGAGATGAAATTTTGACAGCATGCATGCTATTTGTAATTTGCACTCGTGTTACCTGAAAAATGGACTTGTTTTCAGCCAATGAGATACACACAATTTTATCATGTAGATTATCACATGGCTTACCCTGGCCTTTAACTTGCTGTCCTGCAACAACAACCATCCCCACATCTTCAGGGATATTTGAAGTAAAGGTATAATTCCTAAATTAAAATGAAATTTAAAAAAAAGAAAAAACAAAGAGTAGTGAGAATAGAGCATGACTTTGAGCAATAAAACATGGAAAACCGTTTCAGGATACTTCAGTTGTCCAGAGACAGGAGCCTGCTTTTTAACTGGTGTACTTAGAAAACTTATCCACACTTAATACCTTATGCATGGCACTTCATGAATAATTTAACTTCTGAGCCTGTTGAAGGTCAGCCATTATCTTCAAGAAGCACTTTTACGAAGGAGGAGCTTATTCAAGAAAAGCACTTTTAATTTTCATATTAAAAAATGCATTATTCTTGGTACAGATGGCAAATACTAACCCATCAAAGATTGTTTGTGTGGATGTGATTACATCAGTGTAGAAGACAACTTTTCCCAAAACTTTAGTTTTTAAGTATTTCTGGTAGGTGCTCCAGTTAAAAGAAACAGCCTTAGAGTTTTCATCATGACAGATAACTGGTAATTTCTCCTCTGTGACATTTGGAATATGCATTTCATCACTTGCCACAAAGTGTAGTGAGAGCTGGTTTCCTTTACAGATGCCGTCCTCCAGTGATGATCTTAAAGACTGCATAAGTTTTTGTTTATCCTTTAAATTATAAGAGACAAATAGCATTTAACCATGATTGTTACATGAAATATATCTTAAAATGTTATTATTTGGAGAAAGTTGGGCAAGCGTAAGTGGCATGGTAAAGATAGAGATATTTCCATGGCAGATTGAGTAGGAGTTAGGGAATAGGTTTAACTTATAATATCATATTGGTCACATGCTTGATGTCTTCTTGTAATACGAGGTGAAAGTTAGTTAATAGTTTTATTTTCACAATAAGACTTACAGGGCACTCCATTTCCAATTTATTTGATTTTGTCATAGTATGTCAGTGGAAAAGCAAGGGGGAAAATTTTTGACTTACAAGGCAATAATTTTTTAAATCTTATTTCCTTACTTTTCTTTCAAATTTTTATGAAAAGAAGCTTACCAATTCATTTCCAAGAAGGAATAGTGGAGTCAGTTCTGGCACTTTCAGAGGCTTAAAACTTAATTTTAGTAGTTTTAAAATATGCAGCAACATCTTCCTTCTGGCATCACTGGATTCTCTCAAGCTTTTTAAGTTCTGTGTGTCTTGCTCAAGACGGACTAATTTTCCATTATCAGCAAGTGACTCTAAATGAACAAGGCTAAACACAGCATTGCCAGAACCTTCGGAGATCTGAATGATAACTGGTTGCTGTGAAGTTTCTTCTTCTGCAATAATATTCACTCTCTCACCTGTATTTATTGAAAAAAATAAAATCAATCCCTTGTATTTTAAACATAAGGGTTTAAGTTACTCAGAACCGCTCACCTTCAAAATAATAAGGCTGACAAAGTGCAGAGAAATGGAGCTTCACTTCAGAGACTACTTCTTGATTTGTTCTGAAGGATCCAATGAAAGGCTCTTGGTATTCATCCAAGGGCTTTTTGACAACTTGACACGTAAATGGACTACACAGGCTTAGAATCTGTCCTCCACATTTAAGATACTTCAAAAACACTTCTTGAACTTTTGTTGACACTGAGTCACTATTTCCTAGAACCAATAGAGCGGTGTTTTCGACCCATGGATGGGTGGTGAGCTGTTGTTCATAAATTCTGTATATTACATAGCTATGCAGATTTATAACTTGTGACAGTGCCCTCTTAACCTCAGTGAACCTCCTGCCTTCTGTGTCATAAGTTCCAGTATATATAAGGATGTTCGGAGGCTTTGAAGATTTAGTAGTCATAGCTTTGCTAACTTGACTAGTTAACCTTGAAGCTGGGGAATAACGCAGAGAACTTAAATTAGTAAAATACCTTTATGTTTCAATTTAAGAGACCATTTTTTAACAAAACCATTGTCATGATCGAGGAAAATATAAAATTGGTTTTCTGATAGAATATTGTAGACGGTATTGTCACGATCCTTTACATGAGATACTGCCGCGTTCATTTTCAAAAATGCTCCTAACCTTTACTATTCTAATATTTCTGTTAACTGAACATTTAAAAACAGTCGCACATAACCCTTCGATTCGTTTCAACTGGCTATCAAGAAAGATAGTGCTAGAATCACATGTTTACCTGATGACGATCGAAGGATCGAAATTTCATTTACACCTGCAACCTTCGTACACGACGAAGTCAAATTCAGAATCCTTAATTTTGTTAGGGCAAAACCAGCTAACCAACTAGCACCCAGCATTTCAAGGACGTCCAAAAGAGCGCGTTTCTCACATGACAAAACCACTACGACGTCTAAGGCTTTAGACAAACCAGGGGAATCACCGGTAGGAAATCGCGGGCGCTGTGTGTTGAGTGCCTGGCTATGTAACCTTCATCATCTGTCTCGGGGAGTAATAGGGCTAGAAAACAGCAGGAAAAAGAAGAAAAGGATTCCGCAGGTGCCACCTACAACCAGGAGTGTGGCAACAAATATATAGTTTTTGTGTATGCAGCTTCTCAAATGATATTAGAGAGGTATTAAAACTTAAGAGTATTCAACCTTGCCGCAGACGAAAGAGAGTTATATTAAGTTTTGTTCGGACGCTTTTATTAGGTCTAATTCGATTTGAAAGACTCGGCAAAGTGCTTGGAACCTCAAACTGTTAAACTGTTACATTACATTCGATACTCTATTCGTTTCAATGCACTGCCCAATTTCGAAGAAGCTATCATTAAACGTAACAAATAATTCATAGCTATCTTCTCCTCCTCTTCTTTATCTTTACTCGGATTCTCTGAAGCCGCTGATTCCAGGCAGGAATTACAGCTGGGACATATTTGCTCACTGTAGTCACATCTGATTTTGTCAAGAAAAGAAGTAAATATAGTCAGTTTTTCAATATATCGTACCGTTGATAGTCACTGATTGTCATAAAACAGAGTTAATAAGAGTAGGAAGCCATAATTAAAGTAAACACTTAATCTCAAGCCACATTAGGATGCCTAAACTCCAGTTTCTCGAGGGGGGGACCTTCCCTTAGGTCAAGGCTCTCACACCTCATATTCTGAGTCAAATTTTCACAAAAGTGGATTATAGTCACGCCTTAATTTTAGTTGATAAATGAAGAAAGATTGGTTCACCATAATACAGCCTTATGGAAGCCACCCTATCAATTCTTACTACAACATGCATTAATCAGAACTCAGCATTTCCTACTTCATTGATTCCATAAAGATAAAAACTTATTTAGCCCAGTAGGAACAAGGAAGAAACGACAATAAGCGAAAAGGAAATGAGCCAAGGTGTATTATTTAAAAAGCCACCTACTGTGTAACTACTGCAGCATCACAATCAGAGTCACCCTCCGTCAGAAACTGACACCCATCTGTTAGGAAGGAAAACTGCAGTCATTAATGATGTGTACCTCCTGATGAAGGAAACAGAAAATTTCAAAGACGATGATTATGAATTATGATTTATGGAGAGAGAATCAGCTCGTCGATTCACTAACCTGAGCTTGTTTCATCGCTATGGTTTTTTTGGGGGACGACATGGGATGCCAATGTCTGCAACAGCATAAACAGATGAAACTTAAATGACAAGCTCTGCCAATTGTTACGCGTGTCGGCACTTTTTTCCTTTTTCATCAATCTTCATTCAAAACTATTTTACCTAGATAAGTTAGGCCCTTCTCGTGTACTGGTATTAAGATTAAAGAGTGGATCAACTCCCCTGTACCGAGTGAATGCCCTGCTTCATCTCGTATATATTCGACCACCATACTGCTAGGGGAAATATGTTTTTGGGGGTTCTCTTTACCAGGATTCCATTGTCTGAACCTCACTTCCTTCAAAGGGTGGTGTGACTGACGGAGAAAACAGTCATTAGAACCTTTTCAAGAAAGGGAGAAATGAGAATGCAAGTTACAAACTTCTTCCAGAGATAAATCCTTCTGCTTTCCGAGTGTTTTCTTTGTTATAAAATGTCTCGAATTTTAAGACTTGCCTCTGAAGAAGAAAGTTCACCATGGAGCCCAAAAGCCCGCGCAAAATCTTGTTGTTGATCGGACAGGATTCTATGCACATTATGTTTAAGTTTTTCAAGTTCTCCGTTTATTCTTTCACGCACAAAGTTATCTGTAAAAACAAAAATAAAATCAATGAAGTGTAAACGCTTCTCAAAAATGGTGAAAATGTTATATTTCTTTCCTTCTGTAATTTCAGGAACCTACAGGACATGCAAAGGACATGCATTAAAGGGCCGGCGGGATTGAACCGTCTGTCGTTCAAAAGAAAAGTTAAATGGAAGCGAACATACGAGGTCATACGAAATCCCATCCTCTTGTCTGCTTATATATTTTGTCAATTTGTATTATTCCTGTAATATAGCAATAAAGATACTAGTACTACTACGAATAACAATAATGATACTAGCACTACTACGAATAATAATAATAATAATAATAATAATAATAATAATAACGACGGTGATAATGATAATGATAAATCGGTAATGACGATATTAATCGATAAAGAAATTTATCAAATAATCAGAGAACCTAGCGACAAAGGCAGTAGGTGCTGCTTCAAAAATTAGGAAAGAGTTGGGATTGTTTTGAAGAAGTGAAAAGACAAAATATGCATTTTTAAAGCTATTTGATTAGAAATATTTTACATCTTCTTACCTAGATGTCGGAACACCGCAGCGGCAGCAGCTGAATCATCTGTAGAGCTGGATACTGACATGGCGTCATCTGACATGGGATTCATGTGCCCCACCTTCTGAGTATTTTCAACATCGTCAGCTATTTTCTTATAGCTATTTGAAAATCGAACAAAAATATTGTTGTAATAATGTTACAAGACACAAAAATAACACATTATAGTGTGCAGGGATCAGTCGTTTAATTTTTTTTCTCCCACAACCATTCTGATTTGCAAGGAAAAGAAAGCTAAAAATAATAAACATATTTCAGCGATGCAAAACTGACAGGAAAAAACCTAAATGGTCTGTGACGGGTTTATATTTCAAAGCCACTCAGTGATTGGTCGTCCTACCCTCTTTGCATTTCCTACAACTTCGATCATTCAATTTTTAACACTTTGAAGATTGTGCACAGGTCATTGTGAAAACTCCCCCAAAATATATTATGTTTTCTATTCGTCGGAGTTTCAATTTACAACAAGAGCTACATGCCATTTTTATTGCAAATCAAATTCTGAATCTGAATAATCATTTTACATTCTTAAATTATTGCAAAATTGCATTCTCTCGGCAAGCCAGGGTGATTTTAGTTTAGATGTCTACCTACCTTTGGTTGTGATCATCTGTGAATGTGGTGCAATAGTTGTTCATCAGTGGAGAGGTATCATGAATATTCGTCAAGTGATTCGGATCCGCAGCCATCTTTGAGAGGTTTCGTTGTTTTTCAGGCTGTGGAACCACTTACTGTCGCATCCTAATAAAAATCAATATTTGTAAAAAAGAAGGCCTCTTTTTGACTTGAAGTGAAGTGATTTTTACGCATTTGATAAAAAAAAATTAGCAAATTGAATGATTGTAATTAGCTTGAAGCGCATATAATCTGGGAATATTCTCAAACAGATTTCTCTAGCGCGATCTAAAGAACTCTATTAATTTACCTCTCCTCGAAGAATGAGGAGATTCTCAGTTTCAATCAGTATTTTGTGGAAATTTGGCCATTAGTAATATGAAGTGGCAGTGGTGTGTTTTCCCCAAAATGGATTCCTCCAAGATAGTTTTCGATGGCTAAGTAAACTTCAAAACGGCAGCTCAGATGTGTATTAAGTTTTCTGTTGATACATTTCGCGCCAAAAGTGACGCGCGCGCCGGTTTCCCGCCTTTTTCTCTCTGGAGCCCGCGGTTGGCAATACTCTGAGATCTCTCGGTTGTAAGAGTTATAGATAGGATTAAAGCCTTTAGAGTTTTGTAAAGTTTTCCTTTTTTTTGGCCACAAGATGCTTCATCAAGCTTAGCAAATTTACAAGAGTTAACTGGCTTACATTCAGCATAAAACTCTAAGATGAACGGCGATGGTCTAGAGGACATTGGAAAAGCTTCAACTCTATTGCAAGGTGAGCTGATAAATTGTACAATTAACTGAATTGAATTATCCCAACAATTTTCTTTCCTTGAGTGCAAAACGTTTACCAGGTTCCGCTTATTCTACATCCAGCTCTCGTGAAGGACTTACGTTCAAATCAAAACAGTGAGGAGAGGGTGGCAGTGTTGGCCGATCGTATAACAAACCTGACGTGCAGAATGCATCAACTTACATTTGAAAGAGCTGACAATAATGCAGTGTTGATACAGATTCATAGCAATGCTGTCACTCTGTGGAATATTGCTGTGGCAATGAAGACGGGTAGTGGGCAAACTGGAACAACCGAAAATGCAAAATGTATGTATTTTTTTCCTTCTCACTACCTGAATTTAGTTGTTAAAGTAAGGTTCCACCTCAACCATGCTTTAACCCTTCCACTCCCAGATCTCATTAGCAATATTCTCCTTATAGTCCTGATACAATTCGTACGGTACTTGTTCGAAGAACATGGTATCGGATCAACAAATAATCAGCTAACTGATATCTTCGTTATTCTCATCACTTGCCTGCTTGAAATTGCATCAATTTGACATTGTAAAGATAATTTCTGTCTCGGTCACTTATGGGAGTTAAAAGGTTAAAGAGATGTTGCTTTTGAAACTGCAAGAGTAACAAATTATTAATTCAGATTTCTTCGCTTGCTCGGATGAAGAGAAGATTTTTTTCAATCTTGAATATTACCGACTCCTTTGTATTATCAGGATTGTCCGCATTTGTGCACTTTTACCAGTTTACCATGACTTTCAATTGCAACCTTTACTAGTGATCGACTCACAACAGGCGACATTTATGCTGACACCGGCTGACCCAAGATGTAGCGTTAAACTCAACCAAAAGCCTTGAAAATGTCAGCCGAGTCGGTTAACCGTAAAAAATTGCTGCGAGTAGTCGTGAGATATTCAAGAAAGATTTTGGAAGCTAGTATCCACAACGACTTACATATCACATATAGCCTTATCAGGCTCTCCACCCGTAAGACGAATTTCAAGTTAGATGAAAGACTTTTTGGAATAAGTACACTGAAAATGCAGTTGAAAAATACCCGAATTGGTGTAAAATATAAACCTTTTTGGGTATAAAATTGTATACACAAAAATTTCTCTCCCTTTCCCTCTTTCACTTCTTTCGAGTAGTGTGAACGTAAGAATGCCGCCCTCAATTATCCTGTTGCGATTTTACCAATAGGGGCCTCTGACCAGTGAATAGGAGGAAAAGGCTTCCTTGGCGGAATAATCCATTGCTTTAAATTGTATTTTTTTCTTTCAGTGAGGCATGCAGCTTGCAAGCTTTCATTTTTTGCTAATGCTGCTGAAACATGTGAAGTAACCTACCGGAAACAGTTAGTGGTACGGAATTATGTAACAATTTTATAAATGAAATAAAAACTCAAATTTATTCAAAGTAAATCCAGTTAAATGAATTAATAATTTTGTTCATAATGCAACACTTGATAATCTCGTTTCTTTTAGATGACGACGAAAACAGGACGAGCCTGGCTGGGTGAGAAAAAATATTTACTCAATATTATAGCTTCATTATAGAACATAGCAGTTTCATTCACTTTGCAAGAAAATTTTTACGTCTAAGTTTAATTTCCGTCAGGTGACTAACCCCTAGGTAATCGCCTAAATAAGACAAAGACAATTAAACTTTGCATTTGATACGAACATGGGTAGAAATAGTCGGGAAAGTGGGTAATTGAGCGCAAGATAAATCGCTAAAGCCATCGTTATGTTTAGTTAAGACGATGAGGAAAAGCCTAATAAATAAGTTTTTCGGGATGAACAAGGATTTTATCATTCACAATCATACCTTTATCTTTTCCTTTTCCTTTCATATATTTCAATGTCGACCAAATTGTGTACTACAGATTGTCAGAATCCAGCCATGGCAGATGAATGTCTTGCCTTAGCAACTGAGGCAAGTTTGTAGACTACATAAGAATATTATGATTTGAAAACACGATTAATTTTTTTGTATTAACGGTGGTATCTAAGACGACTGTTTTGTTAAAATTGCAGTGTTGGAATGGGCTGCAGAAGTCGTGGTCATCAAGAGATGAACATGATTCACCTACACCAGAGCAATCGAAACAGATCGCAGAATGCGAGCGATACATGTTCAGAGTCTACTGTTATAGAGCAGAAACGGTGAATATCATTTACCGCTACTCTTCGTGTGATCCAGTTTATCAAAATAATTATATTAATGAAAAATAACGAATCCAGGAAAACTTAAAGTTCCTCTGGATTTTTTACGTTTTTTCGTTCCAAGAGAATACAGTTGATGTGTGGTGGCCATTGATTGAAACCAAAACGAAAACCTTCCAGTCATTCCCGAATCAATCATAGGAAACCTTTCCGGCTTTCCTTACCATACAAAATGTTCGAATTTGCCCTGAGAAGTCTTTATGCTGTTCGGGAAAGCTATAGAAAAAAGACACAAGCAGCAGGGTTGACGGCATGTTCTAGGAGAAAATATAATATACCTTTTTTTAGTTCTATAGATGACACTCTATTCCCATTTTTATGGCGCAACCGCAATTACTCAGCTAGCATATTTGTTATCCATCAAAGAATAATTTGATTTTTTTATTGCAAAATAGAGCTTTTCAATGTGTCAGCAAGATAGAACACAATTGAATGTAGCCAAAGCTAAAGAATTCATGGGCAGACTTCCTGCAAAGGAGGTAAAGGTTCAATCTAAAGTTGGTCTATTTGACATCGAGCGGCTATTTACAGCTTTGATTTTCTTAATTTTTTCGTCTTAAATTTTGTTTACATAAGTGCATTACGCTGGCGGAACTGTGCTACAATTTTGGGGTTGATACATATTACAGAGAGGAATACGAAAAATGTATTGCATGGCTAAGGTAGGTGAAATTTTGGAAACAACTGTGATTGGCCTACTTTTGTTTTGAGACAATTCGTTCCGGATTTCTTACAGTAATCTACAGCGTGATAGAGAGTGAGCTACTGGAGAGTCACCATTTCCCAAATCAAATGTTGGAAAACGAGTGATTTGGGGAGATAGGATAGGTATCTAGAATCTTAGGATCTTCTTAATACTCTTTTAGTGTACGTCATATTATAGGCGAAAAGACGAAATTGCATCACCGAGCAATTATGACAATTAGTGTCCTAGAAACATGATCAAATTTATCTTTCACTCACAATTTTTGCAGGGAAAGTTATGATATTCGGAAAGAAAATGGTTCTTCAGGAGCTAATAAACGGGTGAGCGCCTTTAACTCATAAGTAAAATGTTATCCTTTCATCCACTTACTTTGTCCGAGTAAGAAAAAAAAGAGCATGCTCGGCCGTTCAGCTATTTCTTAAAGTGAAAAAAGCTATAGAATACTGTAAATTATGGAGTTAATTTCCACGTTGCTTCAAACTTGTAGTGCTGATCAAATTTCTGGTTACAGCAAGCTACTACTTTGCGTCTCATGGCCAATGCATATCTTGACTGGGACTCTAAACAACATTGGCAAATGGCTCTTAATGCAGCTGGTAGGGAAAAGTTATTTGAATAAAGTATTTTTAATTCTTTTTTTTTTTATCAGTCTAAATGGTTGGTTTTGAACATTCGTGTTCTATGCTTGGTTTAATTCCACCCTTGACCGCGATCATTTGTCACCCAACTTCCGTAGTTTTAGTGCTACAGTTTCAATTAAATTTAAATTCAATCCAATCATCATATTTTCTTTGAATTTTGAAATCTTTCCCAATATATCCAACCCGAATAAATAATATCTCTTCCACTATTTTTTTTTCAGACCTTGCGAACTCTGTAAGTGGCGTTGCTTTCTTTTAATACGTTACATTTCTTGTTTCAAACCTCCTCCGGCTATTGATTCTTCAGCCATGAAATGATAAATTATACGTTGTGTTTTAGGAGCATGGGCATCCGGCTGGGCTTTACTTAAAAGCCAAACTTCTTTTGATGGGTAATGGAGACGAAGAGTTGCCGTGTTCAAGATTGTGGTCTGGTATGAGGATCTTAGGAATACTTCTCTCTTAAATTAAGATGAACTCAACTTCCAAAGTAAGTTGTCGTGCAAAGAAATTTTAAAGGATATCTAATCCAAAATAGACTACAACATATTAGTGCGATAAAAAACAAACAGCCACAAAACATCAACAGAAACAACTTAAACAAAAAAAACAAGAAAACAAGGGAGGCAACCATAAAACAACGGAAGAAAGAGTCCTTCAATGATGGCCACGTAAGGAGAATATTAGGAGCGATTGCAAACCACCTATTAGAATAACGTGGCTCGACGTTTCAAGGTCTGCACGCTGTGACCTATCAGCTCCTTCAATATATAATCATTGGTACGCGTTTATAGCTATAGATTTTGAGGACGAGTCGAACGGAATGCAGATTGAGAAGCTCCATTTAAATTCTCACCTTTCCTTTCACCCAGCATTCGAGGATACTCTCCGGCACCCTGACTTAAAAGTGGATCTTGGGCTTTGTGCTGTAAACCTAGCCGTCCAATACAAGAGGTGAGTGATCTATAATATCGTTGATAGTATGATCAACCATGGTTTGTAATACGCTTACCAGTTACATAATGTATTACCATTTTTACCTTTTGGCAAATGTGGTAGCCTGTTACACTTCTTTATGGAAATAGACATTAAGAGTCGCATATTTTCCTGTTTATGAGAGAACAAAGCTTGATGAATGTATTTTATTACGTTTTTATCCTCAGAACAGAGCTGACTTTTGACTGCTTGAAAATCTTGGAATCTAGATTTAAAAATTCTCCCGACCTATACAAAGTTCAGTTAGAGCATTTGGTAAGTTTCAAATAATTCATGGCGTTGGCATAATATTTTTATTCGGTTGCACCCGTTATAGGGTAAAGTTCCAAATCATCTTGATGTAGTTTCACAAGGTATTTACACGTGTAATTAAAGTAAGAAAATCTTCTTTTGGTTAAAGGTTGGTACAGACCTGCTGCTCCCAACTGTGGTCGAGTTCAATAAAGGACATAGTTGGAGGCAGATAGTTATTATAGCCCGAATTGATCTATTACCATAAAGTCTTAATTACCAAAACTGACCTCAATTTTCCCTCTCTGCTTTCCATATCTAATCCTTGAAGGAACTTCTTCTGACGAACAACAAAGATGAAGATGCCAAAGCTCTCATCGAAAAATGCATTGTTGGTATGTTTTTTTCCGTTTTTCCTCTTTTGAAATCGCTAAGAAATTTTTGAGTGGCGAGGTCACTGTGACGAAGTCATCAGGGATTCTTTGTAACATGATCATGATTGTTATTCTTATTGTAGATTCATTTTCGGAACTTTAAGAAGGAATAAAAGAAATTATATTTATTCTGATTAGACTTTCCGAGAACCACTGCCCATTTCGGATGAGATTATACGCAAAGCAGGAGTACGTCGTTTGTTTACCAGTGATTATTCAAAAAACTCACGTATTCGTGTTAAACTCTGTTATAGCACAGCTTTTTTCTCTATTTTCTTTAGATCAAATGGAGAGGTCTCTCGATTTTCAGATTTGTCAGCGATTCCATATTCTCTTGTGGGAAAAAGCTGCTTCTGCTTACGAGGTTAAGGCAACTGTTGGCAATTATCATAATCCATTAATTCATTTTCGCACGTAAACAGAATTTTGTTCAACGATATAATATACTAGCTTTTCTAGGTAGCACCATTAGGCTAGCACTATCATTGACCGACAACTTTCTCGTTCTTTCCTTAGAGGAAAAGCTACAGAGAAGCCTTAGACTGGTACAATTACTCTTTGAGCTTCTTTTCTTCAAAAGAGGAAGACATAAAGAATATTGGGAAACTCCTGGTTAGTGGTTAGTTTTTTTAGGCCTAATTAAATTTAATCGAAACGCCTCATTGAAAAACTAAGCAATGACAGGTATTATCTATGATCTGGGTAAGTATGACATATCTTCAGCAGAATTTATAACACTTCAGACGAGAACCTTTTCGCAGGAAAAACCGAACCAAACAGAATAATAAAATAGCAATAGAAAAATTATAGTAATATTGGACTCACTTCACTTACAATCAGGATAAGAGAGTTCTCTACCTCTTTTTTACGCAGAGGAACAAATGCTCCTGTTACATGAATCTTCAAGATTACGAAAAGGTCGGTATTAATAGTTAATTTTTAGTCATTCGATAAATGCTCTACTTTCAACATGGTGGATAGTTTTGGACGACTGAATATGAATGCCTCTCCTTTTTCAGTTCTTGTACTTGCGTTAGGCTTATTATCTCCCTGATTTCATCTGACGGGACTGTGATTTTCTTCATAGAGCAAACCGGAGTTAACTCCATGAGCTAGTTGATCACTCAATTAAAATCTCATGTTTCTTCCATTTTCTATCTCATACTCCTATGAAAAAGTACCAAATAAACAAACAAAGTTTAAAATAAGGCCCTTTCACTTTCTTCAGCTTATTTTTCTTTGTTTGTTTCTTCGTTTGCTTTATAGGCCAAAGAAGTTATAGTAGAAGCGGAGCAAAGTGATCCTGACAGTCCCGTCATTCAATTCTACAAGTTTAAAATCGCTCTCGCCGAAGGACAAGATGTTGTCGGTCAGTTGTGCATTTGTATTCTTTGACATCTTTTACGGTTTACATTGCAAAATAGGGCAATGTAGTGAGAGGTTATTCTTGTCACTGAGAGGCACGAGCTTACTCAGAAAAAAGGCAGGATAGGTGTTTCAAACCTAAATAGAAAACACGACCCTCCTATTACTGATTCTTGTCTCTCATGTTCTCTCTCCATTGGTTTGTTGTAGCTGTAGACGCAATGACAAAGATAAGCGAGGTTGGTTCAAATCAAGATAATGATGTAGCAGAGACTAATGCTCATGGACTGATCTGCCTTGCTGCACAGCTAGCTCTAGAGGTAAACTTTCATGTTACAAACAGATGGACAGCAAATACGCTCTGCTGTTTACGTTCCAGGTCGGAGTACTGATTGTCCTTCGCTCTATTGCGGATTGAATTGACTCGGTGACACCAATTATTTGAGCGATATCGCTTTTTATATTGATTACTACATAATGACTTGGGATTTCTATAGCACGAAATTAACAAAATGTTAACTTGAATGGACCGTGATCAGAAGGGTGTAGCTAAAATTTATCAAACCCTTGCGCGCGTAGAAGATGAAAATAGGAATTTTGAATACAAAGTAAGAAAACTTGAGTTCTTTAAAGATTTAAGGTTGGTACGCAAGTTCCTTAGATACCTTTTATTCCACTAATCTCTTTCCACACATGAACTCTTTCCATATATGCATTCTTTCCATATACGAACTCTTTCCATTTCTACAAATTCCCACAATAGTGATTTGTTGCTAGAAAGCGCAAGATCATTTTTATCAGAGAAAATGCAGTCTGCAGTCACCAGGATAGACTGAGATAAATGACGTGTACCTTGTCCTTCAGCAAAAGAACCATAACGTAGCTGTCAATGCCTTAGAAAAAGTCGTAGCGAGCAGCGCCGATAACCAGCAGGTTCTAACCTCACTTAGGTAAGTCATTCAAGTATTTTCCTCTCTTTTCATCACGATCGCGTTTTTGTAATGAAAACAGACAGGTGTGCTGCTGCTGACACGGTTTGATAAGCTAATTTGCTTGATAACGAAAATGGTGCTTGCGTTTAGTCGGTTTCTTTGAGTTTCTTCTTCAATCCATCTCCAGTGCTTGTTGTTCAAAATTGCCACGCTTGGTAATTTTTTTCTGAGACAGGCTGTTTTATCGTAGTGTGAGAGCTCCATTTCACCGAATGTGTAAAATCCGTGACGCAACCCATTTTTTCATTCTCTACCCAGAAAATTAATAATAGGACGGAAAAATCATGGAGCGTTCCCTTTTTTGGAAGAAAAAGATTAGCCGTGATCGCTAGTTCAAAATGTTTTTAATAGGTGCCTGACAAGACTAAAACTGACGCAGTCCACAGATTCTGGAGCAAAGTAAGTTAAGGAGGAATTCTACCTGGATACCCATTATTAAGGCCAGGTAAAAGGAGGGGGTAAAAAAAAAAGGTGGATTGAGGGATTACATCCTTTTTGTTACGCATTATTGTACACTATGACAAACACTTAAAAGAAAAAAAATTCCACGAAAAAATGAAAAAACAAAAAAGAAAAGGGATACTTCTATACAAGGTAGCCTTAAGAAAACAGTGTCACTAAACATTTTGTTTAAACACGACTGTTAGCCGTACTTTTTATGTCCCAATGACTGTCTCTCATTGTCAATAAATTCGTTATTATTAATCAGTTCTGCGGCTCTTTTCCATTGATTCAGAAAAGATTACAGCAGCTTTTTGCTTTACCTACAGACTGGTAAGTGTTACACGATTTTAGAAGTCTGATAAGAGGGTTTCAAGTGAAGTGTCCCTTAGATAGAGGTAGCTACCTTACCCCTGTTCGTATAAACGTAACTTTTTCTGAATCCACTGGATTCAACTCCAAATATTTTTTTCTGAATCCCAACTAGTGGAAAACTTGATGCACGACAGGATCCTTACTTTGTTCGTAGTTTTTTATCTGTAAAGTTTGCTCAACTATTCCAGTCAAATCCGCCTCTCATTTTCTTTTTTAGCTTTAGATCGCTTGAATCAGATGGAGCTGGTGAGCGATTCTAATGTGCAAACAGAAGCCATATGGTTCATGAAAATTGGTAAATTTTTCCTGATTCTTTGATACTCTTGTATTTCACGGGGTGCGAAGAATTATATGTTAAGAGGGTTACTCAAGAACGAGGAGAGATGTTAAAATCAGATGTAAGCTATACATGTAATTTGTGCTTATTGTCTTTGACTGATATCCAGTAAACATAGTGAAATGATAGGACATCACGCAGATAATATATAGCTTTAATACATAGCGGGGATGTGGAATATGAGATCACCGCTTCCCGCCCCTTTTGACATCCGGGACATTACTCGAATTCCGGATTTAACTATGTAAAATAAACACACCTATGTCATAACAGACAGGGAAATGGGTGGGGACAGAGAACAATTCCATCTCAAGTTGCGAAATATTCGGCGCTAGAATTTATTTTCATCCCTTAATTCTGTGACAGACAAAAGGAATCACTACTAGACAACAACTTAGTTAAAAAAGAAAAATGCCTCCACCCCCCAAAAAATATAGATATATATATGTATTTATATAATAAGCGCAGTTATGCATGCATTCCGATTGGTTCTCACTTATGATCTATTAGTGGACAGCCGTATAGATGACGTCATCGTTAAAACTTTTTTTTCCGTATATTTTAATTCTTTATTATATAAAACAAATAGATTCCAAGTTGCCGTGCGTCTGTTCAGTAATAGATCACAGATGACGTAAAAAATGTGGTAAGAACATCAGTGACACACTCGGCTGCGCCTCGTGTGACACTTTTTTGGCAACTTGGAATCTATTTGTTAAATATATGAATAAAACAAAAATAAAACTTATAATAAGCATTATATGGCATTTGCGAAAAAAGTTTATTTGTTTTTTTTAGCGTGGAATCTAGCTTTGGAAAGTACCGATTGTTGTACAGAGATGCAGGAACTTTTCCTATTCTGTTACAAGGTGTGTGTTTACGAGTTTTTCCTTATTTGTCCAGGGACAATTGTTGCCAGTAGTTTTCTACGCCCACCCCGTAAGAATGACTTACGGGGTGGGCATAGATAATTAGTTTTCAAAAATATTTAGTATAAGTTGTTTACTACTATAACTGCTTGAATGCGATTAATCCAGAAATTGTTACAATTTTTTTTATTTCAAGTTTTCATGTCTGTGTCTCATGGAATCATCCAATTTGGTTCGTCAAAAAAATTGTCTGGTAATGGCAGCAGCTTCTGCAGTTCAAGCAGCGAGAGAGAAAATCAGTGGAGATGAAAAGGTTTTGCAAACGTCTTTCAGACTGAGCAGTAAATCAAACAATACAAATAAGTAGTACAATTACGTCAATAACTACGAGCTTGTATCCTTTAACACTCCGCAAAGGAGGTCGAAATCTCAAACTCGATGGAAGTTCCATTGATGAAAGGGAACAAGCGACTGGTTTTGCTGTTATTCCTTACATTCAGGGTGTTACGGAACCCATCAAGAGAACGTTAAACAACGTTAAAGTTGCTCAAAAACCTTTTCAGACTTTGGGGCATATTTTTACCAAACCTAAGGATCCTGTCACGAAAGAACAACGAACCGACGCCACTTATTCTATTCCTTGCAATGACTGTGATAACGAATACATCGGACAGACCAAACGTCAGTTTGGTACTCGTTTGAAAGAGCATCAAAGAGCGGTTTCCTTTTGCAAAAAAGAAAATTCAGCTTTATCGGAGCACACATACCTAACTAACCATGCAATTAGTTGGGATAAGCCTATTATTAACAAATTTGGTGCTCTCAAAACGAGCTTTTTTAAATTTTTTTTTCAGACTAAGCTTTTAAGGAAGTGTCTCGGACATGTTGATGCGTGTCGCGTCTTACGAAAGAAGATTGGAATCGGAGGTTTAAATAGCAGCCTGAAAGGTGATAAAAACATTTTTTTGTGCTCCTTAAGCATTTTTCTCCCAAATGATTAGTCCAAAGTCGGATTCAAAGGTTCTGATGCCTTGTTCAAGAATCAAAATTTACAAAAATCGATGACCTCTCAAATTACGTACTTCTCAACATAGTTGCTCCAAAAATCTAAAGGATGTCCAGTTGCACAAGTAAAGATCTTTTAAATTAACGATAATTCATATCTTTCAGATGAATCGTTATTACTGCTGGCGTTATATGAATTCGAAGCAAAAGCACAACTGGGTGATTCAGACCTCTGTTTCTGTCTTGATGCTGCTGAGGCTCTACTCAACGCAGATCCAGGAACATTTGAAACCTTTGCTGGTACAATTTTCAATGTTTAAAATGTAGAAATATGAATTTTCCACAAATACCGATTTTCTAGTCTTTTTCATTTTAATTTTATGAACTATCTTCCCTTTCTGTAGAATTTACCGTGTTTTCTCATTTTCTCTAACTTTATTGGCAATTAATTCGTTCTCCCCTCCTCCTGCTTCTCTAATTTCCACCCGGGGTAGTTTGATTGTGTGGTATTTTAACTTTCTTGTGATCGAATCCAGCGCTTGCAGTTGAGCCGCCTGCTTACCACAGGGAGATAAGCATGAGGGCACTGAGAATTGCGATAAAGAAACACTTAGCTATGGACGTGATTGACTTCACTAAATTAAGGTAACTATGTGTGTCGTTAACAATTCCATCACAATCACGTTATCACTATTTCTAACATACCATTGCCGCGAGCTAAAGCAATTTTCCGAAGCGAATGTACGATACCCTTCTCTCGCTTCTTTTTTGCAGCAAAGCTTTTCATAGTCTGGTGCACCACGCATTAAGTAGTGGTAGCAGCAGTGATGCCGAAAGTAAGGAAGAGGCCTTCGCTGTTTACCAGGACATATGTAAAATCATCGAGAACCAAGCGAAGGTACCCACTATAAACAAATAGATAACTACAGTATGTTTGGGTCCAAGCTACAGTATAGGCATATATATAAAACATTGAGGTTGGTGGCGTGATAACCTTTTGAAAAGGCGGAGTAGGTCACAGGAAACGATGTTAAGATCACACAGGCCCATTTCTACCCCAGAATGCAATAAATAGTGGTTATCAACCATATGCTGAGTGGTAACCTGCATGGTAACATTTTAGATAGTACGACTGAATGAAGCGAAGAATATCCGCTTGCAATGAAATAGCTCATGCTCTTTTAAATCCAGGGCTGTTATCCTGAAATTCAGATCTTATGGCTGATGACAAAGGCATGGAACTGTGGAGTAAACTTATTCAGGTACTGCCATAGTGAATGATGAACTTTCACAAGCCACAAAAAAGTATTTCGTTGAATTAAAACAGTTTGGTAAAACGACAGAAAATGCAATGATAAATCTTTCAGCCCAACCATCCAGTCTACCGAATGACTTACAATAGAAAAAAAAAACCCTGTCGAAATCAGAATATTTATTGTGGAATTTGAGAGGGGATTTCAGTTTGTTACGAGACGTACAGAAATGACTCGACGGTCAATGGTGTGCCATAAGTGTGCAAATCCGATTGCATCTGATGGTGAAATCCCTTTCAATGATAATCCAAAATCATGCGAGAGATGGCTTTAAATTAAAAGCAGATTATAATTTTTTTGTTTAACAGAATGTTTGAGGTTAGCTTTGTTAGATTTCTATCTGTAATTTTGCAACTGTATTGTAAATCACTGCAATTTTGCTATACTTTTCGCGTTCCACTGGTGTAGTCACGGCTTGTATTATATTCCCTAAAAGAAACCAGTTCTCTATTAATTATAAATTAAGCAACTAAACTATAGCCGAGGTAGTTCGAATATTTGAATATTTCTGCAAATGCGCAAAATAATGCAAATCATTCTCATTCTAGCGCTGGCGGTCACGAAGCCGGAGAGAAATGGTGTGGATTGGCCATGAAACTGCTTCATCACTTGTCGACATTTAAGTGTAACTATCAGGATAAGGTATCCCATGTTAAGCCATTTCAAGTGATTAAACTATCCATTTCACTATTTATTTAGTCATTACATTTTCTCTCCTTCTTTAATAGATTGAATCAAAATCAAATAAATTTATACTAGATAGTCATCCATTTCTTGATATTTGCTAAAATACAAGAAATGTGACATCCATCAAGATGATATGTAAAGAATAATAAATGGGCGTGCGTAGATATGGAATTTCTTTTCGAGTGTTTAACTCGATAGCTCACGAGTGAGATGGTTATGGCCTTTCTCAGGGTTGGAAATCCTTGTGTAACACCGTAGTTAATATTGTAAAAGGTTTTTGTTTTTACCATAGATGACCAAAGTTTACGGGGATATATTGGATCGTATGGAGAGGAACACATTAAAAGGTCAAGTTGAAGAGTGATGTTGAAGCTACCTGAGTGTACGATCTGATTTTGCTTTTTTCAAGTTCTGTGTGTAATTCGCCTAATAAATTTGTCAACTTTATCGTGACCATTAAGTGTTCAGATAAAAAAGGAAACAACAACAACAAACAAACAAGAACAATTATGTGGAGCTAAGTGAAGAAATTTCAGTCATATATCTGAAAGTGTATAAGGCGTTTGAACCAGGAGCAAGGTGAATTTAGAGAAATAAGTTTGGGTTTGGACAATTCAGGTTCGAAATTATTTTCCCAAAATTTAATTCTCTCAAAAGTTTACACTATTGTCTCTTTTTAAATGAAATATAATTCAATTTGGTTTATTAAAAGTTTTACCTTTCCTCCACTTAATAAATGTAGCTCTCAGTTATTCATCATCCCACATGCCCTTTTTACTATGAAAATAATGAAAAATATTTGGATGTCGCAGTCGATCATATTCCATTCCAGAATAAACGATTCTTTCCATGAAGTCCCAGTCCTCTCCGCCCCATTTCTCGTCAAACGCTTTTTCATTAAGACCACCAACTTTGTCCCAATCACTCTTATAAACACCAACCAATCCAAAGCCCAATGGTTCCCATTTTCCTTCTGGGGTTTCTGGAGTTTTCCCACAACCCAAGCGGATGATAACGGGAGTGTAGACAGAACGACCTTCAAAGCAATGCTGTGGAACAGATTTAGAAATAACTTAATTATTTAAAGTAGGGTGTTTAAAACGAGAAAGGCATCTTCGACGGTAAACTACAACCGTCTATAATTGCCGTCATTGACTAATAAGTGATTGTTTCCTTACTTACCAATAAAATAACGTTATTTTATAGTCCCGTCGTATTTGTGCCACCTAGTTTTGGTAAATACCTCCATAAGGATACAAGTACGATAAAACCTATCGATATTACCCGTCTGCTTTTTAATCTGATAACAGGCCTCGTTTGTTCCCGTTTTTCATGCGATGTACAACTTCAACAGTCTTTGAGTAAACCGGAAAAAGTACTTATCCCTATGTCAAATACAAGCCTGATTTTTCCTTGGGAATCGAGCTAACATGGAACATACGAATGTAGGAGTTGTGGGTGCAGGCCGACATAAGATCAGTAAGTAAGTTTTGGAATGGGTAGAAATGTGGTTCATTTCTATACCAAAATTAATAATTCCTTTACTTTACATGTTTTCGTCAGTTTAACGGAAATCTTATGAAAATGTTATCTATGCTCACTTTACGGATGTCGTCAAAGATTGTGGAAGGTAAGTCCAAGTGAAGATCAAGAGTGAATACGATGGTTTTCGGATCCTGAACTTGTTCCACAGCCCTGTTGAAGGATTTGGTACGAGAATAGTGCTTTGCTTCGTGAACGATGACTTTAGTGGGAGGAAGTTTCCTTTTCGCCAGCTCCTGTTCCAGATTCATGTCGGAGCTTTTATAATCGTATATCACTAGACTCACTTTGTTGTCCTTTGAAGCACTGTATATTTCTTCTAAGTTGTTTAGGAAGTGCATCATCCACCGTCCCTGGTTTTTGAGGGTGATAATCAAGGCGATTTTTGCATTTCTATTCCACTGGAATCCCTTGGGATAACACAAGTTGTCGGAGCCTTTGGGCCAAAAGACAGATTCTGAAAGCATGACCAGTTCGTTTTTTCCCGTGACATTTATTAGGAACTCAAGAAAGAATCGACTTCCCAACTTCGGATCGACTTTTCTTTCCACGTTAACGAGTTTCACGACCTTGAACTTTCTGCATGATAAAGTAAAATTGTCGCTAAATGATAACAATAACTACAACCACATCAACAACAATAATAATTATTATTACACCCATTTTGAAATCACTGATGGTCCCTGTAATCTGATTGGCTCTAATTGGTGCGATTTATTCACAAATTGCACCATTTTTTGCTTTAAATCGCATCTTTTCCCCAGCCAGTGAGGAGGCTACACTAAAAACAAAACAACCAATCAGACTTCAAGGCTTGTTTAAAGTAACCGATCATAGTGCAGGAAGATGAAAGACATGGAGTATCATATGGCAAATTTTGCAACTTTTGTTTCCAAAACTCTTATTTTTTCCTCCCAAAAAATGGATGAATTTAATTTCAAACCAGCTCAGTATTGTATTAATAAAATATTTCAACTGACCAAGTCCTGTATTTGGGCGATTTCAAAACGGATGTAATAAAGTAGTAATTGAACCTCGTGTTGTGCAATTTTGGTCTGAAATCATACTTGTGACGTCAAATCGAACTCGCGCTGTGCGCTCGTTCAATTTTGGAATCACGCGTATGATTTCAGCCCAAATTGCACTCCACTCAATTCAATTACCATTATTAATATGAGCCGAGAAATTTCCGAGATTTAAATGATTGACAGTATCACTATTTCAGTGTAAAAGTGGTATATATAACAGCAAAAATAGATGATATAACAAGTTTACCATGACAAGTGAGGAAATACAAAAGCTCGCCGAAAAAACAGTAAAACAAAAGTGCGGTCAAAACTAGAGACGTGGATGAACGTTTTGAAGTCGTGGGTAGAAAGCAAGGGTCTTAACGATGATGTTGTCGAATACGAAGGTAAGGAACATGACGAATGCCTCTCGCGATTCTTTGCCGAAATTCGCAAAAGCGATGGCTCCGACTACCTGCGGGACAGCCTAAGGGCTACGTTAGCTGCCTTCGCCATGCACCTCAAAAAAATGACAACAAAACATCCATAACGAACGACCAAGAATTTGTCAAGTGCAGAATGTTCTCGGAAGGAAAAACAAGAGCTCTTCGCGAAAAAGGCCACGGAAAATGGCTAAATGCAACAAAAGCCCCTACCGTCCTCGAGAAGCTGTTGAAAAATCGTGACTTGGCGAACAAAACCCAAATTCACTCCCCCATACTTTCATTTTAATCTTTGGGGTTTCCAGGAGCACCATGAAATTTTTGTCGAAGATTTCAGTTTAAACAAGGACGATCAAGGTACAGAGTGCGTAAAATTCGAAGAAAACCCAATAAAGACCCAGCAAAACTGTCTAAGAAAGAAACGAAGAGCCACCCAGCCAAACATCTTTGCCACTGGAGGTCCCGGTTGTCCACTCCACTTCTTCAAACATGTCTTTCCCACAGACCTGAAGAAATGCGAAACAGTGACCCATATTATCTCGCCATTATTGAAAAACCGAAACACGAAGTGTGATACAAGAATCAAATGATGGGTTTCAATAAGGTCGACTCCTTTATAAAAAAGTATGGCCTTGACCTGAGGGAAGAAAGTTACCCAACCATTTGGTAAGAAAAACGCTTATGAAGAAGCTGAAGGCCTCGAATCATGCAGCCAAGAACTGCTATCATCGGTGTAACAGGCCACACAAACTACGAGGAAGGTCACGAAGCAAAACAGCGACAGATCTCATCTATTATCAACCTTCCTGTCTGTCAAAACGTTTAAAATTCCCTTCCAGTTCTTTCCTGTTTCCCCACTCAGTACAACCATACAGCGACTCCAGCCTGCCAAACAATAGTTCACCACTTTCATGGCTGCCAGGTGACGATAAATTACGGAGCTGGCGTTGGTGTTTTTCAACAAAGCAGTAGTTAAATACTAAGAGAAGCTTGCCCGTACCTTAACTTAATTTGTGGTTTTACTTCACCGCTGCCGTGACAGCAAAAACCGTGATTTTAGAATTTCTTCCATTGAACAATTTCATGTTTTTTTGCCTTCAATAGTTTGTATTGGTTTCACAAAAAACCGTCAACCCCCATTTTTCTTCTTTGAGGTAAAGAAATTGTTACCAATACAGACGCCTGCGTATTCTTTTTGTTTGTTTTTCTTTTCTTTTTAAACTGTAACGAAATAAAGGTTTCCTGTGCGTTACCGAAAATTACTCGGCTTCTCTTATAAACAAATAATGGTATGACCAATGCGTGGTATTACGACTTGTAATATTTCAAAATTGTCCAAAATACCACTCACCCTTCGCGGCACGTAGTATTTTGAACAATTTTGAAATATCACTCGCGGTATTATTGGCAAATACCACTACAAGTCATGCTTTTACCTCTACTTATATTAATTAATATTGATATGATAACCCGGGCCAGTATCTGTAGGAGATATTGGGTTATCATGTCGAGTTCAAAGTCTGCCTGCCTTAAGCCCCTTGTCCATGTAGTGTTCTCAAACATTTTCAGACTCAGAAAGAAGTGCCTTCTTTCGCAGATTGTTTAAAAAAAAAATGTGTCATGGAACAATTATTTAATTCGTTTTTCAAATGATAACTCATACCTCGGCATTGTTAATTCATGCTGTACCATGCTCAACCTCATCCAATAATAGGTATTTGCATTGCCTCATCCTTCGGCTTCGGCAGACAACACAGTCGCGAGATTTAATAATTTTTGATATCATGCGAAAAGCGAATCTAATGATTGCTTTATTATACATTTTTTAATAATAATGTGCAATAATCAGCGAAAGAAGACACTCTCTCTGAGTTTGCAAGGGTTGAGAACACTATACGGACGGTGGGCTTAGTGTAATATCCGCTGTATAGGGTTATCATGTCAACTTCACACGCTTTGTATATTGATTGAATATTCTCGAACACTTAAATTTTAACGGTTAATAAAAATAGTAAAAATAATGATAATATAATCGACTGAGTTAGTTCTGGTTCATTACAGCGTTGAAAGCCACAAGATTTTAGAATAAGGCAAATTCGCCCATCAGTTGGTTGAGGCCAAAACAGCCTACAACTGGCCAAACAAACCCTCATCTTTTTGATGTAACGCTCGCTATTCAGGTGCTAACGTAGCCTAAGAAGCTGTAAGCCAAAGAAAAAATGGAAAATATGAAGATTTTTGCGGCTTGAATGTATTTGGCCTACTTGCACGCTTGCGTGATTATTCAGACTGTAAGGTTACCTTTTTTTTTTTTTGTTCTTATTTTCTCAAAGCCGTCCAGTGCGATGATAATAGTAATAAAGTTTATGTTATCGGGCGAAAATATATTTGACCCCTCCAAGAGCTCATTTTAACCCTCGTTTACTGGCCCGGCCTAAAAAGGCTCTGATTCGGGCCTAAGACATATCAATGCCCACGACCATAGAGTCTACTTTTATAAAAAATAATAATAATAATAATAATAATAAAAAAAAAAAAAAAAAGAGCCAAGCGTGTATCTACTCACCCTGGGTGGTGTTCATGTAGAGCATCCACATACTTCTTTGCAGCTTTTTTTGCGATCATCATATCCAAACTATGATTCGCTAATTCTGGATAATATTCCACCACGCTTTTATACTCAACAGCTGGGTAACTCTTTATGGGAATAAAGTAACCGTTTAGGAAGTCGTAACCCCTTTTCGGGCCTCTGGGTGCTTCTTTCATGGTTAGATAACTTGGTTCATAAGGGCAATGAGGCAATACGTTGGCAACTTCGTCGTGAAAAAGGTACACAGGTCTGGATTTGGTGTTCGTTTCTAAGCTTTGAAAATGACTGTGCCTTGATTTACAAGCGGGACTTTCTGGAACAGAGTTGTAGTTATTTTCCGTTACACTGTTGTCAATGAATAGAGAAAGGCTATCGGCGGGAATCGTCTCGAATTCATCTCTTTTCATTCCAGGCAGGCTCCATGCAACTCGAACAAAATCGTCTCCTCCCATTTGAAGATGAAGAATTTCTATGAAATATTTGTGACCCATTAACAACTTTATTTCGATGGAAACTTGTGTGGGCGAAAGCTGAAAATTGTTTCTGGTGGTCCATTCACTCAGGCTACAAATCAAAACAGCATTTTCTGGGTATTCGTTTGAGCTGAGCCACAGTTCAGATAAGTCATCGGAAGCTAAAGCAAATTTATAATATCCTGTTTTCGGCGGGTGTAGAAACCCAAAAATTCTCTGAGCATAATCACTTTCATATCTTGAAATATCCAATGAGTTTACAACGGTTTTCACGTCTGGTGCCTTTGGAAACAACGGGTGATAACAAAGAAGTTGAATTGAAGATTGGCAGAAGTCGTTCCAGATATGGGTATTCGCTCCCAATAACTCAATTTTGGCTGCTTGATTGGCGACTGCGAACCTTTTCCGGTAATTTGAGTTCAATTTATAACTTTCATTGTCAAAAGAAACATTAAATTCAACTGATATCCGGTGCCTTATTGTTACTAAAAACGTTCCACAAATGACAAAGGCTGCAAGTGCCAGAGTAATGCTCTTGGTGAGTCGCTTTCTGCGAAAAAGAAACATAAAAAATTTACACAGTGGCTTCATGATTCTTACTTTTAAAATAAATGGTCACTGTTTAGCTTCGTATGTTAATCAATCACCTTGCGTGTGTATTTTGACACGGTTCGGACAGATTTTTACAAACTTGAATAAATCACTTAGATACGCTCCAGCAGAAAAGTTTTATTACTTTATCGTTGTTTGCAAAGCCTGCGTCATTTGTTTATCTATTTATTCACTTTTTTTTTTTATCAAAAACCTTTTTAAGGAAAAAAATAAAAAATGTTTTTCTTGTTACCAGGAACTGAGACTGTATTGACGCGACAGGTTCAAGAGTTTGCGATCTCTTTACAATTAGATCATGGACTCGTCGTTTCCATGGTATCATAGCCTACTTATTGCGTTAATATATCAAAAAGTTGCCCAGTTACGAGTGTCCATTTAAATGCGTCGAATGTTTTGAATCCTTTGAGGCCTTTAATTTTGGTCTGCTTAAAACCGAAATACTCATCTTTTAGATTTAAATATTCACTCAAATTAAATGCACCATATTTCAAAGGTGAGAAAAAAAAAACTTCTTAGTAAGAGTATAAAATCCCCTCAAAGAACGATATTCTCTGGTAAGCTACTGTAATCTAATGCTAACCATGATAGCCTAGTACAGTGCTTTGTCTATCTAGTAGTTATTTTTTTAATGTTATGTTATAGTTGTGTTTCAGTTTTGTAGTACTTTTGTAAACTGTATGCCGATTTTTAAGTATCAAATGATTAAACGTACCATTTTAATGTTCAAGTTTTTATTTGGAGTTGATTGTTTTGGTGAACAAAATGAATATACAACAAGGGGCGATACGAATTTTATGGAAAATGTGTCCGTTTAGTATTTATCAGTACGAAATGGCAGGTATCATAAATCGAACGAATGTGCAATGCGAACGAGTGTGATTTCTTATACAAACGAAAATAGGGAATATCAAATTAGCTACCCCTGCTGTTCAACTTCTTTTTAATTACAAAATTCCTCAAACGTCCTGACATTGGCCGGGACCAACTTCAAAACAATTTTATCCTATACAAAACAAGATATCCTTAGAGAATTAGACGCATTCAGTCACGGTGCTTGCAAAAAGTCAGTGTGACGAAATCTTTCCATCTTTCAGGTCGGTTGGATTTGCTCTCAATTTTTTTTCCTTGAGCGTCCAAAAATTACCAAGGTGATGAGCCATGCATCAGAAAACTTTTAAAGCACAGACCTTTTAGGGAGAAACGAAGGGCAAGAGGGCAGTTGCATTTGCTTTGGGAACGCTTTGTACTCAATCAATCAACTGGATATATCTCATGCTTCAGCACTTTTAGCCAGCTGCCCGCTGACAAGTAATGTCCATATAGCAAGCACTCTAATCGGTGCTGCCATTTTACGCTTTAACCCTCTCAGTCCCATGAGTGACCAAGACAGAATTTCTCCTAACAATATCAATACAATACCAAGCATTCAAGTAATGAGAATAACGAAAAATATCAATTAGGGGAACAAGTTGATTCAGTACCAAATTCTCCAGAATAACATCACAAGAACAGTATGGCAGACAGTAAGAAGAATTACTTATGAGATCTTGAGAGTTAAAGGGTTAAAGTATCCAGCCGTGCTCTTGCTCTATTTTCACATTTCAAAAATTCATGTCCGTCTCAGTTCGTTTGGTGAATAACGGAGCAGCCTATTGGTGGGTGGAGATATTTTTTACAGCGGGCGGTGGGGAACGGTGTACGACGATAACTGGGATATCACCGACACCAATGTAATACGTCGTGATTTGGGTTTCTCCCGTGCAACTGCTTCTGCTCATCCCAGAGCGAAATGCGTACCGTCAAGGGTCTGGTGGTATCTGGACGGATGAAGTCAGATGCCAGGGAGGAGAGCTAGATTTAAGTCAATGTTCACACGACGGGTGGAGACAGGGAGATTGTGGCTGCTCTCATAGTGAGGACGCAAGCGTTGAATGCACTTGAACTCTCGGTTACTTAACATCATCGTAAGTTTTTGCATATTAATTCTCGCATTTAAATCGAGCACTTTGTTTAAGATTGCTTGTTTGTATGCCATTGAAGTCGTACAGCCGAATGGATATCCACTATTATTGTAGGAGAGTGCGAGCTACCATCTTTAGGTAGGTCAAGGGTTTGTGCCCCATACAGAATTAACACTTAGGACTCGAAAATATTTAAGGAAAATCTGGCTTGCCCTTGTAATGACATGCATTATATCCTTATCCTCAGGAGTTTGTGTTTTGTAGGCGATGCAAACAAGATCAAGCACTATTCACAAAGAGAAGCACGCAGTCCTCGGAGTCAAAGTGTGGTCTTTTTTTGTAGTACTGTCATGGCTCGGCTTGGGCTAGAAATACTCGGATCGAGGGAGTAGTAGTAGGGTCAGGATAGTGTAGCCTTGGACAGCCAAACGCGAAGGTCTGAGTTTCAATACTTCACAAGGGACCGAGATTTTTCTCTTTTTTCACTCTCATTCCAAATGCTGTACAACTTTCTCTATTCTGTTCGACAACTGAGCTGAAAAGTTAGATCGGCTTTTATGTCTATTTTCAATGAACTTGATCACCTCTAGTAAGCAAACGGGTACACTGAGGTAAATTACCTGCAAGCAGAAGGATAATGCCACGTGAAAGTATGATTTCGTTTTAACATTAGTTTACGCTGCTAATTGATTCAAACAAACGCGGCAAATACTATAGTGGTGTTTTTTTAGTGCTGATGTGTGTGAAGCCACAACATCCTCAAAAAAATCGATTATGGTAAAAATTCAAACTTCCGCATCAAGAATTCTGGATTATTCGCTCAACTGTGATTGGTAACAATATAATTGTATAAACCACGTCAGATTGTGCTATTCAAGCCAGAGGCTATTCCTGCATGCATCCGGCAAAAATAATATATTGAACGAGAAATATCGACCGCAAAGATTTTTTTATATTTTTTATTTGTGGACGACAGTGTTGTTACATGTATGTACTTCTCTGTTTTTTTGTTTGTTTGTTTGTTTTTTACTTTTTAAAGAGCGGCATAAAATTTAAACGTAGCTTTTTTGAAACAGCGGAGATCATAGTTTCATCCTAGGCCTTAAGCTGGTTTCATCAAGACGCGTAGAAAGCTATGCTAGTTAGTATTCCAAACCCTAGAAGTCTCTATTCCAAAGATGATGATCTCTATTAGAACTATCATTTGTTAGATGCTAATTGAAATAAACTCCATATATGCGAAAACAATATATTATCACTTCCTTAGACAAATGCATTCAATATATTTATTATCAAAAGTGTTAGTCACCTTTAAAGTCATCATTGGCTCAGATGCCATGCAATGATGATTCTGAAAGCAACCAACAAATGTGACTTTCAATCGAGCGCACAACATAAAAGGAGATAAACTTTTTCAAAAGGCAATTTCGAAAGCCAAAGAAAGCTTTTTGAAAGACTTGGTAAGAAAATCCTGTAATAACGTTGACTTCAAAACTAATTCAACCCTTTTGCTACCTTAAACTTTGTCCAAAGAAATCGCAATACATTTTTGACCTCAATCAATACGATGTCAACTGCATGGAAGGTGACCACTACAAGGCTAAGAACGCAGTAAACAAAAAAAATAATGCCTCTATGTTCTCCTACATGATGAAAATTGCGTCCAAAGCACAAGAAATCCATTGCTCTTTGTTAGAAACCTTCAAACAAAGAACTGTAGTGAAGTCCATAAGCCATCTAAATGGGAAATCGAGGGAGGAAATCTTCGAAGAGGATAGCCTTACTGTAGCCAGATCAAATGCTAATGCGTATACGTACAGAACAGGCGCTTTAAAAACGCGAAGAAACGCAATTTGTGATGAGATAGATAAGTGTATCGTGCAAACTGGCGGGAAGCTAAGATCTATGAGGGGAGATCTCATTGTTGACGTTAATCTATCGAACTGGAATCTCATCTAGAGAGAGAAGTACACAAATGTGATATTGCAATAATACAAGTTTAAAAGCCCTAGTTCTAAAAGTAATAATGACCAAGATCGTTATTTCTCTTTTGTGAATAAATTTTTTGTAGATAACACTTTTTCAAGACCATCATAAATTTAAAGGAGCAAACCGACCCTCTTACGATGACGCCGCTGCGTTTGAAATAATTTGGTCAAAGTGTACAAAAGTTATGAAAATCCGAAAGAAAAGTAATATAAAAGGAAAAGAAGAAAAAAATGGTGAGGCTAAATCTGAAGCATGCCTGTTTCACCATTGTTGTTTCGAGCTCTCTGTACTGTACTGTCTTTAAGAGCGAGCCCTTGTGAACGTGTCGATAATTTCATTACAACGTAGGGTTGGAACACGTTCAGATTTCCAGTAGCTGTTAATTAATTGCTTCCTTTTTTATTTTTTTTTCCTTTTTTTCTTTCCATTCCTTTTTTTTTCGTTTTCTCGATTTTTTTTTCCGTTAAAACTAAGCAGGCATCTCATTCAACCGTAGTAACAGAGTTCTGTTAGGAGACTGAGGCGACTCGGCAATATGCCAAGTGATGCAAACTCAAGTTGTTTTGTTTCGTTTGTTCTGCTTTCACTCTTTTTCCTCAATGGACTTTTCAAACATAATAACAGAAACAGCCAGCATAGAATTGATTTCTTTGAAGTATATCGGTTCTTCTTGGGCAGGCGTCACGAATGGCCTAGCTTCTTGGCTGCTTTGGAAAGTCATGTGGTTCATGAATATCACGTGAGCAGCAGGATGCAAAGAAAGTAAAGGCAGTCTTGTTACATGTCATCACGATGAGTGATCCACTTATTTAAATCATCAACTTGACCTCCTGAATTGACCCCATCTTGGGAAAGGGTTCTGTACGAGCCTAAAGGGAGTTCGTACGGTAAACAAAGGAAATATTGTCTAGATTATGGCTCACACACGCACACTGTTTTGCAAACTGTGTCTGCAAGCGTCTTTTCAGGCCAGGAGAATGGGGAGGAGGGGAGTTCCCATTCCCACTCGTGTACATCGCCTGAACGCAAACTTTAAAGCCTTTTCATTAAGCGCCAAGATGGCGGAATGGCAGACTAAAGTTCCGGTACCAAAACAATTACTCGAACCACTAGATTTGCCGAGCGTTCATCTCTTTGGGCCTGGCCCGGCTAATCCATCATTACGGACTTACAATGCGCATGCAATGCCGCTATTGGGACATCTACATCCCGAGTTCTGCAAGGTCATGGACGAAACAAAGGCCGGTTTGAAATACGTGTTTCAGACCAATAACGCTTACACGTTGGCCATCACTGGATCGGGACATGCTGCGATGGAAGCTGCGATCATGAACCTTGTAGAACGAGGAGAACGCATTCTAGTGTGTGTCAATGGGTTGTGGGGTAACAGAGCGCGCGACATAGCAGAAAGACAAGGTTTGTTTTCTTGCGATAAGCACGAATTATGTCGTAACACGTGTAGAAAGTCACAAAACGTTATATAAACCTTTACTTCGATTACTGTCTATTTTGTCATTTCTTAGTCTTCCATGGTCTAAGTGATTCCATACATTTATTGGGCCGAAACTCTGCTGATGTGTGGTGTATTGTTTTCATAACAACATTAGATGGGATGATAACTTAACAAAGAACCTTTTACAACCTCTACACGTTATCGACATGTGACTTCTCCTTACCATGTCGGCACATCTCCGACAAACAGAGCATAGGACTAGACAAACTCGGCAGCTGGAGGGTGTAATATTGATCTGTTGAACACAAGGCATTGTTTATTAGCCCTGAGGGAGATCTGCAATGCAGATCTTAGGAAAAAATATAGATTATCGCTTTGCATATTTAAACAGGAGGTTAAATTCAAGTGCAAAAAATCTATTGATACTCTGAAAATTTCTTTTTTCTACTGGAAGGACATATATTACTGCCACTAACCTCAACCATTAGTATACATGTATTCTGCTCCAACAAAATGTAAGAACAGCACCTTAGAAAGATAAACAGTGGCTGATTATTAACTGAAATGCCCATTTGAAATGGTGATCTTTTTATATCAGCTTTCTATTGCATCTTGATTGTAGCACTGAAGAAGCATTGTTTTGAATCCAGGTGAAATTATCTTGGCTTTCACTGTACATGTAGGTCAGAAAGATCCAAACAGTGAAGACAAATGAAGATCATCGGTGTTAGAGTTTAAGGAATTAAACAACTAATAGCATGTTATCATTTACTTGTTTTCCTTAAGGTTGTGATGTACAGGCCATTGAAAAGCCTCCTGGAGAATACCATACGTATGCTGAAATTGAACAGGTGAGTTGCTCTGCCCACCAACTCTTAAGAGCTGATTGATATTTAACCTCTCCTTACAACATCCATACCTTTTTCAACAAACAGGTATTGGGAAAAGAAAAACTTGTCACATAGTTAGAAGTGTTGCTCTTGATTTCATATCACTTTTTCTTACAATTAACTTTAAAGAAATGTATAGAAGATGAAAGAATGATATTAAAAATTAGATCCTGAGACTCACAGAATTGATGTTTTGGCTTTTTTCCTTTTTTTTTTTTTTGCTTTTGATAGTGTTTGATTCAGTAATAGTAAATCCTAGATAGCAACTTTAAATACATTTAGATGATGAAAAATCTATTTCTTGTCATCAATTTTTTCCAGGGCCTCAAAGACCATAAGCCTTCAGTGTTGTTTCTTGTTCACAGTGAGTCTTCTTCAGGAATATGTCAGCCATTAGATGGCATTGGAGCTTTATGTCACAGGTAAACAAAGGAATAATTATTATAATTGTATTCATATATTGAAACCCAAATGTACTGCTTTAGTTGCAGAATGAGAATCATCAATGGTTGGTTGTTCTAGACTCTGAATCAAGCAATTGTGATTCCAGCTATTGCTGGGTTTTTTGGGTCACAGATTCAGGCTCCAGCCCTTCTTGGGCTTTTTGGCTTAAATTCTTGGTTAAGAAAATTAAAATTTATCTCCTAGTGCCAATCATGATCAACAAGTGAATGGTACTGGCATTTTTTCAGGGAAGCTTGACAATATTTTATGAAGTGGGGGGGGAAGAAGGAAGGGGAGGAAGGTAGGGAGAGGGGGGTGGGGGTAGAGAAGCAATACCCCCAATTTTTCCTAGCTGTTTCAAGTATCAAGACAAGGATGAGCTGTGGCAGCTCCAAAAGTCAGTCTTGCATGCAGACCCAAGTGAAGTTTACCAGTTAAAGAATTTACAACTGTCACAGCGAAGTTGTGAGTTTTACAATCATAGTGAAATTATATGGGATCATTATCATCAACCTAATCATTATCACAGGCACATACAACCTTTGACATTGTATGAAATCAGAGCAGGAAACTGTAGACTTCATTTGTGTTTGTGAGGCTTATTCCCTAAAGCCAGCCACATGGTGATATCTTTTGAAATTGGGACATTATATTTTAGATAAGATACAACTGAGCTTGGCCTGAACCTTCTTATCATAGCATTGACTCATGTATCTTGATTATAGACATAACTGCTTGATAATTGTGGACACCGTAGCATCTCTTGGTGGTACACCTTTCTTCACTGATGACTGGGATCTGGACTGTGTCTATACAGGCTCTCAAAAGTGTTTAGGGGCACCTCCAGGAATATCACCAATAACCTTCAGTCCTAGAGCCATGTAAGTTGTCATTTTAAGCTTGAGAAGTGCTAGTTTTTTCTTGAACTTGGGTGACAAACAGTTCTTTCTAAACTGAGAATAATTATTTTTCTTGCCTAGTTGATTTGATCTTTCCTTCAAAAGGCAACCCATGAGATTGTCATTTGATAAAGCTGCTAAAGAAAGATATAAATGTTTTTTAATAACTAGCTCAAGTATAGTCTTCTCTCTTTAGTTTTTAATTCAATTCCTTTTCCTTGCTGAAAGGATTGGTTTCTAATCTTACTGGTCCTTAAAGCACATTAAGATTTTACACACTGGCATGTAAGACCATTTATAAAAAATAAAAGTATCCCTCTCTGGTTTGTTGCTGTTTTCATTGAACGTTTTGTATCTGTTTATTTTGTTTTGTTTTTGCATTTTATGTCTTATTGTAGTCATTGGCAAATTATTAGAAACTATAAAAGATTTTATACTTGTCAAGGGAGATTTTGCACACCTGAAAATCTTCCTTAAAAAAATTTGTCACAGTCATCAGTTTGCCATTTGTCTTCCTGCTAAATGGTGCATAATGCCTTTGTATAATCAAAATTGTTCAACTTGCCTGTTTATCTTTATGCTTCCTATGGTTTGCTGTTTGTTTATTTCAGGGCAAAGGTGAACAGCAGAGAACTCAAAGTGCCATCATTTTACTTGGATATAAAAGAATTGGGGAATTACTGGGGATGTGATGAAGGGCCAAGAAGGTAGACCTTAATTCTTGGGATCAGCTTAAAATTGTTTTCAGTTCATATTCAAACTCATATTAGTTAACTATTGTCTGATGCATGTAGTCATGGCATAAAGTACTTGCTCAAATGAGATTTTTGGTGTTAAGAGCCCCCCACACCATATTATCAGAGCAAATCCGGAGGAGGGGTCTGGTGGTTTGGGACTACGCTTCCATTTTCTTCCTTGAGGATTTTTTTTCTTTAAATAGATTTTGTCATACAAGTAATGTAGTTTAAAATGCTTTTTGAGTTATTAAAACAATTTTAAGTTTAAAGAAAGATGTTTTTTGTTGTGTTACAAGCATGGGACAAAGAAAAAATTCTGAGTCCCCATGAGGAATCAAACCTCAGACCTTCAGATTCCGCACTCTGATGCTCTACCACTGAGTCACAGGGACTCTACGGTGAGCGAGGTCTATTAAGAAGTTCGTATGACACGTGATCTGCATACTGCTAGGATCAGCAATGTCGATAGTGTAATGTTTTAGGGACTCAGAATTTTTTTTTTGTCCCATACTCGTTACAAGACAAAAAACATCTGTCTTTATTTCTTTACCAAGCTCAAAATTTACCATCTCTCTTATTTCTATCTACAATTTTAAGTTTATTTGCAGATGCCCTTTCATGGGTTGAGATTTTTTAAATGGGCTCAATTGATATTTGTCTCACTCATTTATGCCCCTTCATTTCCTGAAACAATGAAAAATGAAAAGAGTAATTACAAAATTTCAAAGTACAGATTATATGCTGTATTAGCGCAATTTTGAAGAAAAAGGCACAAATCATTTTATCATGGGAATCATTTTAAACTGCAATAGGTGCACCAAAGATAAATAGTTAACTTATTTTTTTGTCCATTTATGTAAAAAGTCCTGATGATTTATTATTGCTGGCATAAAGTACTGTTTCTTTGTAGTTAAATTAATAACTTTCTTGTTTTCGATTAAATTGATAGATACCACCACACAGGAGCAGTCAGTCTAGTTTATGCCTTGAGAGAAAGTCTGGCACAGTTAGCAGAAGAGGTAATTAGTTTCAAGGAATTATCATGGCCATGTCTTTCTTTGTGAACATTTGATATGTCATTAAAAAAATTTTTGTGTTGTTCCAATATTGAATGCAGACAGTTTAAAGAAGATCTCTTCACCCATCTCCCTCCTACTCCAAAATATATGATAGAAAAAATCTGAATGTGTAACTGCTGATTCAAACATGATATGTGCTCCTCCTGTGAATTGGTGAAATGAAAAATAAGACCAATCAACCGAAGAAACATTTCAATTAAACAAAGCTAAGAACGAAAGCCAGATACTTACCCAGACTGAACACAAGGAATGTGTCAGGTTTCTTCTGTTATGTACGTGTATGAGGAGAACAACGAAATTGCTTCCTGTACAAGAATTTGGACGATAAATTTGTTCTTTCAAAAATTAGATAGCCAGCAATCAATATTTATTTATTTATTTCTCTAGGGACTTGAGAATTCCTGGAAGCGGCATCACAACACAATCGAACACCTGTGGGCTGGACTTGAGGAGATGGGGTTAAGGATGTTTGTGAAAGACAAGGTAAAGTTTTTTAAAAAAGGGGTAAGTTACTAAAGAAACTGTGGTGTTGCGTTAAGTGGGAGAGTATAACAGGGTAATTTGGTATTATCAACTGAGTTGATAACGTAAATTGGCCACCGCTAAGAGTTTCAAAGCTGACATTTCAAGTGTTATCCCCTTCGTCAGAGCGTTAGCCCTTCGTTCTGACGAAGGGCTCACGATCGAAATGTCTGCTTTGAAACTCTTTACGGTGGCCAATTTACGTTATCAGCCCAGTTAATTTAACCAATTAATAAAGTTTCTTTAGTTTTGATTGAGGCAGGAAACGTGTGCTGTCCAGAAACGGAGATGGCTCTTTCTCTCTCTCTCAGGCAGCTCGGCTACATTATAATATGACACAGGACTCTTTGAGAAAGTATGATCACGGAAATTTCAAGAAATTTATTTTCCAGACATATGAAAAGTACCGTTTGGGAAAATGAAAAGACGTCTGTAGTTTACTCCGTTCTGTAGCAAGCGCTTGATTAATGTGAGAAATTTTTCAAGTGTTAGCTGGGCTAGTTGAATTTCGTGATAGGGTAAATTAAAAGATGATTTTAAATAGTGATCAGATATTCTTAGAGTTCACTACAAAAAAAAAAAAGAAAAAAGAAAACTTAAATAGAAAGTTGCAAAATGTTTTCTTTTGCAGGCTATGCGTCTGCCAACTGTTACAAGTATTCGAATTCCTGAAGGATTCCCAGACTGGAAAGCTGTCCCGACTTATCTGATGAAAAAGTGAGTAAGATCAATTTTATTGTTACATTTATAAAAGAACTTATCGAAGGCTGTCAAAAGTGATGTAAGACCGCGTCACTCTGCTTTTAGAAAACTTGTGTAACACTCTCCACCAATCAGATGTAAAATTTAAAGCAATCGCGGCATGGATACTTTCGTTTTCCCGCGCTTATGACAGAGTCCTTTTCACTGTTAGTTGTTGGTACCTTTGTACGATATTTATTGTGAGAGACCGAAAAAAAAATCAAATCTTTTTTACTTTATGAGATGCGCTTAGTCGAAAAGCACTCGTAGATAGTTTATCATAAGGGTGTTTTGCCGCCGGTCACTGAAGCCACCACCTTTCGCTGCAGAAACTGCTATATAACTCGGCTTGTATGGCCCACCTTTCCTTCGCAGCAGAAATGCGATAATTATACACCCCTATGGACGTTTTTGTTGATTGTTGCTGTTCTCTCTCTCTTTCTCTCTCTTTTTTTTTTCCTTTATTTATTTATTTTTCTCTCTCTCTTTCTTCAGACACAAGATTGAACTCGTCGGTGGCCTGGGCCCAACACTAGGAAAGGTTAGTGGAATATCGGCTTTATACTAATAGCGTTTTAGAGAATCTAACAAAGAAATAAGCGAAATCGTTCTGCGTTTCGTTATCATCTATATATCATTTCAGCGTCAAGAAACAACATATTTTGCGTTACCTTTTTAAATACGTGTTCTTGTGCTATCTACAAATTATCTCAAGAAGGTAAATTTTAAACTTACTCTATTTTTCTTTTGTTCGTTTGTTTGTTTGTTTTATTTCATTTTTTAATTTTTCATTTTATCAAGGTATGGCGAGTAGGATTCATGGGACATAATTCATCCCTTGAAAATGTGGACAAGTTCTTGCGACTTTTCAAAGAGGCGCTGGAAGCTGTGAAAAATCGCCCAAAATCTCAGATTTAAAAAAGATATTTGCGAAGCAAAGAATTTTAGCCGGTGTGGCTATAAATGCCGGGAAAAATAGTCAAGGCAGAATTGAAATGTTTGAAATGGGAATTTTATAGCTATTTATCAACTGTCACATGAAAAGAGTCTCTAGGTTAGAAAAGTGTAAAAGCATTTATTAAACTCTGTACTTGAGCTCATTTGGTCTCTCGTTAATACATTACTGCGTCTAGTCAGAGCCTTAGCGAAATGCCATCTTTGCAGGATGGAAGCTAATATGTAAGACCCCATCTAGACTAGGCTGAACATGCTTAAAAACGCAAGTTAAGTCTTCCTTATACTTCAGAAAGAAAAACGTACTGTTCGGATCCAGTGTAAAGGTCTGGGGGGTCTAGACCCATTCCGATCAGACCTGTTGGTGATTTACCATTTGCCTATCACCAAAATTCTTGTAACGATAAGATCACGTACATGACTTCACGATCACTTTACTGTAACCTCAAATGAAGAGGGGGCGGGGGAAGGTAGGACGGGGGAACGTGGGTTGGTTGAGAGATATTTGCCGAAAAAAAATTGTTCTGTTTCCTCGTTCAAGTAAATAGCAGTTGATAGCAGATTTGTTTCTCTGTCTAACTGTCGTGATTATTTTGCTTTTATTTTATGACGCTTAATCGAAATGATTTCAAATTATTAAGTTTACCATGTTTTCTAAATGTTTTCCCATTCCTCCCGGTTCCCTGTATCATTTATCTGTTAATCAAGGGCATTTTTTTACTATTTTTGTTGAGACTTTTCTGAAACGCGCTTAAAGGCCTTGAATCGCGACTAATTTTGATTAGACTTTCGAATTGGACGTATCAATACAAACTCAGACGGGAGGACTTTTGTTTTTCAATATTACCATTTAGATTAAACAAATGAATTGCTTCGGCTCAAGGCCTTAAAACAGTAATAATCAAGTGTATTTCAATTTGAGAATATCTTGGCCGGCTTCACAGTCTTGTTTATTACGTTCTTCAAAAATTCATTTTTAACCTTGAAGGCCATAATGTTACTTGTAACCGAATCTTTTCCTGGGAACTGAAATTTAAGGCTCTGTTTTTGCAGAAGATGCCTGATCGTTCTGTTTTTATGATCAATTACCCTCAACCAGCTTTGTTTTTGTTTTAGAGGTGCGTGGGAAGCCGAAATTGGCAAGATAAGCAGGGGCATATATTTCAAAACTGTCTCGTTTATTGCACTACTCCTTCAAACTCCTGACACCGTTATCAGATTAGAAACGTCAAGAATAGATAATACAGTGAAATATTGTCGCCTTGTCACTTCCCATCTGCAAGGGGCCAATAACATCTGAAGGGTAAGAAACCCCATTGGAGATTCTTATTAAAAGTTCTAAAAATGTATATGAATTAAAATTGATGAAATGAGAGCAGCTTATCGCGAATTATTCAAAACCTTAAAGTGAATATACAATGCGGTTCTGGGGAAGTTTTACGAAGCACACAGGATTCCCCTTTGTTCATGCTAAAGAGAGAAAAAATGATTAAAAGACACTCAGTGAAAAAAATTAAACAAAAAAATGCAGACTGTAACCATAGCTTTTCTGCATGATTTTACGCAGTCAAGTTACATATCACATTATCACATAAGAAATCGATCCTTAAGGGTTTGTTCAATCACTAGTGTCTTACGCATCTTGTGCAAACTAATTCCACCCTGGACGATCTCCTTTTCTATCTCCTCACAAATACTTCCTCTTCTTGATAGAACATCACTAAAAGAATTTCGATAACCTTTGGGCGCGCTATCCAAACTCCTTCCATATTCAAGCTCTGTTCTATCGTTCTTCTCTTGGGATTCGGAACTTTGGCTGCAAGGCGAATCGCTTTGCCGGCTTCCTTGCAGCGCCTTCGCGTCATCCATTGATCTCTCAGACTTTAGAACTCTGTTTTTCCTCGTCGGTGTGTCGTGGTTCATGCTTATCCATCTTTGTTTAGAAAGCTTCAGACTTCCTTTAAATAATCGTCTTTTTTGGTTCGCGGAATTGCTCTGATTGCTCGATCTTTCATTGTTAACCTTTGAATGTGGAAACGCCGTCTCTTTCTCAATATCTTCGCTCTCGCCTGAACAAGTTCCAAACATTGATGTTTCACAATTTTGTTCCTCTCGACGAGAGTCCTCGTCTGGGTCCATATTCTAAAAACTACGCCTCTGTGTATTGCTACAAATGATTTTTCTTGATTTCGCGACAGCGTAGCTTTATGCGGTTACCCATACATTACCGAGTTAAAATTGGCTTCACAGTATTTCTTATCTAACCGACAAACCACAGAGATATCAGCGTTAATTGTTAATGAAACAATTATGGTATAGACAATCCTTTCAACTTTTTTCAGTCCTTACCGCCCCTCGACATCATGGCGCTTTTTGCCATACTTTGCCTCTTGTTTTGTTTTGTCTTATTTTGTTTATTTATTTTAATTAATTCTTAATTCGTGGTCGGTTTTTAATTTTGCATCGAGTAAAGCACAGAGACTTCATCAAAATTCCATTTTGAAATATTTGATAGCATCTCATCCAATAATTCAAATAAAAATTGATTGCTTAAAAGCATGTTCGTGACTACAAGTTTGGATACATGTCAATTTTGGTCTTCTTTTTACACTATTTGGCAAGAGCAATTAGTGCTGAAAACTGCAGTATCTCACTTTTCACGCATGTTATCACTTTCAAATTCTCTAGAGCACGCCAGAATATATGAAACCTCTTCTTGAGTCATCCAGTCGTTTGCTTCTGAATACGCAGTACTAGTTATCATAGAGTGGAAATGATTAATTTACAATCTCCAGCTGCTGTGTCATGTCGTTTCTTTCTCTTATATAACTGACTAAAAAAGCCAGTGCAAAAAAAAGCTACAATCACAGTTAAATTCGTGATTAACAAAACGTGGCGATCAACCACGAATCATCGATGAATAAAAGTATTAATTCAAATTTAATGGTTCTGTGAAAGTCAAAACACTCATATTAATTAGGATTGACGAAAAAACAAAATGGCGGTAGTAATAATGATAATACCACCAAAATAATAATAATGACAATAATAATAATGATGATGATGATGATGATGAACGTGGAGAAAGAATATAATGAAGGTCTCTCCATGAATCGAGAGATAGGAAATATAGCTCTAAGATAGACAGCTAATTCTACCCATCGTGACATGTTATAATTGCAAAACCGCCACTACGTGACATTCTTATGATCATCAGTTTTATTCACAAGTCTTCCTCATATTTGCATCGTTTGTGATACCTGGGATTAAAACTGTGAGGCAAAACACACTACCTAGGTGGTATACAATTCAAGGGTAATGATAAAAGGGAAAAAAAGGAAAAAAATGTTAGAAAAAGGAAGCCTATGTAAATCAGTTGTTTCAACAAGCACAAGGTACCTAGAACAGCCTGGGGTGGGCCTGGAGGAGCGTCGATCGAGGAGCCTCGAGGGGCAAGGACTTGAAAAACGCAAGAGAAAAGGTACTTTGGGAGAAACTCCACACAATTGCGCTGTGAAGGTTTAGTAGTCCCTTGTCTTATCTCTTCTCAGAATTCTCTCTTCCTTTTTGTTATTATCAATATTTTTTTAATTACTCTTTTCCTCTACCCACGCGAAACATTTGTGATTTTCAGGTATTAATACTCAGAACTCATCAAGGTAAGCTACTAACCGAGAATTCTATCACAAAAATGTATACCAGAGATAATTTGCTTCACAATATATGTCCTTTGGACGCCCGATGAAGGCATATGTGTCGATGGATGAGAATTCCCCTGCTGCCGTTGTTGATGTCGTTTTTCTCCTAACCCTTTGGCCGCTAAGAGTGACTAACATCTTATTTCTCCCTATAATAACACTCCTAAATTACACATTAAGGTCACGAGAAAATAAGGAAATGATCACCAGCTTAAGAGGCTCTTGATTGTTGAACAAATTCTCTTTGTCAGCACTTAAGGAAATGTATAGAGAACAGTATGGAGAATACAGAGACTGCTGTTGGGGTGTAAAGGGTGAAAAGCCAAACTTCACAAGCCCCTCAAAAACATTTTCGTTAGGATACTTCAAAAGAGGGCCGCAAAATCAAAAGAAGATCAAAGCTAAAAAATACAGCAAACGTGAAACCTTTATTATCGAAACTTCCCGAATAGAGCAGTACAAAAGATACCCACCCAGGGTCGGCCAAGTCAGAATGAATACGGCGTGAAACGTTCCATTTCACAATCAAGAATTGTGTAGATACTTATAACTTAGTTTTCAATTAAGCGAGCTCTACTGTTAGATAAAGAGGGATGGTTTAAAGGCAAAGCACTAATTTCCTTGGCTTAACCTCTCACAACGAATATAGCAAGACGCGAGCAGGATGCGCTGTCTTCACCCGCGGGAATATCTGAGACAAGCTGAGTCGAGGAGACATTTGCGGGGGGTCTGGCACTAATAATAATTAGATCCCCAGCAAACCTCTCGTCAAGGCCTCATTCTTTCCCGCGAGCGAAAACACTATCTACCTAGATTTGCTTCCAGAAGTTTTTGTTTCAGAATGGTAAACCCTCAAGAGAAAAACTAACGAAATTTTATTCTACTAAGTCCTTGAATAATATTCAATACAAGGTTGTTAATATTAAGGAAGGGGATTTCTAGGGTGTAATTAAATCCCAGCCTTATCAGGATGAAAAAAACATAAATATATATCATTATTACCCACTGTAAAATTGAAATCCCTCGCTTAACATTCCTCTCGCATTGAAAATATATAATAATAGGCTTTATATTACGTTGAAAATACATTTAAATATACACTTGCACTCATGATCACAAATACACATTTACACCAACTTTTCCGAAATACTTTACGTTCGGTTGCATACGTTAATTAATCGGATGAGACAGGACATTTCACATCGAACAATATTCTAAAAATAATCTTTTGAATTATCATTGGTTAATTCCGTAGACGTGGATCTATCTCTAATTTGATCAATAACATTTTCAGTTCTACACTTTAACTGATAATTTTAGTTTAATACTATTGCTGAGGTGAGTATTGAGATGCGCGCGCTCTGATTAGTCTAGGATAGTGTAATATCTAGCCATAATCACCCCGCCCGAGGTGATTATAAAAAGGGCGCTAAGTTTCATGATGTCTGCCTCGCGTTTTGTCAATGTTTCTGAGAAGGTGATAAACGCAATGGAACAAAATCTATTGCGAAGAGCACAAATTATACTATTAAGTTTGGCCGTACCCTTTTCAAAAGAAATGTATGAATTTTTTTGGTGACTGAATAAAATAAACCTGCTAAAACTCCTTGCTAATCTTGATACGACTATTCACCACAATTGTAATAAAACATGCGTAATGCTTACTTTATCTACAGAAAGTACAACAGAATTCGAAAGCACCTGAGTAATTACTAAAAATACTAAAAAGAAAATTCGCCTCAGGTTCAGTGAACACTGTTGAATAATTCCCTCGACTTCGTCGCGGGGATTATTCAACAATATTCACTTCGCCTTTGGCGAATTATAAATAAATATTTTTCCTTATCTCAACTTCATTTCTTGATTGTTCTTTATAGCTTTGTTGCAAATTCGACGAGAGTTTGGGCCCGCCTTCTTGCACGTTCAATTTCCAGTAACCAGTTTTCATGAGCTGTTCTTTACTGAATCTATTGCTTCTTTAAATAACCGTAAGAACAGGTCAACATTCTCCTTGTACGAATTATGTCCCATAAATCCTACACGCCACACCTTAAAAAAAAAACAAAAAACAGAGGAAAATGAGAAATAACAATACACACTCCAACTGGGGCCAGGACAGGTTTTTAAAAGTCCCGCACTGCCGGCTGCGTGCTAGTATTTGACAGCATACTGAGCTGTATTACTTCTATTAATTACAACTTTTTCATGAAAGGCAGGAGGTGGGGGGGGGGGGTAACGTCGGACTTATACCCCCTTGACTACCCTACCCTATGCACAAAGACGTTTACACCACCAATAATGCAAGATCTGTTGAGGCGTTCCAAAAGCTAGGGAGTAAACTGGACTTATAAAATAGCCTGCATAGCAGGCGTGATCTTGAGGGGAGATCAGTTTGTTACACCTATTTTATCTCTACCCAAATTAAAAATCCATCCCTCTTTGCTTAATTTTCTAGTGTAGATATTGTAAAAACGAAGAGGGATGTTAATTTCTCCCCACCTCCCTACTTCTTACATGCATCGACGGAACGATTCATCATTATTATTAATCATCATTATTCATCGTCAGGACGGTTCTCCCTGTCTGCCACACCTCAAACCCTAAATGAACTGGGATTTTTGAAGCATAATGGCACAGCGAGGAGATACCTTTAAGAAAATCCAGCAAATAACGATAAAAGATTTACGGTTCGAACAAATCCGTATCATTGCTCGTGCAACTCGGTTACTAACCTTTCCGACTGTTGGACCCATACCACCAACAATTTCTAACTTGTACCTGAGGAGGAGGAGGGAAAAAAGAAGTTTTCTGATTAGCACTAAATTTTACTGCAGGCTTAAAAGGATGCAAACAGGTTTTCTTGCAAGAACAGAGGGAAATAGTTATGAACAGATTATCTATTGATAAAGTCGGTTACTAAAGGTTTCTCGCTCGTTGACAGACATGGAACTCCTAAAGTTAGTCAGCGGTATTTCTCTACTTGAAATCAAGATGGTGACTGTGACAGGAAACGTTCATTAAGGATAGAGCGTAATTTTAGGTGTAACTCATTCATGAATGCATGGATACAAACAGACTTTCGCGCAAGAACAGAAGGAGATAGTTATACAAAGATAAATTGGTAAGCATGCCATAATTTGCATGTACACACAGAGAATGAGGAGCCAAGCTTGTTTTGCTACAATTGTTTGTGTTTTTGCCTACTTTTTCATAAGATAATCTGGAACAGCTTTCCAATCTGGAAATCCTTCAGGGACTTTTACACTCGTCACTGTTGGAAGACGAAGGGCCTAGAAAGATATCAAGATTATTAACATTGTAGAAATAGTTATTTTTTTACTTTAAATTTACAATACAAATTCACAAGTCAAGTACAATTATTACAAGAAACGAAATTGTTTCGATCTCTGTAGAAACATGATATCGATGCGATCAAATATATAGAAAAAGGTAACTATCTAGAATAATTTTGAGTAAACATCTTAATATGTAATCATTAGCAATAGAAAATACTGAATTTTTTACTGATGTACATTTCATTGGGTAAAAATTAAATGAAAAATTCACCTTGTCTTTGACAAACATCTCTAAGCCCATCTTTTCAATTCCAGCCCAGAGGTGTTCAATTGTATCATTATGCCGTTTCCATGAATTTTCAATTCCCTGATAGAGGAAATAAAGTCAGTAGTTACATATTGATTCCGTACTTGCTTTTCAGTGTGATACAATAATGGAAGTTAGTGCAGTAATGTTCCCTTTGGAACAGCATGGGTTCATGATATATGTAGATATCTTATTGCTAGGAGATATTAACCCCTCTGCTATATCTTTGTACCAATTATAACTCAGACTACTGTTAATGTTCTTTTTCAGTAATTAAATAGAAGGTATACCTCTTCTGCAAGCAAAGCCAAACTTTCTCTTAATGCATAAACCAAGTTTATTGCTGCTGTGTGATGATACCTACAAACAAACAATGAAACTTGAACATCAGAATACTTTTATTTTTGGAAGATGTCATGGTTACTCAAATTCAAGGGGGTTTTTTGTGTAATTTGTTCTTTGAAATACCATTGTGAGCAGCAACAGAAAGGGTAGAGTTGCATGCACAATGTTCCATGTTGAACAAATACAAACTAGTTATGATAATTTTGAATACTTTAGATGTAAAAATTTTACCTAAAGAAGGAAAATTCATTACACAATAAAACTAATTTACTGAAGCCAATCATACATACAAAAGGCAGAGGCACATGATTGCCTTAGTTACACGTGTTTAAACCCATGTCTGAAAAAAAAAATTTGAAGGGTAATATGGTTTTCCTTGTTAATTGTGCTTTTGTTTTCTATGCAATAAAAATAAGAGTGAAATATGAAAATATTTAACTATTGAAATATGCATAAAACAAATATTTACCTCCTTGGTCCATCATCACAGCCCCAGTAGTTTCCAAGTTCATTAATGTCCAGGTAGAAAGATGGAACTTTAGTTTTCCGGCTGTTTACTTTTGCCCTGAAAATGAAAACAAAAGAGATTGTGCATTGAATGTATGTACACTAAGAAGTACATAAAGATGTTGGGATGAGTGTTTTGGTTAATTTCCTTTACTGTTTGGGCCCTTTGTACAACACTCTTAACCCATTACACCCCAACATTAGTATACATATTTTCCATACTGTTCTCCAAACATTTCTTAACATACTGACATGGAGAATTTGTTTAACAATCTAAGAGCTTCCTTAGTTAGTGATCATTTGCTTAATTCTCATGAACTTAATGTGTGATTTGGGTGTGATACTGTAAGGAGAAATAAGATCCTTGTAACTCAGGGGTCAAAGGGTGAAGGATTAGTGTGGTGGATGATGGCTACAAGGAGATGGTAAGCCTCAAGCTTTTTGTGTTGCATCTAGATAGAGTTAGGAAGGAGTAAAATAATTCTAACCTTTTCACAAAAGCTAATTTGACACAGAGGACATTCCTCTGTAGTCTAAAAGCAAGGAGGTACATGTGTACAAATGAAACTCTATCTCTTCAAATTAAAGTTACATGCTTTTTTTTCTCATGCTCTATGAACTTACAAGTTCCTGAAAGTCTGCCTCAGAGAAACTGAAAGAGTTGAAACCAAAGTACTTAAATTTTGTAGAAGAGTCTTCTCAAAAAATAGAAATACATGATCACTTACATGGCTCTAGGGCTAAATGTGATTGGTGAAATTCCTGGAGGTGCACCTAGGCACTTTTGAGAGCCTGTATAGACACAGTCCAGATCCCAGCCATCAGTGAGAAAAGGTGTTCCACCAAGAGATGCTACTGTGTCCACAATTATCAAGCAATTATGTCTATAATTGTACAGATAGGAAGATGAGTGATCAAAAGAGAGAATTTCAGAAAGGTCATTATGTATATTATAAATTGAAAAGTTTACTACTCAAAATAAAGAAAAAACAGACAAAGGAAAAAAAACAGAATTTAAAGAATGCTGTTATTAATAATACAGTGAGCTGCAAGTACTTGTGCATAGATGAATTTTCAGAATAGAGCATGTAGTAAAAGTAAAAATAATTATTGCTTTGGTCTAAAATAGTTTTAACATACTATTAGCTAATTTGTTTGGAATTTAAGAATTAAGTAAGATGATGGAGATCCTCTTACTTATGGCACAAATCTCCAATGCCCTCCAGTGGCTGACAGATCCCTGAAGAAGACTCACTATGGACTATAAAAAGGACAGATGGCTTGTGCTCTTTAAGACCCTTTAAAGAAGAAAAATTATATGTTTTTTTAAGAAATAAATAAGTGAGCTTTTGATTTGGGAATGAAAAGCATCCTTTCATTATCAAAGCTTTCAATAGGATTTGAAGAAGGTCTCTAGTCAACTTTAAATATGGATACCACTTAGATAAATGATGTAGAAATAAAGAGTAGAGCGTGTAGAGTGTAAAGCGGCCATGCATCCCAAAATAATCACTAATCAATGGCTGGTACTACTTTCTTGAGAACCCTGTTAATGTGAAATAATTTATTGTAATATAAATAATAGTTATATTCACTGTTTTGAGAATTGCAAAGTATTATGGATTACACTTGCATATACTGAAATTTTAGTTATGAATAGTTATGAAATCAGGATATTTTACCTGTTCAATCTCTTCTTTAGTATAGTAGTCTCCTGGTGATTTTTCTAGAACACGTACATCACATCCTTTGGAAACAAACACTTTGTCACTTAACAAATTAGGTTTATTGAATTTGCCTGAAGCAATAGTTGTGCTTTTGAACAGTGCACATGACATCTAAAGTGAGTTTATGATGTTAATGACAATCAAGATGTGAGTATTGACATATTTCTGGTTGAAACTTCTCAACGTCTGAAAAACAGAGAAAGTGACTGCTGGAAATGTTAATGTAATTGCAAGCTAGATACAGATTGCTGTGATTACAACTTTTAATCATTACTGTTAAAATTGTCATTTATTTAGTTTTGACTGTGAAAGTTAATTTTTGGAGTTGTGATATTAGCTAAGTCATGAAATTTGTATCTTCAGTTGGTCATTTAAAATTGTTTCATTCATCAACTGATAAGCTGAGTAAATGTACAATGTTATTAAAACAATTAAGTTGCTGGCCAGTATATTTTCTTTTTACTCTTAGATGGCTGCAACAATATCTTTAGTTATTTTTGATACACTCCATCGGTAATAGGATAAATACAAATTACTATTTTTAGAATCTGAAAAAGAAATAAAATTGATACTGTAGCCTTGACAAATGGTTGTTATTGTAACCAAACTGAATTACCATCATGTTCCCATAGAATCTATCAAGGTAAAATTGTGAAGTTCAAACAATATTCTTGATGAATTATTATTGTCATAGAAACCTGCTGACATTTACTTGTGGGAAGGGTAGGGTAGATGTATCCTTTGCAATGTTTGCATTTTTTTATCTATTTTTAGAATTCTGCTTCTTGCTTTATTAATTATCTGTATCTCCTTAAATGGGACAAAAGGTTTACTTAAAGACGAAAATGTGAAATTAATTGAAAATGAATTTAACTATTTAAGTCAAAAGTAAACTAAAGAACACTCTACCCACTTAGATGTATAACACAGTTGGATATATTTAAACAAAGACCAGATTACTCACATAACGTGTCACAACTAAGACCGCAGATTAGAGCTCAGAAATTTCATCAGACGCCTCTGTAGCAGCATTAACAACAAGAGCGCAAAAAAAAATGATAATAATAACAATAAAAAAAAAACAAAAACAATTCTTTTGAAATGTAAACGAAGAAGGAATGCGACTGGACTTTAACCGGTGTCATACATGATTAAGATTAAGAAAAAAAAAAACCTTTTTTTTATTTCACCTTGCCTCTCGGCGATTTCTTGTGCCCTGGCACCCCACATCCCGTTGTTGCAAACCAGAATGCGTTCTCCGCGTTCTACCAGGTTCATGATCGAAGCTTCCATTGCAGCATGTCCCGCACCAGTGATTGCCAACGTGTACTTGTTGTTTGTTTGAAATACGTACTTCAGACCAGCCTTCGTCTCGTCCATAACATGATGAAAATCAGACTGTAAATGGCCAAGAAGTGACATGGCAGACGCATTATAAATTCTCATGGATGGATTCGATGGGCCTGGTCCGAAAAGAAGTTTCGTGGGAACTGACAGAGGGACGAAAAGTTGTTCTGGAGGGGGAATGTTCGGCTTCAGTTCGGTCAACTTTGTGGTAGATGTTGAGACTGCTCTCAGTTCTAGGCGGAGAGGTCCGCGAACGGCTACCCCAACAAGACGAGAAAATTTCGCCGCGCTCATATTTTTTCCTTCCCCAGGAAATGTGTAGCCGCTCTGTAGTACGTGTGCTAATGCAAATTGTAGTAGTAATACCGGTTGGATTGTTTATAAACAGAGTGACACGTGATCAAAAAGGCGACAAATGCTAGTTTGCATCATAGAAAACCAGACGAACGAGTTTTACTTTTTCATTCACGGCAGCTCGTCACGTAAATTGAAAAAAAATATTTTCATTTCCGCACCAAGCATAGATTGTTAAGATAATAATTACACAAGTAGGATTACATATACGATTTCTATGAAACTTCCCCGTTATTCAAAGGCCATGAACTTTGCCGTCGAAACTAATTTTGTGTTCTCACAAAAAAAAGGAATTAAAAAAACATGTTCAATGACATCACAGAAGCCGACGTGGGCGTGTTGGAGGTGTGTACTTATGCACGAATAAACTCTTCGGGTAAACAATATTTTGAATTTCTTTGTGGGGAAGCAATTGAAATTACTAGATATTAAAATCACCATTCTTTATTGGAAGAAAGTTATGTTAAAAAAGGAATAAGAAATATTTCATTTCAAAACAATTCACGATTTGTCACGCGAGTTTACAGTCATATTGGGCTCGGAGAGGCAAATATCTGTGCGCGAGCATTCAATTACGCATTTCCCGCAAATGTTGCTGCATCACTTCCTGTGTTAAGCCTTTAACCTTTGTGATTTGGATAAGAGTCACGTTTGTTCTTATTCTAGCGAGCCTTCAAAATTCTTCATCTCTTTTTTCGCACATTTTGGCTTGGAAGAATTTTATTTTGCGACAAACACCGTGTTCAAATCAGAATGATATATTATAGCTTCCCATTTCATTTCAATTTTTAACATGGACCATTAGCGGTTTCTCACATTTCAAAATAACACGATAATTGACCAGTGTGTCTAGAAAATGGTTTAGCTCGACTTGGGTGTCTAGAGATAGTGTCAACCGTTTGCCAAGGTCTGTCTGGACAATACAATGTTTGTCATAAAAAAAAAGTAAGGTGAAAAAGAAGCAGCAAACGGACCCTAGATTAATCGCCAGGAATGATAATTATCTTAAAGCCAAGAGTTACCCTGAGAGTAAAACACCAAATTTCCAGATGGCCACTTTCAAGTGAATAATTCAGAAATTTTTATCACTTTGTTGGGTGTTGTGGCGCCTATTACAGGCTTAAGTGGAAATTTAGGCAAGCCAAACTGGAGATTTTCATTGGATAAAATGTATATTAACCTGTTTGCGTGATTGTTCAGACTGTTTCGTGATCACTTTTTTCAGCTCTTATTTTCTCAATGCCCTCCTAGATTGACAAATGACAGCAATGGCCTTAGTAATGCAAATACTATCATAAAACAATAGAGTTTATGTTCTTGAGTATGAAGAGCCCATTTTAACCCACACCAAACGGTTGTGCTGAAATGACAGTGAGTTGGGCTTAAAACATATCTATGCCCAAGAACATTAACTCTACTGTTTTAATAAAGGTTTTTGCACTACAAAGGCAGCTGCTGTCATTTTGGCTCTAATGGCACTAAGTTTTGGTATTAGCTCCCTACAAGGCACAACTTATACAACAATGCAACATTTATACAACAATATTTTAGTTCCACACAATTACTGTTAAAAGATACATTTTTTTGAAAAATGGTTTTACTGACAAAGCTAAAGACTATTTTAATGCTAAAATGAACAAGTAGATTATTAAACGCAGCATTTGTTCTTTTTCATGGTCTGCTTGTGCACAATACTTAATCTAATTGTGTTTTGCTACAAACAAAATTTAGTTTTAGTTGCATCTATGCTGAGCTCCATGCTAATGATTGCTATTCAACATAAGTCATGTACCTGTTCATTTGTTTTGCTTCCGTTCCTTGCCATCTTAGATGTTCAATCTTTGATAACATTCACATCAAGAGTAATGCTACTATTTACACAAGATGCTGAAATTATAATTTCTTGTCCAACTTCCACAGCTACTTCCTCTTTCAAAACAATAGCTGCTTGCCTCCAATGTGATTCAGCATAATCTCCACTATATGTTGAAAGTGAGTGTTGATTGCCAATGTGCAGAGCAAACCAGTAGGGAATGGCTTGAATCCTCCCTGACTTGGAAACTTTCACTTTTTTCTCAGAGTGAGTTTCAAGTAAAGAAAGTACCTTATTTTCCTCATCAAACTGCTCCATGAAATTTATGCTAAAAAGTTCAATATGGTTGGTGATGCTTGAAAAAGGAAGAGTTGTAAGGTCAATATCTATCTGAGTGGTTACTTGAAAATCATTCAGAAACTGGCCAATCTCAAGCCCAAGTGTTCTGTCCTGGTCAAGTACACGACAATTGGCAAACAGGAAAGAAGATTCAATGCACATGCAGTAGACAGTGAATCCCATAGGAATAGTTTGAAAATTTTGTGGTCTGAGCAGACATCCTCTTGAAAAGACAATGTCTTCAATAACTTGCTGACGAATGATGCCTGATGGCTCTACAATGTCACTGACAAGTAAATTCCAAATTCTTCCCTCCTTAGCGATTTCTTCAAGCTTTTCTGAGCCTTTCTCAATAACTTTTGGCAAATCATTTCCATGTGAAATATGTTCTATCCAATCTGTGTTGTGAGGATTTAATATCAAGACATGGTCTGCCTTCCCTCTCGCAGCAAAATGAGAAAACAAAGCAGGGCCATAGGTGATGTCAAGAACATTACATACACCATCTTTACATGGATTTCCATTGCCACTGCATAAATGCTGTTTCAGTTTCAAGGAGTTAACAGCTCCTGAGATGACTTCATCATAGAGGTTATTGAAGGGAGTGTCATTCAGGCGCCGCATGTATGATGGTGGAATGATTGCCACAACCTCTTCATGGTCACTCTTGGTTGAGGGATTCATTAAAATTGCAGTTTGACCCTCCCTTTGTGATGGTACAGCACTAACTTTAGATTCAAAAACTGGCTTTTTCAAGTTAATTCCACAAAAATTGAACCTCAGGTAATCTTTGGAAAGCTCTCCATGGAGAGAAAGCATGTCTCCCTTTGAAACTGCAAATTTACAAGATGAGTCAGCATCATTTGCATAAATGGGGAAAACTACCTGCTCCCAGCACAGGGAATCATCTTTGGGGCCAGTTGAAAGAGTTATATCTTCATCTAGTAGCAAATCAAACCAGACTGCAACTGCATCAGCTTGACCACAGTGGGTTGCGGTGATTTCAAACTTCAAGTCCCTGTCCTTGTTCAAGCTACTAGGATTGTTAAAATCATACTCTGTCACTTTAAAGGGGCATGTGAGAGATGTAAATCCACCTCTTAACTGGTTCAAACTCTCTGTATTGTAGGGTTCAAGCTGATCAAATGCACTGACACTCACAGATGGTATTTCTACCTTTTGTTCCATTACCTCTCCTCCTATGCTACACTTGGGAAACATTTTTAATCCACTCATTGATGATTTACACCTTGTTTGATTTCTGATGTCATCGCACATAATTACCATGGCATAAAGAACAGCACCACCAGGAATGACCTTAGAAATGGGTTTTACATTAGAGTCTGAGTTCTCTGGTGGGTGAATTAGCAAGTTAGACCATGCATGTTCTACAGTGGTGAGAATTCCTTCTCCAAGGAGACCACAGTCAAGTGTCTCTGTCACCACCAAAGAAACCTGCTTTGGGATATCCTTACCTACTGTCATCTCAGTTGATTTTTTATGTATGGTGTGAATCAACTTTTCCATTTTATTAGCCCTCAGTACATCGTGGCCCAATTCGAACATGGTCTTGGACATTTCGCAGGCATACACCTCTTTTGATCCACTTTGAACAGCAAACATACTTAGAATACCAGTACCACTTCCAATATCCAAGACAATGTCATGGCCTTGGCTTATTGCCTTGGAAATGGCTTGTTTGTAGGCTAAATTTCTTTTCTTGTCATTTAACATTCTAAAATGCCACCTCTCAACCAAAAGATTTGCAACATTTTCAAGATTTTCTTTCGCTCTAATGCTTGTTGGATTTACATGTAATGCCCGTCTAAAACACGAAGCAGCCTCGTCAGTGAAACCCAACTTGATCAAGTTTGCTCCTGTGTTAATGAGAACGATCTCACTTTGAGGATACAGCTTCAATGCTTCCTGAAGACAAATCATCATTTTATCCAGCTCGCCATGAGACTCGAGTATTTCTAACCAATTTCGTAAAGCGAGGATGAATTCTTCTTCTAACGTTTCTTTGGATGACGGTTCCACATTAGCCAGAAATACTAAATGTGCCAAGGCATCGCCGTACTGTTCACGACGAAGACAGCTCTTTGCAGCATGAAAATGCTGGGAGTAAGGAGAGTTTTCTTGCATTTTCGGTAACTTTTCCAAACTTTTATAGCTAAAATGAAACAATTATCCAGAGATTCATGAGGAAAGCCACGAATTCTTAGCAGAAAAGGGCGCTTCATTGATAGCACTAAAAGCTGTCGTCCTCGTCGCCATCTTCTTTATGCAGAAATCTGCTGTTTAACTGCGGGCGCTGTTATCAAAGCGAGGCTGAGCGCTAATGTTGCCATGGATATTATGTAAACTCTGAGCGATTTCAGGTTGTTTTCAGCTGGTAAACAGTGTACTATTGAACGGAGCGAACGATCATGACGGAGAATCATCCAAACCCGCTTGCTTTCATTCCTGACTATGTGGAAAGAAAAGGATCTCTCTTCTTACGATCTGATCACATGGATTATGGCAGACCAACTCTTGTGTCGAACTGGTAAGTCGCTTACGAGCAAACGGTACTTGTCGCGTGCAGTTCGTTTCTTTATTGTAACCAAGCTATATATAAACATTACTTTTGTTGTCACAAAAGAAAGGGGGAACCTATAATTCTTTTTTATCGATTTAAGGCCTATTAAATAATACATATGATTGAAAAAAGATCTGCATTTTCAATTGGTGACATGCTCGGTGGCAGGGAAGTTTGCGCGAGTTCCGATGCTGGTTTCGTGTGCATGTCGAAGTGAACGATGCATGTCTTGTTTAGAGAAAACTCTTTATGGGGAAGCGTTTTATTGTTCTATCTTTATACATCAGCAAATTGCTTCAGCTCGAAATATTGAAAATATATCTATTTTTCTCCGAAAGATTTGCCAATTATTAGTTAAGTTGTACATAGCTACTTGTGATTAATTGTGATCTTTGCACTCGATAGCTTAAAAGAGTAAACCTCCATTGATTTTAAAGTCACTCGTTGACCACCAGAAATGATCTATACTTTCTTTCCCAACCTTTCCAACATTTTGCGGTACTCTAAGACTTTCGTTGTCGCCAGTTTCAAATAATTAAGTCCGAGCGTGTGACTACAGTGTTTATACACTGTAGTTACTATCTGAACAAAAATTTACAACCGGCTTTAACTTTTACTGGTATTAATCAACTTTCCTATACTTAACAGGCATCAAGCAAGGGAAGCTGAGCCCAAAGAATATGACATCAAAGATTACCAACCCGAAAAGAGGAACCTTCACAACTCCACATACCATCGCATTGGAAATGTCACAGATGGGGTGAGAACACTCGATTGGTTTATCAACATCTTTGCATACAAGATTCATGAGGTTTTGCAATCCCTTATTTTCATTTTTTCATGCCCCTCACTATCAAATTTGTATCTTTTAACATTTCTCTCCCTTTTCCTGTCCTTCCTAAGTCTTTCTTTCCTCTCCTGCAACTCATACCCGTTCTGCTCCCCATTCTGTTGGGCTAGGCTTCTCCCCCTCCCCCAACCCATGCCTCACCCCTTTTTTGATTGGCTAAGACTCTCTTTAATCTAAACTGTAAACATCTATATTTTCTATATCTTTAAAATTGTAAGGTTGTAAATTTTCACTCATTAAGGTACTTAAGAGACTTTCTAGACCAAAGCTGTTACAAGGCCTGACAACATGATCTAACTTGGAATTTAATTGAAAACTTGTAATGCCTGCAGGGATTTGCTTTATGGTGTGTATTTTGATCTAAGAATAACATCAATGTACTTTTAAAATACTATTTCTCTCCCCCAGTCTTTACCTGATACAACCAGTCATGACCAAATGGAACAAGCAGTGAAGCTTAAAAGTGACTTTGAAACAAGAGAAACAAGACGGCAGATGGTAGACATGAACACTTTTAAAAGCGTTAATTTCCAAAGGTGTGTAATCATCTAATTAAAAAATTTTATATATTTATAAAAACGGTTTTCTTCGTTACTCAGCTGTCATCATTCAATATTTAAGACTAAGGGATGACCTAAATGTACTTTGCAAACCAGTAATCCTTCTTTTTCTAGTGCATTGGCACACATCAGTTTTGCCTGTCAGGTAATAATATTGGTATATGACAGTGTATGCTCATGCATATAAATTACAAATAAAATTATAGTCTATTGGCAGATCACTACATATCCAAGAAATTATACAGGCAAATTTAAGTTATCTAGAACTGATCTTATACAAGTGTAATTGTGTGGGTCTCGAAGTGCTTTTTGCAGACATGATGTTCATAAAATGTGGAAGGATCATACAATTATAGTTGTTTATATTTACTAACAAAAATTTTACCTTTTTGCAAATGATTTTATCGAAACAGAATCAAAGGGTATTAAGTTGTGAAGTTAAGAGGTTATTAATCCCTTCCATCAGATCCATGATGTAGGAATATTCAGTGAGTTGGGGTACTTATGTATCTGGGATAAAAGTGTATTAAGTTAGTTGGTTGTATTTTTACTTCTGATATAGAGATACTGGGGCACCTGAGAGAGGATTTGGCAGTGTACTTCCAAGACATCCACTTGACCATGGAAAGAGGTAAATTGTTGTTTCTTAAATTCCACCTCTCCACTATGCCTCCTTGCAGCAAATTATGAAGCTTTGCCTAATTAGTGTCAAAGTATAAAAATTGGTAAAAATTCCCCCTTAAAATTAAGCTAAAAACTGGTATATTTTGATGACTTCTCTTTCTTCGTTAATGCTTTCCTGATCTTTTGGAAACCATGCTCAACATAAAGAACATAACAGTACCCGGTTTCAGACCAAATGGTTGAAAAACCCCACCTTGTGCAACGGCATAGCAGGTTCAAGGAGTGTACCCCCACTACTATTTCCCACCCCTTCCACTCACTGAATAAATATGTTGCGATAGAACGTTTCACTCGTGCATCGAGTCAATCTAGAAAACATAATGCGATTCAAATACTTCCATTTTATTTTTGATACCAAAGCGGAAAAAGCACATGCATGACTATGTTTAACTCTTCACAGGTACCTTGACACCACATATAGAGTGGATTACGACTCCCCGTACCCATATCAAACACAAAAGGTGACATACTTCACTAGATGTGATAAACATGATGTGTTCGAGATGCATGCATGTTACATTATAACACCCAGGTATTTTGCGTGTAATAACGTTCGCGCTGATTAGTTCACAACGTGTTAACTCTTACCAGTTTCGCTCTTTCTTCGTTTTCGCCGTCGTCAGCAGCGACCAACAGAACATGAGCGTCACAGAAAGCACTCAGTGGATTCAAAATCTGTGTTCATGACATGATAATTTTCAGTTATTTCGTTAATTCTATGTTGTGATTGTCGAGTTACATTTGCTCTCGTTGAAATTCTCAAACGCGTATTAAACCACGCGTGTATAACGACAAATCCGAGTACGCGCGAGGCGAAATCGAGGCAAAGCCGAAGGTGCTCAGTGATAAATGAATTTTGCGCGCTCTCTAGGTCGTCTTTTAAGTCTTTCTTTTTGAGAAGGAAAGATCTAAATTGAAATGATCCTTTAGAGTACGTAATGGTTTCTTTTTTTGCGTGTCATATGGAATGTCCGCATGCCTCCAAGTTAAATCGTTAGAGACCGCACACACTTTGATACCACGAAAAAGTGATGATTTTACAGGAATTGCTTTATCACTACAGTAACCCATAATCAAAGAGGAATTCAACGAAGCCTTTGTTTATTTATTTATTAAACTATTGATTCATTTTTGTGACGAACCAAGTGGAAACACAAGCAAAAGTAGTCGAAAAAATACGGAAGCAGTTTTCGAGTTCCAGCGCCAAAAAACAACAACTAAAAAAGAGAAAAACATTTAAAAAGGTTTTTCTCCTGATATGATTTCATTTACAGCAAGAGTTGAAAACTCCTGCTGTTGTGAAATCGATTCAAGAGAACTAAACAGAAACACTCAAAAAACTAATTCCAGGTAAAAATCATCAGTGATCAACACTTGTGATAATTTCTCTCTCGCGTTTGGTCTTTCAATATCTACTGGTTCCTCACCAGACTCCTCCTCCAGAGCCCGATCAGTCTGCACTTTGGCGGAAGTGCCACTCCCAGTTTACCGACGTGGACGACTACAGACGACACGGAACAAACACTTGGCATGATGAGTCAGGAATTTACGCTAACACAGCTGTACGAGAGCATGTTTTACAACCCACAAATCCCATTCCAGAACGACTTGGCTAATGTGTATGAAGTTACTTAGGAGATGTTTTAGACTTTTTTTTAATCATGATAAGCAAAGATTTTAATTAACAATTTTATTTTTAAAATTCACGTCTTCCCCTTTTCTCATTGAATTGATAAACTAAAAATAAAGTGCATATTGAGACCAAGTTCATTTGAATTTTTAGATTACTGTATTCGTTGTTCGGTCAATATAAATAATGGCAGTAGTAAGGGTTTATATAGAAAGATCCTTCGCTGCAATTCTGATTTGGGTCGACTGATCATTCAAGGAGCCTCCTCCTTGGAAAGAGAGAAAAAAAAAATCGTACAATTTTCTGGCGCTCTGCCAGCCTACGCCCCGCCTTGTTTCAAGAAAAAGAAGAACTTGAGTCCTTAGATAAAACGAGTGTTAAAAAATTTGAAACAAGGAGCAATTATTGTCCAAAAATTTTTTACTATTTACATTTTCCTGCTTCTGCTTCTTTTTCTTGATAATGAAAAACATTCAGTTACGTAACGTTTGCCACCAAGGCATTATGTTCCGTTTCCTCTCAGTCATCCTAGAAATAATCTGTTTTCAGAAAAGAAGGTTGAAGTTTTTCTTATATTCGGCGGTAAGGTTGTTGGCCAGGTCAGTCATTACCTCCAAGGAGTTTGTTAGAGATTGCAATTCACTGCTGATCGGGTGCCCGTCGCTTTTATCATCCAAGGAGTGACCTGTTTCAGAATTGAAAGACATAAGGAAATGTTGCTGTCAATCGTGGTCTTGTAGCCAGGTAAATGAACGTTTAATCGATTAATTAATTGTCGCACGTGCACGATATAAAGTCTTGATCAGGCTATCAATTAATGCAAGATGATTGATGGCGACAGGGGACGAGATCGAGATCAGCTAAGACCCTATCGATTAATTGGTTAAATACCACATACAAGCAAATTCATATTCATTTCACAATGTAAAGTATTCCGATTGAATCATCTTTTTTTTCTGATTTGTTGGAAAATGGAGGGTGGGGATACGTAAAATGAAAGTCATAATTTTTCCTCTGAATTGAAGACACTAAGCCTTACCAGAAACCTACACTATATGCATTTCCTTGGTTTAAAAATTGCGGTTATAAAATCAATGAATATAAGGTTCAGCTGTAGCCTACCTGTTAGGACAACATTCTTCACATTTTTCAGCGCATTGAATGCTTCATAAAGGCTTTTCTCTAAAGCGATTCCATTGCCTGATGGAACAGGATTACCGCCACTTTTTGACAGTGCCATGTCATGTAAACTTTGCGGAACTAAAATGGATTTCTCCATTTCCTCGACAGCATTCACAAACTGAAAGAATGAACAAGAAAATACTAGAAAATACTACAAATTAACAATAGAATTACCTCTGTTTTTCTCGACTCGAAATCGTTGTTGCTGTTTTCATTTTTCTCTTTTGCTGTACATTTCGTTCCTGAAATATGTCATATAGTTTAGGTCCGCTAAAAACGAGGGGAAATCATTTACTGCTATATCTGGTCATGAGGTTGATTTTGCAAGTACATAGTCTGTGTAATCAGTTTTTCAACATTACGTGATGAAGGCGTGCTTCTTGAGGCAAAGGTGACCTGATCCTAAAGGAACATGAAAAGTGTTATTTCTACTTTCGGAAAAGTCCTCTCAATCACCACTCATCGTGATCAAACATTCCGGCCTGTTCCATGGTACGGTCAACTTACAATTGATCATGCCCTGACAAACAAACATAGATAGTGCGAAGAATAATGGAGCTTTCAATAAGTCAGAAGCGGCCTGACATTCATACCATAGGTTCAAAATGTAGGGAAACTCTCGAACGATGACCATATTTCTTAATAAAGGAACTCTTGGCGAGTGAGTTCCTACTACTGGCTCTTACAATTCCCTTATAACTAAGTATACTACGAAACTTCAGAAACTGACCACGCAATGCATGTGGATGCAGCAGAGACCATGGACAGTTCAACTTATTATCACAATGCAACATCGTACCTGTGAGAGAGTATTCATAACGCCTTTGGGATTCATAGCAAAATTTTTATGAAATACGGCGGCCCAACGAGGGAGTGAATGAATTTAAATATCTGTGCAGCAGTCTGAGGAGGTTCATGTCCCAGATATAGAAGAAAATTAACGTTATATACTGTTCAATCTGTCAAAAATGCCGCTTGGAGTGTGACAGAAAACATTCGCTCATTGCATGATCACTGCCGGTTAATACCCAGTTCTGCACCTATAGCTGGCGATTATATGAAATTGCAACTAAACGGGGAAGGAATCACTTTAACTTCGCCCACGAGAATAAGCAATTCCATGGGCGACATGAAAAATATATTTTCCTTCCGTGCAAATTTCCTACGGGCAAAATTACTTGAATGAGAGTTGCTTTTAATGGTCCATTGTTACCGGATGTTTACGAGTATTACGAGTATCATGACTCAATCCTACCAGTAGGCAAGGTGGTCTCATGTACCCCTGTGGACAAAATTACCTAGACGTGTGCCGCTCTTTAAAGCTTTTTGTTTATTGAAGTCATTGATGTCGTGGGTTGGGGAGACATGCGAATGTAATTTAAGTACGCAAGGCTCTAAGCTAGTTTGTCGACTTGGAACCTTCGCGGCTTTTTGTGAACATCGTCGAAAATAAGGGTTATCTTGCGGTGAAAACTCTTGCATCACAATCTCGAAAAGCGGCAGTGAATATAGGGATAAACAGAGGACTCAGTGGATTAATAATCGGAGATACTTGTTTCATTCGATCAACCGTGTTTTAATGGGCCTGGCGCTGTCGGTCCACCGTTTGCTAAACATTTTTTTTGCACTGTAGTTGGAGATACATTAAGTTTCTATAGCCTTCGCTGCGAAAAGAAACAGTTCCATTATCGACAGGATCGAGACACGCGAAAATATGGTCAATTTTTTCTAAAAGCATTTCGTGCAAAATCTCCAGCAGGCAGCCTTAATGAAGTTTTGTTTTTTAACGATAGTCTTTTCTTTACTACGCCATACAAAATGCAGCCAGTCAGAATACAGAAACACTGATGTATCTTCCAACCTTTCCATCGTTGTCTGCTCTTTTGACCGTTTACATTTTGAAACTAGTGTCATTTCCGGTTTGTTCTCGGCGTTCAACCTCGACAACTTAAAAATTTGCTAAACACTCTGTTTTCTTTTTATGTGATGAATATTCAGTTTTAGTGTTTTTAGTGTTTTAAACAGGATACAGTAAGGGGCTAGTTCAGAATTAAATCTACGCGTATGCCTTATTGATGGTGTTGGCATTTGTTTTATTTTATCTTTTTGTGGAATGGTATACAACAGTTTTGAAATACTTTTTCGAGGCACATTTCGGAATGTCCCTCTAGTCATTTAGAGGGGGTCATAATAGTCATAATACACACTCGACTGAAATCTTCTGGGTACACCAAAGATGCCCAAGTAACTCGTGGGATATTCCATGGTTTATCTAATCCAAAGCGTTTTGTGACTAATAGGCGTTGAGATGTCTGTCAAGACATACAATGAGTATCCAACTTCGAATATCCAACTTCGAATAACGTGACTTTTTCCTACACATAGTTGGAGGTGGTAAGGGGGGGGAGGGGGTGCTACTCTTCCCTTCCCTCTCCCCTTGCACAACTGCTGCCCCCTATACCCCTAGGGGTCTGATAATAAGGAATTATCGAACTTACCTTTCCCTAGCTAGTGAATAGTCTACCAAAAAAAGCAAACTTAGCTGCCAGATGTTGGTTTTGTCTGTAATTTTTGTCTGTAATGACCTGCAGGATAATTTTGAGCCATTGTCAAGAACTATGACCTGTTTCTGTCTTCACATTTGATGCACGTCAATGGCACGTGTCTGAACAATTTTTGGAAAACATCTCGCATCAATCCTCTCTTCAAGCACTAAGTGCGTTCTCAAGACGAAAAAATGAATGCTCCTTCTCAGTAAAAAGATCAAATCGTAATTGCGAAAAGCGACAATTACACAATGGTGTTTTTTGTAAGAGGTTGACTGATTGCATCATGAATTAAGGAGGTTCGCCTTCATTGATCAGCCGTGACTGGTACCTACTCACAGTGTTCTTTGACAAGTTTCAATTACATTTCATCGACAAAGTGTAAAAGACTGCTGACTATTCAATTAGCTTTTTCTTACAGTTTCCACAGAAAGAGGCAACACTGGGTGTGCCTCTCAGCAACTTGTGCTGAATTCAGCCATTTTTTTTCCTGTTCATAAATCCCTCTTGTTCATAGAGCTTGTATACAACCTGCGTGACTTTAAGGGTGAGTTCTTTTCATAATTATGCGGCACGTCCTCTTTGAGTCTAACTGTCTGTGGCGCGACATGCCAAATATAAACTCGAATGAAACAGTTTATGGATTACTACCAGCATCTTCTGCAATAGCCTAGACAGAGAAGGGCAAATACTGTACACTGTGATTGTCTGGCCGAGAATTCCCTTCCCTTCAGATCAGTCTCAATGGTCAGATGGCAAAAATGGCTTTCTCCCGAAGGTTTCCAGTGACAATAATGTTGAAAGTAAACCTTGAGCCGTATTCTTGATCAAAGCAAAATTTTTTTGTCTATTCTTCCTCAATTCCTGCAGTGGAATCCATTCCAGCATTTCTTTTATTTGTCTACAAGTCTTCAGATAGCCCTGCCATACATCTGACTTTTAACTGACAGAGGATTCAACACCAAACAATGCATCAATGCCATCGGGAAAAGAGAGTTTCTCAAATGTCTCGTACCGGAGAAATAAGTGTTCAGCTAATTGCGTCGGATCTGTAATTGGAACCTGGAAATACCAGAAACACTTCCTTTAGAATTCATAGCCAATATAAAAAAATTCACTTAAATGGAGGTGTCAGTAACTGTTTCCATAAGCAGCTGGGCTGCCAATGTTGTAATAGGCAGCTGTGCCCAGAAAAGGAGCCAAAAAGCCAAACCCAAGCACATGAGCCTTCTCGCAAGCTAAAAAGACGGTGGGTAAGAGGTCTCACAGGCAGGTGGTAGACCATCTGTAATCCACTTTTATTGAAATACCTTGCTGAGGTGTATGGTGAGATTGGAGCATAGGAAAAGTAATTGCTACGTGAATGGAGAGGGATGGGTAAATTCTGCATAGCTGCTGGAACTTAAGCCTGGTTCTGTTGCTAGAAGCAACCAGGAGGACTGTTACTCCTCCTGGAAGAAAAGTTAGCTCAACGCGTGCAACTCAAAAATTTTTTCAAGGCTCCCCATTTCTCTTGTTGCCATTTATTCTCCATTTCTTAACCAAGAAAACAACACAGTGAACCCAGTCTTTCCTTTCATGGTTTTTATAACAAGAGGCAACAGCCATGGTGGGAAAACAGTCTATTGCAAGTAATCTCCTAGCATATTGATAGCTTTCCATTACAGTTTGCTGTTGAGCATTTTCACTTCTAGGTGGAGAGATCCCAGTCTAGGCTGGAACCTGTCCACATTAAAATTTGTTGAGGAAAACTCAAGTACCATAAAGAGGACCAACCTTTAATTCTAAGAGGTCTGCTACTTTTCTTTCTTTGGATGAATATTCCCTTAACATGTATGAAGTGCCAGCCTGTAATTGGACCATAAATTAGAAGACAGGTAACAAAAGATAGTCAATAAACTGCAGCATAAAGAAAAGAACAAAATTAATGTCCTTTGGATAATTCTGTTTGGACCCTGCAGTAAAACCAACCCAAGTGTTCTTGGCCACAACACATGTCAGCCTGCCAAGAAGACTTCAAATTTTTTCGAACCAGTTTCTTTAAAAAGGTTTACAGTGGTAAATCTCATTTTTATTAAAAAGTGATATTTACCGTGTGATGAATTCTTGTATCGTTGATCCTAACAAGAACTCCATCGACTCTCAAAAAAAATCTCAGCAACAGAAAGAAACCTCCCTGCATAACACGCTGAAAGTAAAAAATGCATGAAATGAATAAGATGTCTTTGCATGCTTGTGGCTGTATAATCACAATATTAATTTCTCTCTCAATCAGAGAGAGTGAGTTCTAAATCTATAGGACAAAACTTAAGCACAAGTTACAGTTCAAGCCAGAAAGAATTGGCCAGCATACAGGACACACATTTCTCCCCCACTGGATGATTTGAGGTTTTTTTGTGAGGTTCTTTCAAAATTCTTTGGTATGTTTTTTTCTGTAAAATAGATCCTTTGTTGAACAAGCTCGTTTAGAAAAATAGGTGGGTATTGAGTTGATCTTCATTTGCCAGGACACTGACAACCTTGGGCTGCAAAAATGCAAAAAGAAAAAAAACTTTGCACACATTCAATCATATTGACCTTACAATTGGTCACATAAACATTCATAACTGCATCTGTTTTCTCTTACCATTTTGACATTCAACTTTGCTATGCCGTTATCTGCTAATTCATCTTCATACAATATAATGTCTTCATAGAAATATATCTTTTCTTTAACTTTCAGCTGTTCTAGATCTATTCTCTCTTTGGTGGGCTCAACCTGGAATAAGTGAGGAGAACACAACATAAGATTTTTACTAACTCTTTAACCCCTAAGAACATTAAGCATCTAACTTCTCCCAACAGTGGCACCCCTGAATCAAAAATCAAGTTGTGAGAATAACGGAAATGATCATTAACTCTTGAAAGAAGTTCTTGATTGTTAAACAAATTCTCCTTGTCAGTACCTTGGGAAATGTATAGAGAACAGTTAAGAGAATACGCATGCTGATGTTATAGTGCTAAGGGTTGAACAAGTAAAGCAATATTTGTTCATAATGGCACATGATGTGGAAGAATAAACTGATATCATTACATTTAAAAAATGAATGAATCAGTGATTTACAGATATACTCTACTAGCTGAATTTCATGCTATACTAAATTAAATATGACTCAAAACTATTAACTGAAGTGAATTATTCAGTTGCTGAGTCAAAGACCTTACAATGCATAAATTTCTCTTACTTATCTTTAAAACCACACCTGAAATACAATCTCTTCTTTTCCAGTCAATGTACCCTTGTAATCTGTTGTGAATGTCCAGTCAAAAGGTTTTATAACCTCTTTGATATATTCTGAATCCTGCCTACGAGGTTCAGGTGAAAAAACAAAAAGAGAGACACAATATGTAAAAGCAATTTGGTTAATTCTTGGTAACATTAACCTTTTAACTCGAAGTGATTAACATGTAACTCCTTCCTACAATACCAATTCACTATCCAGCAAACAGGTTATTAGAATACGCTCATACTTATCAGGAAGAAGTTGTTATCTTGATCTAACACCAGATTCTTATAACTCACTAATAGGGAAATGTGTAGTAGCAAAAGGGGAGAATTAACAATCAGATCTTGGAAGTTGAAGGGTTAATTACATTTGATCTTGAATAACTTCTAAATAGGTTACACAAATCAGCTCTTAGCTTCTAAGTTTGCCTTACACTTCTTTACATTGTATGATGTTGATTACCCTTAAAAATCTGAACTTCTCTCACTTCCTACACCTTACTCATGAAAATGCATTTCTTTTAGACAGGGTATCTTTGTAGAACCCCCTGTGGGAAGTACACTCCCCACTGGATCTTAAAAATTTACACTGCATAAATTACCCAACAGTGAAGATACAGTTGAACTCCTTTACAGATATATATTCTATGAGCAAACACTGTTGAAGTGTTTAATCATTGGAGGAGAACTCTGGCTATGAATGTTTTGCATGCTTAGCCATTTAAAGTGGTGCACTTGTGAGAGCTACTATGTGAATTTTTATTTATGAGCTTCACCTTTTGCTTTGCCATTCTTCTGCAACAGCAACCTTCATCAAGTCGTGCCTATTGTCTACCAGTTTTAGTGCATCCAGTGCATTAAATTGAATCCCAAATCCTGCAGCATGATCAATCTGTAGAACATTGTCACCAAACACCATTTCAGGAAGAGAAGGAAGCTCCAGCTCAGAAGAGATTCTATATAACAGCACAAAGAAATAAAAATAATCTAGATTTAAAGGCACCCAACCCCAAGATCAGATTTGTTTAACACCGAAAAGTTCCACTGAGATAGAAGAAACAAAGCCAGCAGGGAGTAAGATCCTTTCATATCTGTTCAGAGACCGGCTGAAATACATATGGAAAAATTTCTAGAAAAAATAAGTACTGTAGTACATATTATACATATTATATCTACACCCAACTTAATTTGACTCATGGTAGACACGCGATTTAGGAGTTTTACAACCCTACCTCTCTGCGTCATTTGCTTTAAGAATAGCTCCTTTGGTGGTGGTTATTTTCCAAGGTCCAAAGCCAAAGACGTCAGACTTCTTCATTCTTAATATTGTATTCCCTCTCACCTAATCGAGAAGAATTTAGATCGAAGATTTTCACAACAATGTTTAGAATGAATAGCCTAGCGGAGGAGTATTATGGTATTCAGCGGACACGCATCTAGAGCTAAATGTTTTGTGTAAGTGTTACGGAAAACTGCAGGACATTTCACATGAACATACATGATTCACAAAATGTTTCCCGCGCGTGAATGCATAAGCCTTCATTGGAAATACATACATACATACATACATACATACTTTATTTGTCACGTAGGTCGATAAATGGCAGCTAAAAAGCTGATGTGGACCTACAAAACTAAAGAGTGTCTACAAAATTTAAATAATAACAATAACAAGTAGCGAAATTATGGTAAGTAAGAAAGGATGTAAGACCTAGTAATATAATATACAGTTGATTTACAGTAGTAATAAAAAGTAATAAAATAAATAAAAGTAGTAAAATAGCTTTAATATATGTAATTTACAACGTCTTTATTTAGTCCCTGTAAACCATTAAATGTTATTTTATCTAAAATGTCGGATTTTGCTTTGAGAGCAGATTTGAAAGAAACAATGTTCGGTTTGCTCTTCAAGTACACGGGTAAGTTGTTCCATAGAACAGACGCATGGTGAGAAAAAGAAGATCGACGGAAGTCACTTTTAGGGCGTTGCACGAATAGCTTCAGATTGTCCCTTAGATTTCTCAACGGAGAGTGTTTAGTAAACAAAGAGCTTATAGCAGCCGGAGCTCTATTGTAAAATGCCTGATAGGATATAGTGGCAATCCCTTTTTATAGAAATATGATAAGGACTTCCATTTTGTCGCTGCCAGAACTTCAGTATTGGGGGTAGATTCCTTTAGGTTAAAAATAAATCTCGCGGCTCCAATGTGAATGTCTTCCAGTGTCTGAAGTGACTTAGAAGATCCCCATAATGCAATAGAATACGCAATACTTGGAATGATACCTTTGAAATAAATTGACTCTAAGAGGCGATTGTCGAGTCCTTTTAGGTGTTTGAGTTTCTTCACTCTTGCCGAAAAACGTTTGCTCAAAGATTTTATATGTGGCGACCAAGAGAGTTTATTATCGATAAGAATCCCTAAACATGTAGCTTTGGAAACAAATGACAACTCATTTTGCCCTAAACAAATTTTCTGTAGGGGTCCGATGAATCTTGATTTTGATAACAACATTAGTTCACTTTTGCGGGATGAATAGTCATGAAGTTATCCTTAGCCCATTTGTTTAAGTCAACGATCGCTTTCTGTATCTTAAATAAAACTTCATCAACAGTATTTCCAATGCAAAAAACAGTAGTATCATCTGCAAACATTTCAACGGAAGCGTTCGTTGTGGCTCCGGGCAGATCATTTGAGTAAATGCTGTAAAGTCTAGGACCAAGTAAAGACCCTTGGGGTACACCCGTATCTATTTCCAACAATTCTGAGTTTGAACCATTTACGGTGACAAATTGTTTACGATTATCAAGATAATTTAAGAGCCAATCGTAAAAAGAGCCACTAATACCTATAGAGTGTAATTTATCCATAAGAACTGTGTGGTTGACGCAATCAAACGCTTTCCGAAAATCAATAAAGACTACGCCAATAATATTGCTTTCATCCAAGGCTAAACGCCATCGTTCTGTAACGGAAAGTAAGAGCAGCTCGGGTGAGCTTCCTTTTCTGAAGCCCCATTGATTTAAGGAGATCAGATTGTTGCTATATAGGAAGTTATCAAGTTGTTGGCTTACAACATTCTCCAATAGCTTGCCCGGAATGCTAAGAAGGGAAATAGGCCTGTAGTTTTCACAGTCGAGAGTATTCCCCTTCTTGTGAAGACATTTTACCTGTGCCTGTTTCCACTGGCTGGGGAGTTTGCATTCCAAAATACTTCTTTGAGCCAGTGGCATAAAGCAATCCAAAAATGCGTCTCCAATAAGGTACAGCTCTTTGCTGGATATGTCATCAGGTCCACTCGCCTTGCCAGGTTTCAAACACCTTAGAGAAGATTTTAAAAGGTCTCTGTTAAGGGCTATGTTATAAAGAGAGGCACTGATTTTTCTTGCGGACTGACAAGGAGAGTTTACTGAAGAATCTTGTGTTGATTTCGAGAGGGATTTTCCAACATTGACAAAAAGGAATTTAAAGTGTTGGCCTTTGATGTATCGTCTGCGTGAATAACTCCGGAACTATCTTTAATCGGTCCGATATTTGTAGCTGTTTGTTTTCCCTCGAAAGATCTTACTGTCTTCAAAAAATCTCGAGCAGAGGTTGTCTCATTAAATTTTGTTAGCCAATAACTTGATTCCGCTAATCTAAGGAGTTTGGTGCATTTATTTCTTGCCTTCTTGTAATCTATCCAGGCTTGTGAGCCCTTCGGTGTTTTCTGTGCTTTAAGGAGTAATTTGTAGCGATTGTTCAGCTCTTTACGTATGGAAGAGTTCATCCAGGGTAGGCCCCTCTTCTTATCTTTACTCGTCGAGCATGAAGGTGAGATTTCATAATGTCCTTGTATAAATACTCCCAAGCCCAAGTAGCATCGTCCAGATTGTGAAAGACATTGCAGATACTCCATGGGGCTGCAGCAAAGTCCGTTCTTAATGAGTCTAGATCTACTTTTTATAATCGTAGACTGTTTTGAGCGTTGGTTTCTGACGTTTTCTTTTGAGATTTACGATTGCATATATTAAGTGGTGATCTGAGATTCCTAAATCACAAACACCCTGGTGAGAAATTTTTGAGGTGTCAGAGCAAATCACCAAATCAATCAGCGTTGTGGAGGTGTCAGTGATCCTTGTTGCCTTGTTGATGACATTCTTTAGATTAAATCTATTCAAAAGTTGACGGAATTTCCAGGTTGAAGAATCTGTGTCCCTGGATTTAGGCAAAAGATTAAAATTGAAGTCCCCCAATAAAATTATATTCGTTCGTTTCATCCATATGCGATCCAAAGTAGAAGAAAATTTATTTAAAAACGTAGTGTCATCGGGTGGGCGATACATTGAAGCAACTAGAAGTTTCTGAGACGCCACCGTAACGTCAATCCACGCAGCTTCTAGAGAGTTGTTTACATTTATGTCTCGACGCTCATATGCATCTAAGTATTCAGCAAAGTAGATGACCGTGCCACCGCCTTTTCGACCATCGTTTCGATCGCATCGAGCAGTTTTGTATCCAGTAATGGCGATTTCGTCGTCAGTAATATCCTTACCTAGATGGGATTCAGTTATGGCTAAAATGTCAAAATTCATCGAAAGTAAAAAGAGCTTTAATTTCCAATAACTTGTTAGGAAGACCATTTACATTGATGTGTGAGATCTTCAAACCTGGTAGTTGCAAGTCCGCTTTGAGTGATGGATAAAGATGCGAATCAGATGAGCAACCTAGTGTTGGTAGTTGCAGGTCCACTTCGAAAGATGGATAAAAATGCGAGTCAGATGAGCAATCTAGGTTTGTCTCATTGTCGAATGGTAAAGACGACCAAAGGCAAATCGGACACCACCAGGAAAATGAAGGAAGTCTTTGATAGTTCTTATATTCGCTTGGCCTGATCGAGGCACATTTTATGTGACACCACATGTTGCAGTTATCGCAATTTACCGCTCGATGATTTCGGGCAACACGCTTGTTACACACTGAACATTCATCTGGACCAGGATTTATGTCGATGTCCCCACTTGTGTAGAGTCGCATTTGATGGAATGTTGAGTGCGAGTTCGCATAGTAACATATCCTGGTCGCATGAAAACCTCGCACATGCCACAACAGGCCAAGATGGCGGATCGTTTTCGTCTTCCGTTGATTGCAGAGGCTTGCGTATACTGATATGAGAAAACGCCTCGACCACGAGAAATTCTTCGTGATGGAGATTTTGCTATTTTCTTGAAGAGAAGGCTGTCTTTCGGCGAATTTGGTGAGCGATAAGAATAGTATTGACGCGTAAAAGCAGGAGAAAATCAGAGCACGTCCTCGCGCCATTTCGCTAATAGAGACTTTAAGTCTGACTGTTGATGTCTTATGTTTTGTAAAAACCCATGCCTAACTGCTTTATTTGACAATGCTACCATGCGATATCGACGAAATTTTGCGGGAAGATCTGCGTGACGTTGTTTATGTCTGTCCAATTATTAAAAAAAAAGATGGATAACGAGCACGAGAGAATTTTGATAGTTATTGTATGGAATAACAAAAGACACTGCCCTGTGTCCATTCTCGGTAAAGCCTCTTGCCTCACAGTGTTATAACGTATATCTATACCTATTGGTAAAGGATTTACATGTAATTTTGGTGCCAACATACACATATGAGGGTGGTACGTTTTATACGCGAAAGGGAAATGTGTAATGTTCCTTTCGTGTATCAGGACAGCCGCGCACTTTACAACCCTTTGATGATTTATCCACCAAATGAATGCCGCGTTTGGTGAAAAGTGACCATAAAGCAACAGAAATATTTTTGTATAATAAATGCGTCCACAAAGGTAAAAATGCGTGATACCCGGCGAGTATCAGTTTCCTAATGCACGCACTTGTTAGCTTTTTGAAAAATGTCCGAATCGTCGAGCCCCGGCTAATGAGGTCGTCCGCCATTGCGACATTTGCTTTTATGTCGCCTCCACCAGTTCTTTGTATGATTCATTTCCTTTGTTAATGAACGGAAACGCTCGATTGCACCATTAGTCAGACAAACTTTCTCACCCTCCCCCAACCATGTATTCAAAGACTCCCTACCCGACAATTTATGCCAATAATATATACAGTTTCTTGACCGGAAACGTTCGATTACACTGTTAGTCAGACAAACTGCCTCACCCTCCCCCAACTCGGTATTTAAAAACTTTCTACACCGACAATTAATACAACCCATTTATGGAGTTTCCAGATGGTCGACAGGTAATCGTGAGCGCGCAACGAGTGCAAGAGGTCATCGAGGTCGCGGGTTCGAATCACGCTATAGGAGTTATTCTTAATCTGACTTGGGGGCCGAATACCTTCTCCCCGAGTATGATTTGGAGCTGGCGGACAAGGAGTAATTCTCAAACTGGCTTGGGGGCCGAGTAACTCCTCCCCGTGGAATTCGCATTTGTTTTTGCTGTCTTTTGTACTTCATCCGTTGTCATCATCATTTTTATCGTATTTTTTTTGTTTGTTTGTTTTGTTCTTTTTTCTTTCATTTTCTTCTTTTTTTCCCGAGCAATTATTTTTTTGAGCCACGGTAATATGGTTGTTGTCCTTTTCCTTTCTCCTTTTCGAAATTAGACATCATTGATATTTTTCTCTCTTTTCATGTTATTATTATCATCATCATTTATTTTATTTGTTATTCTATTACTTTCTTTTCACAATTTTCCATATCTGAATTTACCCGAAGGCAGCTGCTGGAAAAATCTCACCAAACTCTCTGGTTGATATAGCCGCAGCCCATTGCTTACAAGGACCAAACAGACCGTGGACTAAATTGATATCTCCTGTATTTAATTGCATTGTTCTTAATACTCGTCGAAAAATTAAAGTAGAACCCTAGCCAAGTTGATAAATAGATAAAAAAAAAACTTGAAGAAAAAAAAGCAAATGTTGAGTCAGGGTTAATTTTCAGCGGTACAGTGTCTAAGAAACGTAGCTGACAAGCAGGCGAAATAACGCTAGGCTATTAATAGGCCATTTCACAGTTGTGTACTTAGTTGCAAAGCCTTTGATTTGGAGCGAGGCTGAAGGTGACCATGTTGTGATAGAGACCAGCATTTAGTTCGCGTAATAATAAGGCAAGGTTTATATCATAACAAGGTCACTCCTTGCCTCACTCCTGTGAAAAGGCTTGGCAACCAGGCATACAACTGTAACATAGACTTTACCCAATCTCTAACATGGAGGAACACAATGACCAGAAAGAAAATTTCCGTAAAACTTTTGATCAAATGGCGCTTGAGAAACCCAAATATCAGGGCATTATGGCGTTTAATATGGTTGAAAATTTTATAAGTACTCCTGATGATAGATACGTGCCACCAAAGTTTCCCCTTGAGCTTCCCAAGTTTGACCGATCGACCCCATTTGGGAATGAAATGCGAAAACACTTCTTGTTGGATCTGGACAACTGGACGTTCTTGAATCACGGTGCTTTTGGATGTGTCTTAAAAGAGGGTCTGGAAACAGCTTATAAGTGGCAGTGCTACGTGGAACAGCAGCCTGTGCGATTTTTTGATCGAGAAATGTTGCCACTGTTAGCCCATGTCAACCGTCGATTGGCTAAGTTTGTTGGTGCAGAACCACGTGATGTTGTTCTTGTACCGAATGCAACTGCTGGCATCAACACCGTGATTAGATCCATCGAATGGCGTCCAGGAGATACCGTGTATTACTTGAACACTTGTTACTATACTGTTAAGAAATTATTCAGGCATCTTAGTAGCGCTTACGGTAAGTGAACACAGATATTTGAAAAATTATAGAGGGCTACTTTTTTCATCTCATTGAATCATAATAATTCTGACAAGATGGACCTTACTGGTCCTGTATTCTTTGATTGTGTCAAAGGCCATCTCAGAGATCCAGAGAAGCTGAAAAATTGCTATTTTGGTCTCAGCCATTTTCTAGCTGGAAATGTTAGGAAATTTTATTTATCATGGAGAAATGTTTTTGCAACCCTTTAGGAAATGAAATGATCTGGTTTTATCAACTGGGTTAGTAATGTTAATTGGCCTCCATAAAAAGTTTCTAAGGCTGATGTTTCAAGTGTTGAGCTTTGGTCAGAGCGAATTGTCTCTGAAAATTTGCAACACTATAGCATCGCTGCACCATAGTCTTGCTTGCCCGACTAGACTGGGAATTTCCTTGCTTTGAAACAGATCACCATGCCTTACACAAAAGTAGAGACCAGAGTGGGGCCCAATACATGGTGCTGCAAAGAAGGGGATTTGGGTGGGAAAGGGGGAGGTGATAGTTCAAAAGGATTCTTTGAGAAACTCTCTTCAAACTGCATGAACTAACCACAGAGATTTACTTTCAGGTGTTATTTTAAAGGAAACTACAATCACATTTCCTGCCACCAAAGAGGAAATCCTTAAAACAATAAAGGATACCCTGGAAGCAGGTACAAGACTGGCTTTGTTCGGTCATATACCTAGTAACTATCCTGTTATTATGCCGGTGGAAGAAATGGTGAAACTGTGCCATAGCAAAGGTGTTCCAGTTTTAATTGATGGTGCTCATGCTCTTGGAACCCTGCCATTAGACTTGAGTGTTCTTAAGGCTGATTATTATGTGGCAAATGCACACAAGTGGCTTGCATGCCCCAAGGTATTCTTGCATACCCCAAGGTATTTTTGTTGTCTGCTTTGTTATAAATGTATGCTGTGCTTTTTCCTACCTGTATAGGAAAAAAGTGGGTTCTGGTTTCTTGAGAGCTGAACACTTCAAAGTTGCTATCTCTTCTTTACATATAAAACAACAAGATCTGTGGTTAGTTAAGTGAGACTCCTCATATGAATAATGAGACAGAAGTGAATATGAGCCAGCTCAATTCACATAAGCCTCCTTCTTTTCTTCTGTTTTAGGTGATATGATCCTTCATTGTCACCATCATCATCACTGTCATTATCCTTGATGTGGTTGTCATCATCATCGTTATAGTTGTTGCAACAGTCTATGTTCTTGTCTCCCTAGTCACCTTCCTCTTTATATTCATTGTTGGTTAGCTGGTTATACTTTTGCTTTCCATTCCAACCGGGTCTTTTTCTAAGACATTTTCCATCTCCTCCTCTTCTTCCTTACCTTACAGTTTATCACTGTTGTTATTTTAAAAAAAATGAATTCACTTTCTTCTCTTGCAGGGTTGTGCATTCTTGCATGTTTCTAAAAAGCATCAGCCAATGATCAAACCTCTTGTGGTTTCAAGTGGTTTTGGAGCAGGATTTAACTCACAGTTCATATGGACAGGTATAACTTTTGTTGAAAAACCCCAAATTATCATCATGTTGATTGTTTTTACTTGTGGATTGGAAGAGAGAGATGTGGCATCCCTTCATTGAAAGTGATTGTCTCTGGATGAATATGTCCAGGCTATTCAGTGTTTCATTCCCTTAAGAATAGTTGAAAATGTGTTCCAGTGAACTGTCAGAGAAACCAGACAAAATGTTGGGGTAAGGTGGGAGGGAGAATGCATACCTTGTGATGAAATTGCCTCCCACATGGGCAGAAAAGGAGAACATCTCTTATCACTTAAAAAAAACAACAAAATGAAGCAATCAGAAATCAAAAACAAAATAAAAAGTCAAACTATTAGAGTGTTTTCTTATTCCCTCAACTTCTACCACCTCAGAGTTAAAAGTAGTGAAAATTGTCCCATAATTTTTTCTTTTCTTCAACAGGTTTGAGAGATTACAGTCCCTACTTGGCTTTAAATACTGGTGAGAGTAATGATTTAAATTTTTATCTGTTAAAAATATTTTTTCCAAATCTTACTTTGGCAAACAAAGGGTGAAAAATCATATGGGAGAGACAAAGAAGAGCTTTCCATGACACTTACCTGCTCCTACCTTGTGTGTATTACTCTTGTTCTCAATGAACAATTGTCATGCAGTGCTAAACTACTTGCCTTACAAAAAGTACCTGCTGTTCAAGTATTTCCTGGGTTTGGCTGTTGAACACATAATTTCTTTCTGTAGATTACATGTTCATTTTAGGTGATCTACATGTTGGGTGTTTCCAGGGAATGTGGTGTGAAGTATCCTAGAGTAATGAAATATTGCATGTTTGGCCTCTTTGAACCCAAAAAAAAAAATGCAAGAATCAGACCCAGAGGGAAACCTTCCGCTGTGGTTATATGCGAAACTGTTTTGGTGGTAATGGCCTTTAATTTACAGTCCAAACAGCAGTATCAGTTATAAAATCTACATTTTGACCAAGAACAGAAATGAAAAAGATACCTCCCACCTCTGTTCTATCCCTTAGTGTTAGACTTTTGGGTGGCCATGGGCCCTGAGAGAATTCGCAAATTCAACAACACATTAGCTCACAAAGCTGCTACCATGCTGGCACAGAAATGGGGCACAGGCTTGCTCTCTCATGCCCACATGTTTGGTCCAATGGTGATGATTCGTCTCCCTGAGGTACTGCTGGACTGTGTCACACAGGGTGGAAAGGAGGAAGCTGTGAAAGCTCATGCAGAAATGGTGCAAGCCAAGCTTCATTATGAATTCAATATTGAGGTTCCTGTCAAATTGATCCAAGGGAAACTACATACTAGGATTTCTGCTCATGTTTATAATGAGCTGAGTGATTATGACAAGTTATGTGATGCGATTCTTATTATGACAGATGATGTGCTGAACAATTCAGGAGCCTATAACTCCTATAAGCAGTATAGGTAGCTAGCAGTGGTATGTCTGCTGGAGCACATCACAATAAAGAATTGACTAAAAATTACAACTTCCGGAACTCAGCCATTGTTACGACTAATTGCAAACCCCGATCTCTCTCTTATATTTATGTTGATTGCTGAATGCTTGATAAGGATCATTCCATTCTTATTCCCATCCATTCACTTACCCTAACCCTCTAATGAAGCGTTAAATTGCCCCAGAGCTGGCAGAGGAAATAGTAAGGGGTGTGAGAATAATTTCGCCAGAAACCGAGAGAGAGTGAGGGAACGAGAGGGGAGGGTGGCTGATGGCACGTTCAGCGAGAACCAACTTGTCATCAAGCTGATGTTTAAGCGATGATGGAGTATTATTTGATTAACAAATAATTCAACTCAGTTTATCAACGAATAATTGCATAATGCACCTCCTATTGGGGCATTAACTGAGGAATTAACTTTATATCACCATCATTATTATTATTGTAACATAAAATTTGATTTCATTTCGCCAGCTTGAAAAGTACACTCGAGTGCGCTAAGTGTTTCCTGATATTTTACCCCCTTATTTCCGTATGCATATTCTCCCCTTGCTCTCTGTATATTACCCATGTTACCGGCAGGGAGAATTAGTTTGACAATCAGGAGCTCCTAAAGCTGGCGATCATTTCCCTTATTCTCATGCTCCTTAAGGTGTGATTCATTGATAATGTAAGGACAAATTTGATGTTGGTCATTTGCCTTGGGGTTAGTCGTGAAATGTTCTTCATGATGTCTCAACGTCAGTGTTAACTTTTCTCGTTTTTGGTTTAAGTTCATAATTTGTAATTGACAACTCCACTTGTTGATGAAAATCTTGACGCAAAGAAACCGTTCTAAATGACAGCGAAAACGACTGAACAAGAAATTTTGTGAAGTACCAAAGTAATTGTGCGATGTGAATGTTTAAAAAATTGAAATGGAAAATATGTAATTATTTTATTACGTCTCAAAATTGGGGGAAGGCTTTCTAAATCAGACCTATCTCTCATCCGCTGTTTGCACCAGGCTAAATAAACTACCACCTTTCAGAATCGGGAAATGTGTCAATTCCGTGCAGGTGGATTAGAGCATTAAAACGATTATTTTGAAGCACTGATTTATTCATCACTAGCAAAGCGCTTGACAGGCTACAGTCTTGCCAAATGATATACAGTGTCGTCTTTTTCCTCCTCACTTTTCTCGTCATATGTCGATTGCGGCTTTACCCAGTGCCCAACATTCAAGTCGTCCATTTCGACAGTTAGATTCATTTGTCTGGCGATGGTCGCTAACAGTCGATTTTGAAGTTCCACTGTTCGTATCAAGGTCTTCACACGTTTCTTTGTCTTGCTTACTTGCTGTTGAATGTCGGATATGGTCGTTTCTGTCATCGCTGCTGAAGACGTTAAGGATGATGATTCGTCGAAAAGTCTCCCTTGGCCTTTCAACCAGGCGTGAAATCTCCTGATAAACAAGGAAAGAAAGAAAGAAAATGTTTTGTCATGATCACACAGTTAAACAACTCTGGAGGAAATTTTTTGTGCAAGTGATAAAATGAAACATAACGAATGACTAACTTAAATTTGCCTCTATATACGTTTGGTTTTATCTCCAATGATGGCTTGTAAATTCTGCGCGTAATAAATCTTGGGTACTTGTTTTCGACTTCGGCCACAAAGGAAACCTGCATTGCCATGCGCTGAAGGGTGGCGGTCCTTTGCACAGATTCGATATCACCCACCGCTAAACCAACCTGAGAGACAAATGAAAGAAGTTCTCAATCAAGGGTTAACCCTTTAACTCCCAAGATCTGATGGTTAATTCTCCCCTCTTGCAGCTACATAATTCCTTGTAAATTAGTTGTGAAATTTGGTGAAAGCTCAAGATAGCAACTTCTACCGGATAAGTATGACTTTTATCATTAACCGGTTGCAAAAAGTAGTGTGGAAATTGTAGGGAGAAACGACATATAAGTCACTTCTGGGAGTTAAAGGGATAAGCTTGACAAACATGTCGAGTCGTTAAAGAAGACGCTTATTTTAATGTCTGTAGGATAAAGAGTGATAAAGAAGCTTCAATTGTAGTTCAATCGTAGTCCAGCAATTCGATAACTTGACTGAGAGGGATAACACATCTTTAACGTAGTCTTTCCTGAGAGCAAGCCACCATGATCCGGTCAGAACTCGAACCTGGACATACTGATCTGGAATTCAGGCGGCTGGATCATAGACAACCGTGTATTCCGCTTCGAGAGTCAAAGATTTTTGGCAAATAAGGGTCTTCAGAAAAGTTGGACGGCGTTAAAACATGGTCTGCACTATTAAGAGATTACAGAGCACTACTTTCTTACCAGGAGGTTCATAAGTATAATCGCCATTAGGAAGAGAAAGGCGAACATGAAGATGAGTGCTATCTCTGGAAATGGATTCAGAGGATTTTTTGTTTTGTCATTACTGGCGTCGATGCTACTTATGAACGCAGTATCGTACTCAAACTCCCCCACCATCATAACGGACACTTTGACGATGGACAACCCAAGTGTACTAAACGATTCCTGCAATGCAATTTAAATAGGATTGGTTTTGAATCATGAAGTATTCAATTATAGCTTTGGCTTTGCTACATTTATCTATATGTGACTTGTTTTGAAACTCGAGCCACTGACTTGACTGATCCGGAATTGTAACCTATAGAAAGGTAATGCATGGCATTTACCCTTTCAGTTTTTTAACCTCGAACAAGCTTTATGTCTTGTACCTGCTCTTTAAAGAGGATAAAGAAGACTATGGCGAATGCAATGATGAATATGAAGAAGACCACAAACACTCTTGCCACTGTCTTGAAGACCTCTAAAAACATAGAAACGTAAATTCCAAAAGGCTGAAATCGTCTAAGGAATAAAATCACATTAACGTAGCACAGGAAGATGGAGATAATTCCAGCAATCCATAAATTCCGTGGATTTTTGAAGCTGCCGAGAGATTCGTTTAATTCTTCGGGTCTCAATAAGTAAGGCAATATGAAAAGGAGTGTTGACAAGTACAGAGCCCATTCTGTCATGTTTGAAGCGTCGGTGAAGTAACGACGCCTTTGGACGAAGAGCTGAAAAATTTCTTTGGCAATGTGGACAGCTGCAAATATCAAAGCGACGAACAACACCGCCCCATTAAAAGCAGTTGCCCTGGTAAAAATCTCTGACGCTTTCACTTTCTCAGTTCCATTCTCGCTTTTACGTGGATTGAAATCTTGAGCTTCTCTTTCCGTGACAATGAATATGGTATACGTTATCAGGAATACCAAATAGGCTATGAGATTGAAGTAGTATATATATCTTCCGAATGAAGCCCATTTTACATCTAATAGTTTCTGCGTTAGGGGATGCAGAAGAAGATCTTCACGGTTAAATTTTACCATCGTCTTGGGACCGAAGAAACGGTTTCCATTTAGGTCTGCCTCGTCATCAGGACCCGGGTCGAGAAGATGGAAATCGTAAGACTCTGTGTAGTTCGGATCTGTTCGAATGTGAGACGAGCGTTTGATACAATGATCCATGACAAGACTGGCAGCCTCAGGGAAATGTTCTATCAATATTTTCATGGGTGAGTTGTGGTTTGGGCTGCGACAATCCAGAATTTCTCGCCATCTGGTGAAAAATAGTAATGGAGAGAGTTAGAAAAACGTTTCCATCTTTTTTTCTTTATTGTAGTCACTACGCCTGCCACCATGATCATGTTCCTTGTGATAAGGCATATTTAGTATCTTACGAAAGGTGATTGCCTGCGGATGTTACTACCAACCTTCGGTGCTGAGCCATCATTAGAGCTACATCACCTGCACCAGAACGCACTGCCACATCTAGACATGTCTGCCCCAGATTATTTTGCACGCACACCTTGGCACCAGAACTTAACAGCAGTTCCATCACTCTGACATTGCCATACGATGATGCAATGTGCAAAGGAGTGTTTCCCGAATTGTTGAAGTGATCAAGAACAGCTTTCTTTTTTATGAGCTCCTGGGAGGTTTTTTCACATCCTGATCTCGCTGCCCACATCAAAGGTGACCAGCGATCGTTATCCCTCGCGTTGACATCAGCACCGAGGCGAACAAGTACCTGACAGGCCTTCCTGTTTTAACAGGAGAAACAAAAGCATCAAAGTCTATACCAAACGCGCGGAACCTACAAGGCCACAAGTATCAACTTCTCATTCCACAAGCAACTCCCAAACCATGGTCCGAAAATTCAGCCATAAAACGTCACGTGAATGCTTGTACGAGTAGCTTTTATACAAATTAGAAAGAACTCGATCGCGTTTCCATATTAAAACTAATCATCTTCACGTAGTCATTTGGTGGAATTATTGACCTTCCCCGCCAGTTTGCTGGCAAGCGAGGAAAACATTTACTGGCCATGAATAAGAAAAGACTGGCCCATCATCTCTAAATAACCAAGACAAAAAATAAGCTACTAGATTGTTTACCTCCAGACCGATATAATGGTCATCATCACTCTAAACGAATATCATTAACCTTACTTTCGCTGTAGTTCTTCTTGTCTTCTTGAATTAAGCCATTGCAAAGACGATTGTTCAGGGTCGTTTTTACCTGTTTCCTTTCATTGCCGCTAAGTGAATGGGTGTCATTCCATCATCATCTCTTTCATTGATGCCGGCCATGGCTCTACCCAAGGCCTCGATATGTGCGAATCGGCCGCTTTGAGCAGAAAGATGAAGTGGTGTCTGCTGAAGTTGGTCTTGAAAACACGCTCGGGAATACTTGGTTAATAGGAGTTCCAGAATCTGAAAACGTTATAAACATTTTCTCAATGATGGTCTAAAATGCAATTGAGTGAAGAAGCAGTTATATCGTATATTTTACTTAGGCTGTTAATTTGATGTGAACCGTACCTAAAAAGTAGGATCAATATTTATTTTCTTTTTAGTTATAGCATATTTAGATCACGAAGCGAGAAGAGTGGAAAAGGGTGGGCAATTTTTGATGAAAACTTGCCCTCTCTCATAGTAAACTTTTCGATGACTTAAGTTCATCCACTTTGGTTGAACTGAGATGTAATGAGATCTCTGGAACCAGGATGGGTGGACAAATTAGCGCCGAAAATAAGCAGAACAGGAAATCATGCTCGCTGCCTTTCTCAAACTTGCGAGTCTCTTAAGGATCTTGTAAACAGCTTTTATTGTTAGTCACTGGACTTTAACCGAACCAGAATACCTTAATATCAGGATAAATAGCTGCATTGTGAAGAGGAACTCGTTCAAATGTGTCTGACTTGTATAGATTTTCTTTAGCTTTCTTATTCTCCAGAAGAAGTTGTACCATTTCCAAATGGCCATTGTCGACCGCCAGATGTAGGCAGTTCTTCATTTCTGACGTGTTAGCGAACGCGTCTGCACCAGAATCGAGGAGGAGCCGAGCGCTTTCCACACTGCCAGCAACCACTGCCTCTAGGAAAGGCGTGCGACTGTCATTGGCTTTACTGTCAAGTGGGGCGCCCAAACTGATGAGGAACTCAATAACCTCGGTACGATTCTCATAGGCTGCCCTGTGTTACGATAAAGGGATACACATGCGTAAGAAAAGAGCATTCCACTTTTTAATTTTTAGCCTAAGTAATGAAAGGCTTATGAATACGCATGGGTTATGGAGGTAAAGAAGTAAAACAGTTGAAAAAAGGAGAACATAGTCACACGGGAAGGCAAAGGAAATTTCAACACGTTATTACAATTGGTCTCAGTTAGATAAACGATTGCGCGTGTCGAGTACCACCTTTTTACAGATCAAGTTATTTTTTCTTGAGATGAAGAGAATATGCTGTTTGAGGACGACGTAATCAATACCATGCTTGACGAAAGTTTTGGTAGGACGCGGTGCGTCACTCGAGTATCCTACCTATGTAATGAAGTTTTCTTCTCGTTGTCTTTTATGTGTATGTCAGCTCCTTTTCCACACAGAATTTTCACTATTTCTAGGTCACCTCTCATTGATGCAATATGAAGGGGTGTCATCAAGCTACTTCTCTGAGCGTTGACGTTAGCACCGTATTTTAAACACAGTTCCACCGACTTCACGTTTCTACTTTCCGCCGCCAAATGCAAAGCGCAATCCTGGTCCACATCAGGCTCATTGAGAAATTCTTTAACATCAAGGAGTTGCGATGAAGCTAAAAAGGACAAAAATGCCATAATAAGGTGACTGTGATCCTTGTGGATCCTTGTGTGTGTATAGTGGTCTGAGATACTCTCTGATTTAAAGGGGATGGAAAACGTGATAAACTTCGTCCTCACGGCTCTTCCGCCTTTCCAATATTGGAAGGGAAATGCCTTTGAGAGATTGTATAAATCCCCTACGGCTCTTATCTCGCTTGCACTCAAGACGATTATCAAAGAAAAATTCATTCAAAAGGTCTATGAACATACTTCTTCAAAATAATTTCCTGTAGCTTGTTTGTGGGAAAAGCTTTGCTTAATATGACTTCTCACAAAACGGCGTTACAGAGCACCAAACTGGAAACTTTACTTTAGGCTTCTATCTACACGCAGTCTAAAATTGCTACATAACGAAAAAAGGGTTCCAAGCCAACCTTGTTTAATCAGCATCTCCGCAAGACTTGTGTTACAACTGAATATAGCAACCTGCAATGGGGTGCTAAGTTCAGCGGTCTTCGCTGTAATGTCCGCCCCGTGACGCAGCAAGGTTTGGCAAATTTCTTTATCACCGTTGATGCAGACTAGATGCAAGGCAGTCAGCCCAACCTGTGTCTTGGCGTTTACGTCGATATCTGTGTCTCGCACCAGCATGTACACCATTTCTTTATTGCGTCTTCGCACTGCGTGATGCAGGGCGTTGTTGTTCAAAGAGTCAACTAGTGATGGGCGGGCGCCAGAACTGAGGAGAACTTCAGCAACTTCAGGGCAGTTAAACCTACAAATGGCCATTTATGAAGGAGAAACCAGTATGAGCTATATTGAAGGACACTTCCTATGTTTACGTCGCTTCACAGAAGCACGAGTGGAATTTGGAGGATAGGTAGCCATGCAAAAAATTGTTTTCACGTGGTTACTTATTAAGTTTTGTAAGGTTCTAAAATTGCACTTATCTATGGCTCGTATTATGAGAACGTCTAAAAACATCAGTGTAATGAAATGAAGTTATGATCATGCGATTTCTGATCCATATTTTTTATTTTGTTAGATTCCGATTTGAAGAAATCGGAAGTGACCCAACGATTCGAATCATTCTGGAGAACTCAGATTTTTATTAATTTCATTTATTTTTCTTTTGTTTTTGGATCATTCCAAAACAATTGTGAATGATTCATTAATTAAGTGTATGTTATTCTTAATTTAGGTGACGTGACCCTCAATCTATGTAAGGCATACAGGAAAATGTTGGGAGTACTCTGCGTTCGCTGACAAATTAACTTGGCTTTGAATAGTAATGAGAAGTAAATTAGACTGTGGATGGCACTCTCACCCTTTATAGTACTTAATTACTACGGAACATGTTTTAATAAACGGTTTTTAGGATGAAAAAAATCAACATAATAAAAGAATGTTGTTAAGAGAACCATTCTGTTTTCATTCATGCCTGGGTTCTTTAAGATAGTCATTGTAGATATCGCTCTGAGTCACGACTGAGCTCTACTAATGGAAAAAAGATTTATCCTCAGATACTTTCCGAAGACGGATCCCTTTCTACTTCTAAAAAATCTGCTTCGGGACTGATAGGTTTTGTCACTGTTATGAAAATGAATCAAAAGTTCACCCGTGAAAGGTGCTCTCTAATAATAACTAAGATCAAATCTACATGAATTGCAATTCAAACTGTTCAAACAATTCGAATCAATAATATCACCTGTTCTTCAAATCAATCACAATACTTTTTCTTACCTCGCGGCAACATGTAAGGGTGTTGATGAGTTTTTTAAACGAATGTCGACTTCAGCTCCATGATCGATCAATATTCGTGTCATCTCGACTCGATTCCATCGCGCTGATACATGTAGCAGAGAGAAACCATGATCATCCAAATCGTTTATCAGCTTAACGTTCTTATTCTCCGACAGATAATCTTTCAATTCGGCTACTTTCCCGTCTTGGATGATTTCGCGGATTTCTTGCGTGCGATCTGATGGGGCCGCTAACTTGAACTGCGTGAGTTCGAAGTCACCTTCAAGTAAGTCCGCTTTGCTGACTGCTGTGTTATGTCGACCCAAGAAAGGCGAGTCGGTGTACTCGAACGTCGTCGTGGAATTCATCGTGCAGCCTCACCATACCCAATGGAAAGGTCTATCTTTAAGATTGCACTGAGTTACAACATTTTACGTTTCCGGCATAGTAATTAATATTTGTAGAGAAATGAACTGGAACTTATTTCAACAAACCTCAAATTAGCATGAGATGACACAATTTATTACAATACAATACGAACGTCACTCCGCCTACGACGCTACGTGTTAATATGACCACCAGATTAATTACTTTGTTTCAATTAAATGATTTCATTCTTAGCCTACATTTGTTCCCCACAGATTCAATTTTATATTTTACAATTGTTCTGTTTTTTTAGTTGTAAGAGGTGCACCTCAGCGTGGAGATTAAATTCTTCGTTGTTGTAATCTCTTTGAAGTGTTTTCCTTCCTCCATAAAGTTATCACAAATGATAATGAACTTAATCTGCATCAATGTCAGCGTACAGTTCTCATGCTAAATACCGCGTGCCTCAAATTTTTCTACTGGCAGTGACGTTTTCGTTTCATATGATAATATAGTTTGTTTTAGCCTGCATAAATATGTTTTGGCCCCCCTCAGAGTCGGACCATAATAACATGAAGGGGTAAGTTTCTAAAGAAAACTGTTGTGCTGCGTCTGAGAGGGAGTATAACAAGATAATTTTGGTTTTATCAACTGAGTTGGTGATGTAAATTGGCCACTGTAAAGAGCTTCAAAGCTAACGTTTCTAGCGTTAGCCCTTTGACAAAGCGAATATATACTATTATTGAACTAGTAGTATTTTTAAACTATATTGCTATAATTATCACTTATGAGGGCATTGGCAAAGTAAAAACTGAAAGACAAAATGAGGGCAAACAGGTTGAATAATCATGCGCGCTTGAGAGCGAACTATAATACATTTTAGCCCCACAATACCCGATGATTAACAATTATTCAACGATGTGGAGATGGATAGTGGCAGATCTCTATTTCTCTTATTAAAACGCAAAGCTAGTACCTACATGCAGCCTAGTCAATGGCCCATTTGAGCGTGGATTGCAAGTGGATCTATATCAAAAGTTTAGGGGTGGGAAGGGAAGGCTTTTGACTCATCAGTCAAGGAGTAAAAAGTGGACATCTTTGGAGAGGTCTTTTTAGCCTATTGTTGTTTTGGACCGTCCCCCATATTGATAGTAAGGCTCATGCCTTGCGGCTGTTGTGTGTGTGTGTGTGTGGAGGGGGGGGGTGGTATGTTTTGGTGAATCCACTCAGATTTACTTGTTTTGTTTTACTCTAAGTCTCATGGATATGCCTCATTTACTTTAATTCCTGACATAAAGATCATTGCTCTAAGACGCCGTTGCTGTGGTTGCTCTATTATGACTCGGAGACGAGACGAATCTCGTTCAAAAAGTAATCTATTGAATATCAAACAATGGTCAAGCAAAGAATGCTGGGAAATCCATTTTCAATTACGTAGCAACAGCCGGGCGACAGGAAACAGTCATAAAAACAAATAAACAAACCAACCAACTAACAAACAAGTAGACAGAACCAGGGGAATTAATCGCTTTTATTTAAATTAGCCTTAGCCCTTCTTTTTCTACAAAACGATTTAACAAAGGGATAATTTATAAAAAAAAGGAAAAATAGCTAACTGCAAACATGCTTCATCCCAGCACTGATAAAATTAACAATTATTACCAAAGTGGAGGTAAAAAATTGTGGATATTCACCTCTTTTACCGACACTCAGGTTTTAACTGTTTTAGTATATACCACACAAATACCTAAAAATAGTTTATGTCGTTCAATATACCGAAAAATGGTCGGAATTGAAACTCTTGACGCACTATTATATTTCTTCGGCTGCTCGGAGGCGAAAAGTACTTGCTATTTACTTCCGAATTAGCCAATCAGCGCGCGCAAAAAGCACTAGCTACCTGTGTAGTATAAAAGGTTTAAAACATAGGCTTGGTAATAATCGCCCACCTTCAAATCACTCTATTTAGCACTTTTACTCTAAAAAAATAGATATCACAGGGACATTTTCCTTTTTGACAACGGAGAAAAGCCAATTTAATAAAAATAAAGCTTTGTTTCACGATGACACTGACTTTTGTTAACATCGTACATCATCCCTGTTTAGTAGATTATCAAAGTACAAAATTTGTATTTATCAATGAAAACTAAACTATAAGTCAACCAATAATAGTCAATAATAAACATAAAAGGGGTAATTTCGACTTACTGATTATTCACAACCAGTTTGAGAATACAAGGTGAGCACTAGCAGCTTTGTCTATGTGCTTTACTGAAGAACCATTTCCAAGCGCGATGTTATAAAATAATTGCCTTTTTTATACAATAGTAATTGTCAAATACTTGTAAAAAAATTACTTCGTTGTTAGTTTGTCGCGGCGTTTCGTCTCAGCCAAAAAAATTGTATTTTTATCCTAGGAAAATATTTCGCGGGAAACATTTGGAGCGGTTTAAACATCTGTGCCAGTCAGACGGATATGAAGCTCGACGTGGTCATAACAGTGGGAAGAATTAAAATAACGATCTAAACAATTCTTCTTTCAGTTCATTCCTAGGTCTCTGCCTTGTTCTCTTGAGGCCTTTTTTATACATGGATACTCTTCTTTCTTTGACCAAGCCAGTACTTCAATTATTTCTTTAAACGACATTGCAAGTAGCAGATGATTAACCTTAACATGTGAGCCAACAGAAGAGTTTTTGATTAGTCAAAATTGCTGAATATTATGTTTACTCAAGTTGCACAAATCCAATTACGGCACCGATTTTGCAAGTGAACATACCCACGAGACCTGTCAAGTGGTGCAAATTTGAGCGAGCAGTTGAAAGTATCAGCAAGCCGTTATGTGTGACTCAAAATGGGGAGTTTCAGTGGTGGTCTCATTTGGCGGCTGTCCATCGAACATATCCTCGCCTAACGCTACCCGCTCGTCACCCAGAGTGGGTCTAATCTCATCTATTTCCATCTCAGCATCGGGATCAATCTTTATGGCCAATCGTCGCAATAATGCGTTCTGAACCTCAATCACATTTACCAACGCCTTGACGCGTTTTTTAGTTTTGTCGAGCTGCTTCCGTACTTCAGTATACTCGGAGGCCTTAGATTCTTCTTCGTTATCAGGAGGGCCACGGGTAGGTTTTGCATACCTTGTAAACCCAAGGAGAGCCATTAACCTGAAATTGCGGTATTTGTATTTCTTAGAAGAAAAACACGCGAGAAGCTTCACAATTATAAATACAGAAAACTTTCCTCGGTCATTTACTATTAATTTGAACGAGTGAACACAGTGCTAGCATAGAATACTAAACTTGGTGGTGGAAGTCAAACAGGTGTCATTGTCAATGTCACACACATAACCTATAGCTTCAAGTTAGTTGAGCTGATATTGTAGTTATGGGATAGTTTAATGTCAATGTCTCCCGAGGGTTCGATGAGAAAAATTTGAATTTTCCAGGATTAATCTTAACCTTTTTTCTATTTGTCGGAGCGTACGAGATTGTTCGAGTGATTGCTCATACCTTCTCAAGCGACTGGATCGATTAGGTCTCAAAATTACAGTTGGATGGTATAGTTGCCGTGTGAAGAACCGTGGATAGCTCTGCTCAATCTCTGCTACAAACTCAACTTGCATGGCCAACCTTTTTAGAGTGGCACTCTGTTGAATGGTATCAATATCTCCCACAGCAAGACCAACCTGAACGAAAAAATACACATATATCACAAAAATCCACGAATTTTGATCGCATACATAAAGTTATAGCAGCAAAACGCAAGGAAGAGTTGGACTTTTTCCATCTTCAGCCTGGAAGCCAAAACTGAATCGACCACTGTGGTAGAAGTGCAGGGGAAAAATCCACGAGGATGTCTTACTTAGGAGCTAGATAAGTACACGGGTTGACGGTAAAATAGATACACATCATCGCCAATTTATTATCTTCTTTTTTTTATGAATCGTAAAAGGGTAAAGTGTAAAGGCTATGAAAGTCTCACTGTACTTTGTACTCTGCGCCACTGAAGCTCGAGTAATGGATTGTTCTAACGAGTAAAACTTTAACAGCTCTTTTCTGATTCTAGTGATTTAAAGACTTTGGAAACATCACATTTAGTTAATATAAAGTTCTTTCGAGTCTTAGTTTAAGGCCTTTAATTTTGCGGGTTGCTTTATAGATATCTATGCTCGTTGATTCAAACAAGCGCTCATTGATTTTATCGCTTTAATTTTCATTTTACTAAGAAATTGTCAAAGGAAACTGAAGTGAAAAAAAAAATGGAAAAAATAAAATGATTTTCAAAACTGACATTAAAAGAAAGTAAGACGTACCAACAGGTTCATCAAAACGATGCCCATTAGAAACAGAAATAAAGTTAGGAATATAAAGGAAGTTTCAGGAAAGGGATTCTTTCGTGCCCCAGTCGTGGTATTTTTCCCAATAGTCTCAACGAAGGTGTCATCGAATTCAAGCTCTCCAATCATCATCACTATCACCTTTATGAAGGCGATACCTGGATTTTTAAAAGAATCCTGTGGCAAGAAAATGAGTATATATTAGATGAATGAATAAATAAATACATAAATGGATAGAGAGATAATGTGAAAAGAAAGTCGAAAATGAAATACTTCGTTAAATAGATAAATTGAATAACGAAAGCGCGGGATTATGAGTGACTGAATTAATGACAGAGGAATGAACGATTGAAAGGCTTCAAGTGTTTAAAAAGGGTGAATGAGGGATGATGATTGAATGAATAAATCAGTCAGTTAATCAATCAGTCAATCAGTCAATCAATCAATGAACAAATCAGTGAGTGAATTAGTGGATGAGTGAGTGAATCAATCAGTGAGTGAGTGAGGTAATAACTTCAAGCAACTCCCAGACAATCGGATACAAAGCGAGAGCCATTTATCTCTTGATAACTAGCACATTTTCGTCCTACAGGCTCTTAGTTTTGCCTGTGTGAATTTTAAGTTCTATTCGTCCCTTTGCGGTTTTTTTTTTCGCTTTCTTTGATTTCTCTGACTTTGGCTTTTTATTACTCAATAAAAATGTCATCAGTTTGTGTTGCATTATCTTACCAGTTCTTTGAAGAGGACGTAGAAAACAATTGTAAAACCAAAGATAAAGATGAGGAAGACCAGTAGGACTTTAAAAACTGTCTTTGTGACCTCCACAAACATGGTGACGTAAATTCCAAACATACGAAACCGACGGAGAAACAAAACCAAGTTTGCGTAACAGAGGAATATTGAGGTGACGCCAACTTGCCAAATAAGGAAAGGATCTGTCATTTTCCTGAACCAATCATCGATGACTTTATCGGGCAAGACATATGGCAACAGGAAAGCGAAGGTAGTCCCGTACAGCGCCCATTCCAGTAGATTGCTTAAATCCGTGAAGTACCTAAATCTCTGTATCAGAATCTGTAAAATCTCTTTTACAAGATGGACAACTGCAATACCAAATACTACATATGAGAATCCTTTGCTGAAATCCGTCACTGTGTCATAAATATCCGACGCCGGTTCACAATAAAAATCTCCACTAGATTCCTCATCTTCATCGCAAACTTCGACGTTTGAAAACGTCTGCAATTCCCTTACGTTAATGATGAAAGCCGAGTAGAGACCAACAAAGATCAAATATGAAAAAAAGTTTAAGTAGTATATGAATCGACCAAATTTTGACCACTTTTGATTCAAGAGCGCCTGTGTTAGTGGGTGAAGAAGCAGTTTCTTTTGTTCATGTTTCACCATGGTGATGGGTCCGAAAAAACGTCTCCCGTGCACAAAAGCCGGATCATCCGGACCCGGGTCAAGGAGGCGAAAGTCATAGGTAACAGAGAACTGCGGATCATTTGTGTTTGTCATTTCCGATCGCGCGATACATCTGTCCATCAGCAGCTCTGCACTGTCTGGGAAGTGCTCTATCAGCAGCCTCATTGGTGTATGGCCCTGCATGTCCTTATGCTTCATTATTTCTGACCATCTGTGAAAGTCGCAAATTTATGCAAGTCTAGTCAGTTCTTCTTTAGCTTCGCTTGTAAATAGATTAAAATAAAATGCACAAAGTTTATTTCTCAGTTGTCAGATGGGAAAATTACCCAACATAGAAGTGAAATTAAGCAGGATTGTTCCTTGGTGGAAAAGAACTATTTTTATCGATATCAATTATCAAAAAAGTCGATGTTGATGCTCCAAAATTCTGCCTTTAAGTTCTACACGGTGATCGCTTTCGCATAAGAAACCCACTCGAGTGTGTGAACACCAAGACTCCCTCACGACTGCTAGATCATTAATACTCTCTAAACTTCCCACTTAGACGATTAGATAAGCATAACTTACACTTAAAGAAATCCCAAAGGTTTATACCTAGAGAAGAGCAATAGGTTATGATTGTAAGCGCAAATGGAAAGAGCATACCTTGAGTTTTTTACCATAGCCATGGCTACATCGCTGTTCCCTGTTCGAACTGCAACTTCTAAACACGTGAGCCCCTGGGTGTTGCAAACAGTTAAATTTGCCTCATTTTCCATCAGCAAGTTTACAATGCCGATGTGACCTTGTTTACAAGCAATATGCAATGCAGTGTCACCCTCACTGTTGACGTCATCCGGAGATGCTTGCATATCGAGCAATGCTTGACATGATTTTGCCCAGCCCAGGCTTGATGCCCACATCAATGGTGTCCAGGAGTCGTTGTCTTTGGTGCTAACGTCCGCTCCAAGTTTCAACAAAGTGTGACAAACTTTCCTGCATTAAAATAAGACAAAGGCTATTTGTCAAATACAAATTCCAGAGATAGCATGGAGTTACGAGGTGAAATGTGTAAGTAAAAATCCAACAACTCCTTTTTTTTATGAAGAGGTTTTTCTCCACAGATAATTTTGTCTCCATGAAACAAGAAAGAGTCCAAAAGAAAGTGGATAAGTTGATTAACTGTTTGGAATGACAGATTAAATGGTCGATATTGTATAGAAACAGGTGAGAATTCCACATCAAGATATTGTGCTCTAACTCTAGCCACATCGCTTCCCAACAATCGGGCATGTTTTTACCTTTTTTTTTCTTTTTTTTTTTTTTTTTTACCTGTGACCACTCATGACTGCATAATGAAGTGGGGTTCTTCCTTTTTCGTCCCGGTCATTCAGTCCAGAGGCTATTCGACGAGCCAGTGCTTCCACCTGTTCATACATTCCATACTGAGCAGCAAGGTGGAGGGGAGTTTGCTGGGTTTCATCGTGGAAAGTGAACCGTGTTTGTTTGTCCAAAAGTGCACCCATTATCTGGTTTGAAGAAAAGTGAGTACAATTTCATCGCAGTTTTAAGACTTAATTCTCTCTGATTTAAATTTGTTCCCGTTTGTCCCACTGACATGGTAAGCCGGAAGGACTACAATGAGACTTGCTTTCACGTGTATCTTTTTTCTAATTTGGCCTCTCAAAAAGTAGCCCACGATTGATAATTAAAAGAATAACTGGATAACAATTGCCATTCATACCCTGATGTCTTTAACCGTAGCTGCATAATGCAACGGAACTCTCTCGTTGACATCTGGCCTGTAAAGGTTGGATAAAACAGAATTTTCCTCCAGGAGCATTTGAAGTGTTTCCAAATTTTCGTTCTCCACTGCCAGGTGAATACAGTTCTTCATGAAGATGTCAGATGCTTTGACGTCAGCTCCCCTTTGGAGAAGCACTCGAGCACACCTTGTCTGACCAGCCGCTACTGCATCTAGGAAAGGCGTATTGCTTTGTGCATCACGTGTGTCAAAACCTACTCCGTTATCGAGAAGAAAGGAAATGATGTCATCACGGTTGAACACAGCCGCACTAAAAAAGTAATTGGACACAAATATTCTTCCTTTTAAAAGCAATTTTGCATTGAACAATCACTTGACCCTAAATCTTTTCAGTTACTAATATGGACGTGAAATGAAATCGAAACAAGGAATGGAAATTGTAGAATTTACAATTTTTGAAGTTACTTAATTTAGGTGCAGTTGAAGGTCTTGCGAAGCTAGATGACAAACTTTCCCATCCGGCAGAAAAGTCTCTTAAAACCAGATTACAGGCTACTTTTATGATTAGGAAGATTAGGTGATCGAGTCGTCATCGCAAATTACGCGTGGAAATGGCATGGATATACAAGCGCAACAAACAAGAAGAGATGAGAAAAAAGCACATTGGACAGTTCATTGTGCTCATAACTAAATTGCGGTTCAGGAACCTCCAAAGATTACACTTTCGAGATGTCAATTTCATGTAAGACGGCTTGAGATAAACATTTCATGGGATACTCCAAAGACTCAGTTAAGAGAAATTATCTGTTTACCTGTGAAGAACAGTTTTGGAGTCAGCATTTTTAATGTTTACATCAGCTCCTTTCTGTAACAATAATTTTACCATCTGCAAGTTTCCTTTCACTGTTGCCACGTACAAAGATGTCTCATTATTCGATTTGAGCGCGTTTATGTCTGCCCCATTTTGCAGACACACCATCCCTGTTTTGAGATCATTTGCTCCAGCTGCTAGATGTAAGACTGTGTTATTATTTATATCTCGGTCTTCCACAAGCTCAGTGATATTTTGTCTCCTCTCAGTGGCTGAAAGAAATACGTTTCAATGAGAATGATTCGCATACTTAAAAGAGGAAGTTAATCGCATATCGTTTATTGTCATCTGTTTGCTCAATTTCAAATCGTAAATATCCTCTTTAGGTCTGCAGCTTTATCGCTTGCAGTAAAAAAAAAAATGGATTTGATTCTGGGATGAGAGTGTAGCTTTCTGATCAAACCATGGAATGGTTTATTACAATGGAAGATGAAATAAGCACCGAAGGAATTTTTGTGAAATGGCCTTTTTAGCGAGATGTCGAGTCGAGTTAATTTTGTGTGTGCGTGTGGGTTTTGTTCACCAATTGCTGTAAATTGTAAATTGAGTGAACGATCTTGCTATGTTAGTTTACTTCTTGAAAAAAAATTTGCTTGTCACCTACAAGATGTTTTTAAGACACTAGACTTGAAAAAGTAAATGGAATGTTTATCGAGTATGTGTGTCAGTAAATATAGCCTAAGGAACGCAGACTCTTCATATCAGTCTATCCGTCGCAAAGCCGTTGCTGTTTTCTACTCACCGGTTTGCAAAATAAGAGAAGCTATTGCGGAGTTGCCATTGTACACTGCAGTATGAAGAGGGGTCATTAGCTCCGTCGATTTAGCCCGTATATCTGCCCCCTCTTCAAGAAGCATCTTTGAAATGGCCATGTTTCCACTAACACAGGCCAAGTGTAGTGGAGTCATATGAGAGGAGTCCTTCGAATTGACGTCAACTTTGGCATGACGTAATAAAAGCTTTGCCACCTGATCATTCCCCCGGCGTGCTGCGAAGTGTAACGCCGTGTTACCATTTTTTGATGCTAAAGCGGGATTGGCACCTCTTTCAATCAACAACTGAACGGTTGCCATGCCATTGAATCTATGCAGGAGAGATGACAATTTTTGTGGACAGGGTTGTTATATAAGTAGTCCCCCAGAAGGAACTGTCACTATAACATACGAAGATTCTAATCCCGTAGGAGATACTAATTACGTCGTTGGGACCTAAGTTATCTAAGACGCAGAACCGAACTGTTCATAAATTTCGAACAAGTAGACCATACAAGCTGTACAATTGTCAATACCGTTACGTCCAGAGGGCAAATTTATTATAAACTTTCAATTGTCGAAATACCAAAATCAGATCAATAGCCTGGAATGCAGTCGAGGTAAGTGTCTCGTCTGAAGGCTCCAAGCATAGCATCGCACTAAAAACAATCAAATCAAAATCTGAAATCGTCTTGAAATTTTCCACTTGTAGTTCAAACGACTACAAAGTGTTCCTTAAAACGAATGTGCAAACAGATTTTGGCAATATTTCCACTCTGGATGTAAATGGAATTCTTTTCCCTCTGTGAACTTCTCCGCTCCAGTGCTTCGCTTTGTTTGACTGTCTCAATGTTTTTTTGCTTTGTTTTTTTTTTAACGCAGGAATTCATGTTCTCTAGTATCTACCTTCTTAAATACTATTAATGATCGTTGATAATACAAATGAGCATTTTTTTAAGTAGCCATCGTTGTACTTGTTCCCCGGCTTAATCTGTCCATAAACTTAAAACGCATGAAATTAAAGTAGTTCTTTTGTGATCGCCGCAAATTTCGTCTATATTTATTGCTTTCAACAACCAGTATTTGACAGCGAAATGCTGTCGTCAAGGATGCATCTGAGGAAGTTGGAACGCTGCACATTCACTTCAAGTTGGTCGAAAACGTGTCAACAATACCTCAAGTGGAAACTAATTTGTTTTCATAAATTTCGGGTCTTCTAATTGTTTCTTGCGTGCATTATAAATGTGAGCTTTCTTGGATAAAAGATAGACATTGGGAATAAAGTAATATGCTTAGTGCATTTTGCGATTTAACTTGTATGCTTTCGATGCTGATAAGAATCGCAAATCCACATCTACTTTTCATAAAATGCGTGACCTCATTTGAAATTTAAAAAAAAAACCCTGCAGTGCTTACTTTCTCAAATTACAGAAATGAATAATTCTGAACAGTTTGCAAGACACATAAAATTATTCATCAAATACTCTTGCAAATGAAAAGGAAACTTACCTTGCAGCGATGTGAAGCGGTGTAAGGTTTTCTTCTCTGGTTAGAACATCGATACGTGCGTGGTGCTCCAGCAACGATTTAGCCACGTGAACTCGATCATAACGTGCTGCATGATGGAGCATCGCAAGTCCCGACTGATCTAATTTATCAATAGTTTTGGCATTTCCCTTTCGGCTGAGCTGTTCACTGACAACGTTTACTATACCATCGCGCACAGCTTCGAACAAACCGGTGGCTCGAGAGATAACTGGCTTTCCAAGTTCGCTCATTTCCAAATTTAGTCTCTCTTTGCTCACGAAAGGAGCTTTCTTTTGGTCTTCACCGACGTTAGTGTTTCCATTGGTTTCGTCTTCCATCGGTGAAAGTAGGTATTTATTTCGGAGGTTATTTTTGATCGACATATTTCTTAGCCGCAGCAATGATGCCGGGTTTTCTTGGATCACCAGCTTCCAGGCGTAGGAATTCTAATTGTTTCTCCTCGAGTTGGCGAGAGTTAATATAGTCAGTTCGCTTGTGATTTCAAGCTATTTTGCATTGTGATCGTGATTAACATAAGAACGATTATTTCAATTAGTAGTGTACCCGCTGTGCCGCCTTGAAAAGTGCCCGACCTTAGACACTGGAAAGGTCCCGCGTAGAACAAATCACCAAGACAACCTCTTAAGTGTCCCGTATCAGGCCGTAAAGTTGTTTAAAACACGGTAAAATGTCATTGTTTTCTCTATCCAAGAACTGTATGCATAATGTAGTATGGGGCTGTGTGGAAATTTTACCTCAAACACTTTTGAACTGAGAGTTTTTCGATTTGAATCGGATCACAGTTTCACGAGTTACACTATATTTTGTTAGTAAGAGTTTGCACAAATTGTATTTTTTACTTATATATGTTTACATCTTTTTTTTTTTTTTTTTTTCATTTTCGTTATAATCTGCATCTCTGATCAACATCAACTTGAAAATGGTTTTGCCATATGAATCACGAGTGCATTTACTTATCATTCATTCTTCGTCAAAGATTTTGATAAATGAGTTACACTCATAGGAATATAGCTTGACTTTGCTCAGGAGAGGTACAGTTAAATGGTACGGGACAAGGGATTCCGCCGAGGCCATTTTGGGTAATGTTTGGTTTTGTTGAAAAAGGGAAGGTAACTCAAAATTTGATAGTACATTAATATCCTGAACTTTTTCCCGTTATTGTGTAGTGTAGAGGCAATACGGGGGTCTGGGTTAACCGTTAGCCATAAAAGAACAAAAAACATCAGCCGTTAGGCGTACAAATTGACAAATTTTAACCGTTATACGTAGAAAAAAGTTGGTTGCAAAGAATATTCTGTCAATCATCACGGAAATTAACCTTCGGCGTAAAAATGGCCAACCTTTTATTTAAGCCGTAAAAGCCATTACCCCATTATGACTCTCTAATATACCCTGCTTTGTTGGTTCCTTTGTGCGAATAAACAAAGGATAATATTGTAGCTGCTTCAATAAAAGAATCGCTGCCAAAAGCCATTGGACCGTTACAATTTTGCAGACGTTTAATTGATTGGTATTCAAGAACATAACGTACCCTGTGCCACGCAAAGATTGAAATAGATTTTCCATTGGCAAAATAAAACGAACAGTTCACGACAGAACAACTGAAAAGTTGATGAACTAGAAGTGTAGAATTCCTCGACCATCTGGTAAAAGTCTGTCACATGCTCACAGAGAGACGCTGAAATTCTTGTTAGGTCGTTATGTCGTTAGGTCTCAAAATATTTCTCTAGATATGATCTTGAATCCATACGGATTTGTTTTCGGAAAGAAATCTTACTAATTCTAACCAGCAAGAAAGAAAACAGTTAATCATTCATTGTCCAATTACAAGCATGACGCGTACACTGTACTATCAGTGTTCAAATTGGGCTGGTGATAACCAATCACGTTCGAAACTTTTGTTATAGTTTTGATTAATAAGGGAAAAAATTATAATGTATTTGAGAATGGTGAAATGTTCGGTTGGTCGGCCAAAGAATAGTTATCTGGTTCAACTACAAATGAACGGATGTTACATCTCTAATATAACAACGTTACTATCGGTACTGTTCAAGTGTTCACTCGTTCTAAACCATAATATGAAAACGCTTTAACTAATTCTCACACGATTTCATCGAGGTTTTCTACGAGACCATTTATATGCAATGGGTATCTACCGCTAATCATGGGTAAAAACTCTGTACGCAATCTACACGTATTATTACAAAATGACTAACAAAATATTCAAATCATATTATACATTTAAACACGTAACGGCAGAAAGTCGTTCTGTTGATGAACGGGAACGAAGTCTCCTTGAGCGTATTCCGTCCCGTTTAAATATATTCCTGTTTAACACTTATCGTTTTTAGCAAACGTAAAGGAGAAATAAGTGTCAGGCCATCAGCTAGTCCACACATTACCGCTTTTATCGGATTGTTTCAGTAAATGGAACCACAGATGCACTTTAGCAATACATTTGGCAAAGCTTTGACATGTGAGAAGTTTTCACTGAAAAGGAACTACTCCTACAGCTTTTTCTTGTCACATCAAAAAGTTCTCGGGCGAGGGTTGTTGTTGGTACAAGTCCCATTTTTATTTAATTCGTCCGTTTCTAGCACGTTGTTGGGTGATCATTTGATGCTTTTAACTGCCTCCAGTGAGTGCGTTGAACCAAGCGGGAATTACAAGCCACCCTCGAAGAGAGAATTTGATGCCTTGTCTTCCCTTGTGAATTCTGCGCTTGTGTCATCCGTCGGTACTTCGCTTTCTGTTCCTCCTTCACGTGATGGGCCATGTTTTCCATCTGGACCATCCACACCATCCATGCGACGTCCTCCCCTGGCCTCCTCATTCCCTTGCGGTAGCTCAAAGCTGGGGTCTATTCTGTGTGCTAGACTTCTAAGCAAATTGTTTTGTGCTTCTAGCATTTCCATCATCGTCTTAATCCTTTTCTTGTTCTTCGTCATCTCTTCGTGTAGCACGGCAAGTTCATTTGGCTTGCTGTCTTCATCATCAACTGGCTCTGGAGTGGCTTCATCAATCCATGCATATAACCAGTCTATTACTCTGTAAAGAATCGCAAACGAGCAAAGATTAAATTCATCGTTTTTCTGCAAGCTGAGATTGACTGATGACATCATTATTATCTAATGGGCAAGCCACAGGCTTCAGCCAGCAAAGCTACATCACATCAAGTTAAGAGGTACCCTGCACATCAGCCCTGAGGCTCACAACGTAATAGCTCATTAATTCTGGTTTCAAGAGCATGAAAAGAATCGAAATTCAGTCGAACCTGAGTTGAGCGGCACCAGTTATTAAGTGGTCGGTCGTCAAAGTTCCGAATTTTTTTTCCCCTTAAGTACCGTAATTTTCTCTTTTAAGCGGTCGTGGTCACCCTTGACTGAGCCCCCATGGCCTGTTTGTATTGTCTTCCACCTGTATTAAGCGGTCACTCAAGGCGGAACCACTCAAATACAACTACGAATAATCTCTCAAGTCAAATTTATTACATATTTATCTCCCGGAATCAATGTTAGCACTTTGAGTTCAAATTCAGAACAATTTGGATAATCATTCATATAATCATATATACCTGTATTAAGGTCACTTCCCACCTTGAGAGGCCGAAAATATCGATTTTTGTTTTATTTGACTAAACCGAATTCAAATATTCAACCCAACGTTTCCATAAATTTTTTCCAGAAATCTTTAAAGCAACCGAGTTATTTAGAAACACGTATTCTCTAATAAAAGTTCATAAATCAAGAAGGTGTAATAATCTCGGACCTGGGCGAATCCCATGTTGAGGCTCGATTTCAATGCTATTCCCATATTTTGTTTACATCGCGCACTTCACAAAATTCACACGTGGAAGCTCTTTGCTTACAGAATCTTTGCTCATGGAAAAATCAAAAGCGGAAGAAAGTCCTTGGTGAAAAGAAAAAAATACAGGCCCAAAGAAGAGAAAAAGAGTACCATTCTGGCAAGAAAAGAAAAAAATCCTCCGTGAAAGCGACTGGCAGTGGCGGAGCTCCACGCTGGCGTCCAAATTTCGAACAAAGAAGTCACCGTCAAAACAAAATTTGCCATACATAATGTTAAAAACGAGATTTCCTTTTCTTTCTGCATGCCTTGCTACAAAAACATGAACAATCGCCTCGAATGTAATTTTGAAAGCTGTCGGTCGATTTGTTGTCTTGCTCCTCAGCACATTTTCCGGTTTTTCCATTTTTGCCGCGGGTTTTTCCTTTGCCTTTGGCAACTTTGCTCATTATTGTGTCGTCCTCCTCAACGCTCCACTGGACGATCGAGATAAAAAAAAAAAACAACAACAAAAAACCAAAACCAAAAAAAAAAAAAAAAAAACGTGTCTGCAACGTTCAACCTGTGTTAGACAGTCACCCTGCCAATCCCATAGGTGAACGCTTTATACAGGTGCTGCCCTTGTACATTCCATTTAGACATAATGCGGAGTCCAACTTTTAATTTATATTACCTGGTGACGTCGTCTATGTCACTGAATGAACTTTATCATACTCATCTGTTTAAAAAAATTGACTGAAGTGATCATTTAGTCTACTTTCATACCTTTTGCGTCTCGAGTGTTTGTTTGGTTTTTCGACGTAAACCATCTGGTAGACTCTGCGGATGATGAAAGAAGGATAGGCTTCTTCTATTGCAATTTGATACTCAATTTGCATGGCCAATCTTCTCACTGTTGCAAACTTCTTCATTTGCTCAGTATCCCCAACAGCCAAACCGACCTAAAACAAAAGAAAAGCTTAGAACTCCGCGCTTTTGCCAGTTTGCTGGCTTTTACCTCAAGTACAACTGGATTTTTTTCTTCTTCTTTGTGATTGGCCAATTTCATTATCTTTCTTTTCATTTGACACCCAAACGAAATAAGCTCTTGAATCAGTGCCACAACCACACAAATGCACATATGATAACAAAAAAAAACATCGATTTTACAAATATTGGTAAGGTTGCAGATCAAAAAGACATTCTGTTGTGTAATCAAAAACTTATTGAATCAAATTTTCTTACCAAGAGATTCATGAGTGCAACGGCCAGTAAAATCAAACATAGGAAGATGAAGAAGAACCCAACTTGTGGAAATGGATTTAACGGCCGCTCCTTTTTATCGTTCCTGTATTCATCGATTGAATCAATAAAGATTGAGCCAAAGTCCAGCTCCCCAATCATCATAACCATTACACGCAGTAAAGAGTGTTGCACGGTGTGAAATCCAGTCTGCAATAAGATGCGAGACATGTTTATTGTTTATGATTTTTTTTCTTGAGGCAGCAAATTTTGATTGTATTTTACAGCAACAACAATAGAAAATTTTCTTCCTTTGCCATCCTAGTTCAATCCCATAATGTTATATCTGACTATTCTTGAGCGCTTTGTTAACAATGATTCCCAACCACTGGCACGCTTCTATTGCGTAGCTTGCGAAAAATACGTCAGTAATTTGCTGAAGAAGATAAAAATATGATGCACCCTACCTGCTCTTTGAAGAGGATGTGGAACACCAGGGCAAACCCAAAGAGGAGAAAAATAAAAACCAGCAACACCTGGAAAACCGTCTTAGTCACTTCAATGTACATTGAGATGTAAGTGCCAAATAAACGATACCTCCTGAGAAAGAGCATCATGTTCATGTAGCACACGAAGATTGCGAAAATTCCAGTTGTCCAGAGTAAGCGTGGATCAGAAATGCTTGCAAACCAATCGTCGAGGTTTTCTCCTGTAGTAAGGTAGGGAACCATAAAAATTGCAGCAGAGAAATATAGAATCCAGTCAAGGTAATTGGACGCGTCCTTAAAGTAATTCCAGCGTTGAACATAAATCTGGAAAAATTCTTTAATGATATGGAATAAGGATAATATCATAATTATAACTGGTGCAGCTTGCGTAAAAGGTGTTTTCGTCGGATAAATATCAGAGGGTTTAGGCTTGTAGTCGTCTTCATCATCCTCCATCGCGTTTTTAAGTTGCCTTGGCCTTGGCATTTGTCTCTTCACTGGTCTGAAATTTTGGCCCTCCCTCTGAACAACTATAAATGCAGTGATGAGTATCATCAATAAGAGGTATGTGAAAAAATCGGAGATGAACACATATCTTCCTAATGTGCTCCACTTCCTTTGGTTGAACTTCAGCGTGAGTGGATGAAGAAGGAGCCTCTGCCGATTGTGCTTGATCATGGCTTCAAGAGCTGAGAATCTGGATCTTCTACAGCAATCTTGAACGTCTGGGCCAGGATCCAGATATTTAAAATTATACGTAACCGCAAAGTCTGGATCGGAAACGTTGAGGCGCGGAGAGTGATGCACGCAATGATTGAGCAAAACTTCAGCTGCATCTGGAAAATTCTCAACAAGGAGTGACATGGCATCTTGGCCTGTTGATGTTTTGTAATTTTCCAATTCTGTCCACCTTAAAAGGATAAACAGCAAACAATTAAATAGAAGAGTTAAGCGTCAGGAAACCAGAAAAATATTGTTGCACCATACTACACAAACATTTTGGGTGAAAATTTAAAAGTCGTTATATTTAAGGAGATTCGGTTGTCTTTTGGGGTTCCTCTGTAACCTCTGTAACCGGTTACTCATTTGGAATTGGTGTATCGGAAAAAAGCATTATTTGATAATTCACCACATCTATGGTTTCTTTAAGCACTACAACGACAAAAAACTGACCTTTTGTGCTTCACAAATACCATGGCGACCTCGCAGGAGCCCGCTTTAGCTGCCGTTTCCAAACATGCATGATCTCTATTATTTAATAGCACTACGCTTGCTCCGCGGTCCAGAAGAAGTTCCACGATAGCTCCACGCCCCTGCCCGCATGCCATGTGTAATGCAGAGTCACCATCGTTGTCCCAAAGGTCGGCAGAAGCTTTGTGGTCAAGCAAAAGCTCGGCACATTTGGCGTGGTTTCCCTTCACTGACAACATCAACGGAGTTTGGAAATTGTTGTCTCTACAGTTAATTTCAGCTCCCATACTCAAGAGTACTGTACAAGCTTTCCTATGAAGATGGAATCAATTACATGGCAATGAGCAAAACACAAAAAGCATTATTTCATTGGTGGTTACACCCACAAAGGCCCCTAAAGATTCGTAACTCGAAGTTAAAAGTCACTTACAGTAAATTTAGCACTAGACCGTTGGACTGCTATTAGACTGCACCCTTGAGATTGAAAAAAATATACTGGGTTTCTACGTTTCTCTCCATTTATAAGTAGGTTTTTTCATGTCTTATCCTACGCGACCCAAGCTCACGTAATCCTCCGTTTTAGTGTCAACAAAAAAAAAACTGTAGTCGAAAGAGGCAATGGAAGGTGGCTTTATCAGAAACTTAAGAATCGGGAATTACTAAATAAGAACTCACAGAAAACAGATTGCCAGTGGAAATAGAATGTCGTAAGAAATGATTTTTCATATTTCGATAATTAGAGATCAGTAAGACTACATTGATCACCTTGTAGCTGTTGTAATAGCTTGCATTGAACGAAATCTTTTTCGTAAAGTTTTTAATTCCGTACGTCGCTTAACACCGAATGTGATGTAAAAATAATCGATTATTTTGTTACCGCTGTCCTTTCCTGGCCGCACAATGAAGGGGGGTTCGCCCAAGGTCGTCTCGATCGTTAACGCCACACATCCGCTTCATTAACAAGTCAACGTGTTTAGATGAAGACGATTCTGCAGCGAGATGGACAGGGGTTTTCTGATTCACATCTCGGTAGGACATTTGCTTCTGCTTGGATAATATCAGCTCTAGAATCTGTACGATAGACACATTATTAAGAAGTTATTTCATCGGGCTTTTACTTTAAACATAACACATAATATAGATTACTTTTAAAGGAATGAAAAGAAAGGTATGGGCCTCAATAAGGATTGGAATCTCCGAGCCTCCAATGTTATGGTTATTTCACTTATCTATGCGTCACTGGAAACTCACGACGAGCTATGCCAAATACTCGGTTCATATGTGGCAAACATTTTACCAGCAGCTAGGATCAGCCATGTCGAAAGCGGGGAATGGTTAACAAAGGGATAATGTATATTTGGAGCTTGGTTGGCGATCGAGTTTGTATATACTATATTTAATTCGGCCGTGATTATTGTTTTGATAAATGACTGTAGCAGAGACATCAACTGTGTATACAGAAAGAAGACTACTTTGCGACTATTCATGAACCATTTACACCGCAGTTCTCTTTACCTTTATGTCTTTTGTAATGGCAGCACTGTGTAAAGGGACCCTATCCCACAGATCTGCTTTGGACAAATTATTAGTACCCGCGCGAGTCTCTAAAAGCATAGCAAGCATCTTGAGCCGTTCATTCTCTACCGCGAGGTGAACACAAGTCTTCATGAGCAAATCAGTTGCAGAGATGTCAGCTCCATGTTGGAGGAGAGCCCTGGCTGCTTCAACGTGACCAGCAGCAACTGCATTCAGGAATGGCGAGCGGCCTTCGCCATCACGTGCATTTAGCTTGGCATCTTTCGCCAAAAGAAGTTCAATAAATTTGGTTTGGTTGAACATAGCCGCCCTGCCGAGAAATAGTAAATTCGCCATGGATTGGTAATCAAAATTTAGCAGGAAACAAACTTAGGTTATCGAGCTTGATGCCTACAACTGTCTGGCTGACGATCGTCCGACTAATGACATGATGTTACCTACGTAATTGAATGGTTGCCTTTAAAACTCGTCAGCTTACTGTGACTCCTACTGAATGACTGTTTCGGTAGCACTACCACAGCCTCATCCACATAGTGCTTCCCACTGACTAACAGCTCACTGAGAACGAGTTTGTGTGGTACTGGATACCACTATGTTTCTCAGCAAGTCTTAAACTTCAATAACTCAGTTCTCTACTTTCTTCAAGAAACAAATATTCATAACAAGCATTTTACTTTAAAACAGCTCCATTTGTGGAACCAAATGTTAGGCTTGAGGAAAGTCTTGCCCTAACAGCAAACACAATGTGGAGAAGCAAGTAATTCTCAAGGACATACCTGTGAAGAGGTGTTTTGGAGTCTCCGTCTTTAACGTTAACAAAAGCCCCTCGAGATATCAGCAACTCAGCCACCTCTAGGTTCCCTCGGATTGCAGCCAAATGCAGTGCACTAGCTTCGTCACATTTCTTCGAGTTGACGTTAGCGCCATTTTCAAGACAAAGTTCAGCGGTTATCACATCATTATTCCACGCCGCCAAATGTAGAACTGTGTTATTCTGCAGATCTTCATTGTCCACCATTTCCTTTGTGTTAGTGTCAACATCGTTGTCTGAGGCTAGTAAAAACGAGATCATCTCCATTATCATTATCATCATTATTACCATAATTATGATTAGTATGTTGTAAGACATATCTCCCTACCTCGCCTAAATACAAGTCTTGCGATCTGCGAATGTCCATGTACAATGGCATTATGGAGGGGTGTCGACCGGTCCGCCGAAACTGCCCTAATGTCTGCTCCATAATTCATGAGAATTTGGGAAACTTTGCTATGTCCTTCGCCGCAAGCTAGGTGCAAAGCAGTTTGTCCTGAGCCATCTTTTTCGTCAATCTTTACTGAAGGATGCTCCAGAAGAGCTTTTACGATCTCTTCGTTTCCTCGGAGCGCTGCGAAGTGCAGTGGGGTGCTTCCTTTGATGCCTTTAATGGATGGGTCTGCTCCTCGTTGCAAAAGAACGTTTACAGTGGAGAGACCATTGAACCTGTGTGATAAGTGCCATAAAAGTGAAAGTATAGTAAGAAGCATAATAATACATATATGTAATTTACAAGTATAATACACTTCTAGATACTTATTGCCTGAACATTTCACAGCCAACTGGGATTTGACGATTTTCCAAAGTCTTAAAGATGTGACACCTTTAATTTTATGACTTTATAATCAAAGCAAACTTAGCAAAGTCAAAGAACAATTTCGACATTTTGAGTTGTTTCTTTTGACTGTTGTGTTTGGATGGGATTAACTTTGCAATAGTTATTTGCTTAAGCTAACAATCGGTGGGAAAAAATTACCAATACAAAGAAGAACGGCAAGCATAGCGACAATTTACAAGACTGTAAATGGCGAACTTAAAAAGCAACGGTTAGATTATTGAACAGTCGAAAAATTCCTTAGGCGTAAAAATTATTCAGGCCAAGGCAATAAAACCAGAGAAATAAAGAAAGGAAAAACATATTTTAAAAGTATGACGGATTCAGTTCTGAAATATCCATAGTTTGACCCTTATAAACTGAAGCGACGATATAAATGTTCATAGTTTCCACTAAGCCTATTTCAGTTACAGCATTATGCTAATCACAACCAAAACCATATCCAATATCCAGTAAATTTACATAATCTGTCAAAATTTTGATCGTCAAAAAATTTTAACAAAGCACACAATACAGTATTTTTTTATCAACACTTTGGCCAAAGGATCACTCTTCCCACATTATCCTGTCAGAGCTCAACGGAAATACAGATTTAAAAACAAGTACATGATAACATGAAATACTAAACCTCAAGTGAGCCATATGAAGATGGCGTTACCAAACAAAGCAGATCAAAACAATAATATTTCAAAACAGAAAGATGCGACGTTTAGAGCGAAATATAACAGTTTGTTTGTGGAGGAAAAAACATCCCCGTGCTAAATCTCTAAAATCAGCAATTTGATCTTTTATGTTGACCGAAGTACAGAGGAGAGAAACGAGTTTTGATTTTTTTCGTGATCGTATGTAAATGTTCAACGGGTGACATGTAAAGAAAACGAATGTTAAATTCAAAGCACGTAAGTTTAACTGTTGCGGATTTCATTTCAATTTGAACACACCTGGCGGCTAAGTGTAGAGGCGTCCACTTAAACTGACTGGTACCAATGTTTATATCCGCCCCATAATCTAACAGAGTGTGGACGATTCTGTTAAAATTGTATCGTGCTGCAACATGAATAAGGGCGAAGCCATGGCCATCTTTCTTGTCGATCTCATGAGTGTCTTGCAGGTTACTGAGCTCTTCCAGGACCAGTTCCACTTCATCTTCACGAATCGCTTCAAAAATCTTCAGAGCACGAGGTGACACAGAGGTTACCCCAGTGTCGCTGACTTCCAGAGCGCCATCATCGTACACAAAGGTCCTATCGGGGTTTGCCACGGGTTGATAATCGACCAAAGGTAGATCGTATCTGCCATCAGGATATTCCTCATCCTTCGAAGTCTTGAAAGGGTTACAAAACCTCTCCCGGCGTCCCTTAGGCTTCCTTGAGCTCTCGTTTTCGTCTGCAACTTTACTGTCTTTCTTCGATTTTCTCATCTCAGCTACTTCGTTCGTGACATCGACAGCAATACCTGCCGAGGTGAAGAGGATGTGTGGCTTTATAATTGCGAAATCACGTGTCGAGACCTTTATTTCCGATGAAGAACAGATCGTGTCTTAAACATTTATACGCCAATCAAAATCCTTGTCTGAGCTTTGTTTGTGATGTCATAAGCATTTTCATGTCAGGAAATACGCAAAACGACAATATTTGCAATTTGAACGTGACTTTATCAAGCACCTCGTTTTACCAAACCATGCAAAATTTAAAAACAATCATTTCACTTCAATTGTTGTGATAATGAGATAAAGTAACAACTCAAATAGATAGAAGCGTGTATTTTTTGTTATCGAGGTGTTGAAATCTGTAGGATAAGATTTATCTCAAATTTAGTACCCGAAATTCTTAAAATGTTTTTGTAACTGCGCCGAGAGAAGCTTGAAAACTCTTCTCAGGCAAAGATACACCAGAACGTTTTGCCAAGGTTGGTGACCACAGTCTACTCATATCAGTCTGTTCTTGCTTCAAATAGACACTATTTTCTTATGAGAAAGTCTCGTTTTAACTAGAGACTGAACTAGGACTTGACGATCTCATTGTTAGAGTATGTACTTACTTAGCCTCTTCAGGCTACCTTGTAAATTTATTCTTCAGAACTTGTGTCATTGCATCATACTTTCCTATTCATTATTGCATTCACTATTCAGACAGAATATAGAAGTGGACATGAAGGTGATTAATCAATATAGTAATATAATAGCTGATGATCAGTGAAATTAATTATCCAGTCCAATAGTCCACTTAACGTGAGCAGGAAATGCTACCCTGATCAACTGACGTATGTTCTGTCGCACTTTGTAATAATCGTCGTACTTTTTAATACCTGTCGAACTTTGTAATAAAATCGTCGCACTTTGTAATAACAGACCATCGCACTTTGTGATAAAGTAAGCTGTCGCACTCGGTAACAAAATGAACATGGTAGAGACGGTCGGAGGGCGAGTAGACCCTAGTAGGTATCACAAAGTATGATAGAATGACGTATCATCTTAAATCCAAATTGCTCAATAGCAAAGTTTTTAGCCTTGGTCCGGAAGCCTACTCATCTGGAAATTACGTTGTTAATTTGCCAGTCAAGCTGAAAACGAAATGCTCGGATTCTCATGATAGATTTTTCCTTATTCTCTCAAGTCCTTGAATAGAATGTCAGATAGGACAAAGCAGATTAATCGAAAAATATTCTCCCCAATTTTTGAACGTTCATATGTTTTTATAAATTCGTCTTTTACTTAAACACTCGAAGAGAAATTTCATACCTACGCGCGCCCATGTATTATCCTCTGTTTATCATTGTTTGGAAATGAGAACGAGACGTGATTAAAAATATTTACTTCCCTGTTCAAAAAACCTATATCTTTGACCCCTGAGAGTGCGCGTGACTGGAATCTTATTGCTCCCTTGCAAATCACCCTGAACGTCACAGAAATAAGGAAATGATCACGAACTAAAGAGGCACCAGATTGTTGAACAAATTCTCCTTGTCAGCACCTTGGGAAAGGTATTGAGAACACTAAACAGAATGTGAATATTGATGTTTTAAATCACCACATGTACATTTGATTGAGTTAAGTCCAGGCTTAACCGGCTTTGCAATAATTCAGACCGGGGCTCTCAAGTCATTCATCTTCTTTATCTTTTATCGGTCTCGTTCTGTTTTGGTTCAATCTATCCTTCTTCCCTCTTTGATTCATGTTTACTTGAAAAAACAAATTTTGCGAGGTTTCACTCTTTTCAAAAGCAATTTCTAAGCCGCATAAAATATCTAAAGATATCGTGTAGGGTGGAAATTAAGTATAAGCTGGTGAGCCAAAATTATATGAATATAGTTTGGTCGCAATAAAGAAGCGCCTCATGCCATTATCATTATTATCATAATTATTATTCGAATCAATAAATTTTTAGAAACTGATTTTACTATAAAAATTAATGTTAAAACTACAGTGATGCATGATTTTTTAGTTGATTTATACATTTGTGTGCCCGTAAACATTTATAAATTTGTTTCGATAATGAGCGGTTACAGTTCAGAAAAACTAAGTTAAAACTTGAACACCGGAAACCGCAAAGACAGATGATATCGAGATCGTTAACCGCGTTATCATGGAAGGTATTGATAAGAATAATTTCCAAGGTGGCGCAAAATTTAAAATAGACTTTAAAAAATTATCGTAGGCACAGGAATAAGTTCTCTCAGTTTATGATCTCTTGAATAATCATACTCGTAATTTACAAGTCGGACTCTGGTCTCGTTATAATTATTATTATTATTATAATCATTATTGTTATCATTACTAGTGTTATTATTATGAGAGTATAACACTTCTGCATGCCCAAATCCTTAGCACTATAGTTGGGCCACGCGAGCCGTAGCCAACTCCGTGATAAGGAATTAACCTAAATTATTAAAACTATACTAAAACCCAAATAGTTAAAAATATTTAGACCTAATAAGATTCTTGCTTATGAAAACAGGAAAGAGTTCCTGATGACTGGAGCACTATTGTTATCATTATTATTATTATTATTATTATTATTATTGTTATTATTATTTTATAATTATTATTAATTTTATTTTTGTTAAAGGTATTGGTATTTGTGTCACTAGAATCATAATCATTGAATCTACTTTTCCTTGCCCTCTGGAAGTACGGCACACAGCAGCAAATTACAGTCCCTGTATCTTCAGTTAACCACCTCAGTTAGCTTAAACGTGTCACGACTATGGATCTCATCAACCAATGAAGAAGTCGGGGCAAGCTCACCTGTTCGACGTTGCTGTGTTTAAGTGTTATTTTGGCTTTTGTTCTGTTTGCTTTTTTTTTTTTTTTTTTTTTTTTCATACAGAATTTCCTCTGAAAATAAGAGGTACCATGGGTAGTATTAAACTATTTTTCCTCCATCTCTGAAATGGTTAATTCAATTCATACATGTAAATTGGCATTAGCAGACTCCTGCGAATTATTTCCCCATTGTTGAGTCAATACAAGAATTTAAGAGTTTAGAAATTCTATATTTCCTGTACTTAGGTTATTGGAAAATGCAGGGGAAAATCAGTATTCATTCCTGAAACTTACAGCCGTAATGAAGCAATAGGTGAAAAAGTGGCAAATGTTCTTCGAACTTGGAAAAGAGTGTGAGTAGTGGATTCTGTTTTCGGTAGAGACTTAAGGGGAAACTGGACGAGGCATACATAAAAACACGTACAGATCTATATATATTTTTTTTCCTTTAGGCGCTGTAAGATATTCTCAGAGCCCTTCATCATCGCTTGTCTTCCGTGGTTGAATTAGATTTCTCATCCCCCTTCAGTAATTAAAAATAAGACAAAAGAAAATAAACAGTGCTACAAGTGACCGTCAGAGTGGCGCCATTCAAATGAAAAGAGCGCAATATTTGATCACTTCGGCACATCCGTGTAACGTAGAATCTAATTACTCTGCGAACCCGTAACTGGGCGAAAATTAAATGCTTCCAAAGCTTGTTCTTCCATTCTGATTGCAGAGGCATATATATGCATTTCTACAGGCTTAAATATGGTTACTGGTGACGGCTGTTGATTGTACAAATAGATGTCTGTCTCTCTCAGACTTTATCAAGTTTCCTGAGTTCCGGGCAGTTAAAGATATCATTTATGTATTGATCTGTATGTATCTAATAGGTAGCTAGGTGTGGCTCTCGTGATCTTATCGTTCTGTTTCATATTTCTAGAATACCCTAAAGGCCTCGAAGTTGGGGCATACAACCGAAAGAATATAGCTGCAAGGGCATTTTAAATTTCTTGACATAAGAGTAGATTGACTTTCTTTCAACGTCAGGCATGTCTAGATCGGGTCAGTTATTGTGGTTTTAATTTTTTTTTAAAAGTAAAACTTAAAGGGTTAGGTAACTGCGCAATTTTTATTGTTGATTCCACTGACGTGGGCGTCAAAATCGTGCTCCTTTCTCACAATACAAACGAGTCCTTAAATAATTACTCGTTGACAACCTTCACGATTAACGACATCGGTCTAAAGCGCGTTTGTCAAATCAAAGAAGTTTCATAATCGTTCGCGAGACACATGAACGATCCAACCATTGAAGTTCGCTCCGAGCTAGAATGTCAAATGCGTTAAAAGAAAAAAAAACCGAAAACTGAAAAAATAAGTCTCAAGTCATGTTTCGCGAACGCCGAAGGATCAGTGGGTAACATCTATTCTTGAAATTCAGTTCACGTCGTTATTTGAAATATCAAGTTGTTTTTTTGCACCTGTTATGCAAGATTTCTTAGCATATTGAGTTTCCGCGCCAGTGATACTGAAATCACGCTGAGATTGAACCACTTTCAGCAAAAATTGTGACTCAAGTGAATTGAATGAATTTCAAACGCGAGAATGGAAAGTTCACGAAAAATAAACACCATATCCATGTCGGCAGACCGAAATAATCGATCATCGCAGTAACAAGATTCACCCGAAAGAGAGAAATATAAAACAACAGCATGCAGTGTATGTATATATAAATTCGATTGCTCTTGTAATTTCAAGTCTCACAATATATGATAACAGCTAGTGCGAAGGCACTTTTGTACTTAAATTGGTGTGTTAAACTGATTTCCCTCACGGTTAATTCTGTGGATTCACTCGGCTATCACAAATGTTATAACAATAAAATTATAAATATTTCTGTTCTTTTAGGCAACGATAGTCTTGACTGAGCGGTGCGGTTGATTTTCTTCATCCAGAAAGCATTTAGTTGCAACTGTAATGCATTAGTACATTCGTTGCAATTCAGTTTCTTTGTCAATTTGGAAAGCTAAAAAGGTATATGATGGCATAACATTTCAAGTGAAGCACTGACAAAACAGTTCCCTCCTTCGAATGTCGTTACAATAAACGTTTTATGACTTATTTAAAAGCTTTTAACCCATTAGCGTCTCTCAAGTTATCGGATCAAATTTGGATATTTTCGAACACTTCCAAAATATTGGTTTTTTTTCAGTGATTGCTTCCATGAGGATTGGAATTTTATACACGATCTTGAAGAACAGAGATATATGATAACTGTAACATCGGGGCAGTCCTTGAAGATTCATCTAGCGGCAAAGCGAACAAGGCATTAAAGATATCCATCAAGGAAGATTAACGAAGAGAGTGCTTTCTTCTTCTCTGAGGAATTGTAATGGCCTCTCGGAACGAGCGACAGTAGGATAAATTTTGATGGCAAAAGTATCTATCTTACGGTTGTGAATAGCCACTTTATCAATAAACCAAGCGGCGCTCCAATTTTACACTGTTCAAACAGCATGAAACGGCGCCAGGCAAGTCAAATAATGGCGGGAAAAAAATTAAACACAATTGACATGACCACGTATGTAGTAAAAAATAACCGCAGAAAGCGTCTTTCATTGCTTTTCCAGGGCTTGGATTTTCCTCAAGTGGCTTATTGTCAGCTACGCTTTTTTTTTTTTTTTTTTTTTTTTTTTTAAGCCACAAGGAAAGTAAATGCAGGCAATTTGTATTTCCTTCCGCGAGCGGCTTTTTGCAAACGTCGATCAACATGATCATGTTATCGTTTTCAGAGAGGTTCTCAATGTTATTACAACGTTTGAAATAAGGAAACGGAGAAAATAATACGACCTTACTATTCTTTTATGGCATTTTAAGGCAGCCGGCGGAAAGGATGTCTTAATAAAATGACTGACTGTCATATATTATTACATATATCTTCAATGAAAAGGAAAAATTTTCAGTGGTTTTAATCCACTGTAATTTCTCAAGTAAACCAAGTCTTATTATGAGGCCGCTTGTTCGTTTTCGAAAGGTTTAAGAGTTAGCTGAGAAAAATAAAAAATTTTGACCATTAAAATTTCATGTTCATTATTTCGCGTGTAATTAAAACACGAGATGGGGAAATAATCTCGTCCAATGAGAAACAAGCGCTTTGTCCATCACTTCACTCTTTTTGAATTAATGGCAAATACTATCATTGTCATATCCACAATACGAAAACATCATGAAGTTTGCACACTGCTTCCCTATCGGGACAGTCGTCTTTTCAACACAGTTGCATTGAAAGAACGAGTCGCTCTCCACCTGAAATGCGACGAAGCGATCGCTACACACCGTGTGTATGAAAGAGTAAATACTGCAGATTGACCTGGCAGATTTTTCATGGCTGCGCTGGTTGCTGATGTAACTCGTGTCGATAAACTGACTGAAAAGTTTGGCAGACAGCGGATCGAAGAGGGTTTCGTATACGGAGCTGAAAAAACTGGTTCGCAGCTTGCTGCAAACAACAACGCTGGAGATGCAGCGTTCACAGAACAGCATAGAGCTTGGTTTATCTGCGAAAGGCCGCCCGTAAGAGGCAAACCTGAAAGACGCACTGGCCAAGCGAATAAGCCGCGCGGCGTGAGCCGCAATTTACCGCGTCTAACTCACAGGAAATCGCCTCCGCTTGTCAGTGAGGTACGCATCATTCAAGTTCGAAACAACAAACGGGGTATAAGTCAAAATCAGGACCCATCGGAAAGGGAAGATGAAAGCAAACTTTGTAAAGATAGGTTTTACATTTCTCTTAGAGATAACGACGAAGGATTTGACTTATCTAGCTCAAGTGACGATGAACTGCGAGAGCTCTATTCATGCAAAACCGAATTTTTGGAAGCGAATCCTGATGGTAACTTAGACGCTGCGGAAGAACATTCCATTCGGCTACCAGACTTGGTCAAAGATCAAAGTGACAAGGATGCCAGGAGGAAAAGGAACAAAATTTATCGAGGTAGTTTGAAAAAGAAACTTAAAGTCTCAAGACCTAGTCTTGATCTAGAGAAGATGCTCGCAAGGAGAATGGAAGATATGAGATCTGATAAGGGACCGGAACACATATTCCATCCAATTCATCAGATGTAGAGCCGGGAACTGTTTCGCGAAACAATAACAGGCCAATTGTAATTCACTGGTGAATTTATACGATGTATACGGTTATCGACAAAGATCCTTCTTTTTCCTAAGCCGAGCACCGATAGGTTTTAAATAAAGTTTACTAGGAAGACTTGATTGACTTGAAAAAAAATTGCCAGAATTTGACGTAGCTCAAAAGAAAGCAAATGTGAAATATGGAGGCACTTTTGTGAAGGTACAAGCTCAAAGTAGAAGTACGTGTCAGGTTTGTGTACAGTACCTAATGCATATGTTTCTTAAGAGTGGAACAGGATGCAATACGTTTATGCATTTTGGCATAAAAACGGTACGGGATATTTTCCTTTCGATAAAGAAGTGTATCAGATAAGTGCCGAAAATACTGCAACAAAAATATTCCAGAAAGTGCGATTAAGCTGTACTCCGGAAACAATGCGAAGATGCTAATGTTATACTATCTCTAAACAACAAATATTACTCAGCTCATTTGAATTTTAGATTTGCAGTGAGTTCAATCTTTAGCTGTTTGCCGCAGTGTGTTATATACGACCACAACAAAAAGAGATGCGCTAACTTCTACTGTTCCGAACTAGGGGGTAAAGGGCAAAGTTCACTTTATTGATGTTTTCTAAAGTTTGACAAATCGCAACGAAACATGGATATTAATTCCCTGTGTAAATCTTTATGTGATTACGGACCGGTTTAGTGTCATCTCTTCCACAGAAAATTATTGAAATTAAACTTACAATGGATCCTCAGGGACTCCTGTATTCTTTATATTTCGACAAAGCCTTTTCAAAACGGTGATGTTTAGAACCCTCCTTGCAGACACGAAATATCGAATTTTTCCTGTTGTGTGCGCCTGGATTACGGTGATTTTCAGTTAGTCCTTTTGCTGGCTCGTTCAACGCATTCTCAAAACATACTCGGCTAGATTTATTCTCATCTAGTTTTGGAAAGTATATGTTTAGGCACTTTGCTGCACGCTAGCAATGTTCAGATCACGGATTTAACCGGCATCTTTCTCAGAATCTATTGACAATTTTCGCCTTAATGCATGTTATGACCTCCTCAGCGCCGGCCACGCCGCTGTTTTGGGGCTCGATGCAAAATGGCCGGACTGACAGATAAGGTTGGCGCTAACTACTCTTCATCAGCAAGCTATTGTGTACTGGTAAAATCGTTTTAACTGTGGCTGGATTGATTTGAATAACAAGTATTTACAACGATCAGGGCTGTCAAAACTAGCACGAAATAATTGTTTGACAGATATGGGTAGGCCCACGTGTTCTCGGGAGCTTTGAAAACCAAGGAACAAGGCAAGAATCTTTCATTAAATAAACTTCTCAACCAACTTAGAAGGGAAATTAATGACATTAATGACCGTTGAACTGGACAGGTCAAATCATGATACTGAATTAAAATTACTTGCTAAACTCCAGCTACCCACTCAGAGTGACGGTGTGATTAAGTTGCGCAATGCCTATAAGGTGATTCGACTAAAAGATCCTTGATCAAACTTCATCTAAGGAGAAGTTTGTGATGCGGTCGAACCTGTATTTAGCGGTCACTGACGGGTAATGAATCCTAATAGAGGTTGACCGCTACATGCAGGTTCCACATATTAGGGGCATTATAAAAAACGATGAACGATGAACGATGTCACTTTATGGCATAACTGACTACTTAACGAACAGAATCTCGCTCGAAAATACTACTTATTTTGATTTTGGGCGACAAACATGGATTAAAAATTACTTGAAAGATTATTATCAATTTAATTCGAGTGGTCCGGCTTTAAACGTTCAGAACAGATAGAAGACGATACAAACAGGCCGTTGTGACACAGGCTGTTGGGACTCAGCAAAGGGTGACTGCGAGCGATTCATAGAGGTGCAAATGACGGTGATTTTGGGGAAACAAATTCGGGACTTTAGCAACCGACCTCCTGATACAATGTGACCGCTTTTTCGGTGCCGCTAAATACAGGTTCGACTCTATTTGCTTTATGTTCTGTGCTGTAACCATAGCCAGGTAGTAAAGTTGGAGGGCGTAGAATTAAGAATGAAAAAAAATTGGTTAAACGATCCTATGGGTGCCTGCGTTTAATACTCTTTCAACAGATTTTCTGTAATTTTACTGCGGTTTTCGCAATAAAAGATAAATTTACGAATCTGGATCAATATTTTTAATTAAAATAGATTTCCTACTCGTCCATTCTTAGAGCTTTCAGATGAATGTTTTGTTCTGTTAATTCTAGACTAAGACTTACCCTCCAAAAGTCTCTTATTTTTTAATTGAAAACCTAATCCCGTATGATCTGGTAACCATGTGCAGAGACAATTAACAACATACGTGGAACAAAAATTGTTCAAAGTAAACAAAAAACGGCTTAAAAAGTCAAAAGTTATGTTCTTGAATGTATGTGTTTTAAGCCTGACCTGACCAGGCAACCTGAAAGTTCAAAGAAGTATGTAAGTCATAAAGCACAGACATAAAAACGTTTATGCAAACGACAATGCGCCTTTCTTCTTTCTGATCTTTCGTCACGAAACATAAGCATTGGTAAGTAGATCCTCGACTGATCGCACGTGCTTCTTCGTCCGTTCTAAACCTTGCACGTGTTGCGACTCAATGTTTCAAGGACGTCGATTTTTCAAAAATTTTAATTCAGGTGACAAGAGTCGATACAACCGAGCGCGTGTTTCTCTTCTTTTCGATCTTTTATTTCAGGGTAGCTGGCATCGATTAGAATATCGTTCACTGATCTAACGCGCTCTCTATTTTTATCGTAGACCTCGCACGTGTATCAGCCAAGCTCTTCTTAGCAAAAACGTTATTTTAAAATTTGCAATTAAAATTTAATAGACTTTTTTTGTCTGGAATATATTGAAGATCAAGGGAAAGGCGTATTGAATATAATTTTTTTATAGAGTGTGTCGTTCGGTTTTCACTTAGATCTCGAACAAAAAAATAGAATGGCGATTGGAGTAACTGCAGAGAACCAAAGCTTAAGATCCATAGTTCTATGTTAGCGCCCTAGCTTGTCCGGCATGTGTCATCAAAAAAGATAACTTTCAGGTTTGCATTTACAATGTCCGTCTCCAACCAGGCGTGTAAATGGATTTAAGAAAACTGTCAGGCAAACCTTCGGTTCGTATGCTTTATAAAGATCATAAACTACTCTATGCCGTTTTGCTATTACTTCAAGTCAGCTGATGGTTTGAAAATTTTATTTTATTAAGCTGAAGGCTAAATTATTGACGCTGCTTTTTTAAAACAGCTGAGCAACGCGGTTGCAAACGTCCAAGTGGGCGGGAATCACGGTGCGTGGTTAACAAGCAGCTGTCGCTTTGGTTTTCGTAAAAGAATCATTATTTGAGTAAAGAATACTTATTGCGGTAGTTCCTAACAGATGCAAAGGAGAAAAAAAAACAGAGGAGTGAGACTGTTTGGCTTCAGGTAAGCGTCCAGGTTGCTAATTAATTATAAGGTTCAAAGTCGCGGCTTCCCTCTCTTTTCTATTGATGCAGTTTTGGAGAATTTATCGTGATCTCACGTTGACATGAATAACTTTGACAGAGAAAGTCCCGATAATGTTGGGAGTGAGTTGTAATACATGGATTACTAGACTGTGCAGGGATCTCTTTGAAAACGCAATTGTATACAAACTACAGAGCGAATGACTGAGTCTAACTCTGTCGGCTACACCCTAAAACAAGTTTATTCTGACAGATCAGCAAAGCAAACACGGCAAGTTTGTAATTTAAAGCTTCTTTGCAATTCTTTCCTCCCATTACTTCGTGCTCTATCTGCTATCAGTCTTTTTCAGTTCGGAGTAAAAACAATTCGTGAAAATTTGAGACCGTCAACTACTGGCAACAGATCTCGGGAATCTGACCGGGTGTGAAAAAAGCACACTACAAAACCCCAGAAACAACTAAAAGAGATTAGGAAAGCCTACCAGATAAACCCAGTTGATCCAAAATTAATTTGATTTTATCAAATGAGTTTAAAATGTCAATCGGCTCACGACCTTCTAAAGCTGACGTTTCGAGAGTTAGCCCTTCATAAGAGAAACTGACGAGGGGCTGGCACCCGAAAAGTCAGCTTTATAGACTTTATACTATGGCCAATTTACATTATAAACTTAGTTGTTAAACAAAATTACCATCCAACACTCCCCATCGACGCAGCACCACACTTCAGTACTCCCTTGATCTACAGTTAGCCAGTGACATGATGGATATTGCGCAAGAAATTTTTCATCTATAGTTTTTTATCCGTGGTTAATTTTTTTCTTAAACGAGTTTGAAATGCAAATGTATTCTCCTTTAACAATTGAGAGCATAACCATAGGAAATTTCAACTGGTTGTGACACCTTTGCTCTTGCCAACCCCTTTGTTAGGTGAATCATCCCCTTCACAACTGTTCTGTTATGTATATTTCATAAGCTATGTCTAGCTTAAGCTTGTTAGCTATTACTGCCGGCTAAAAAGCCTCCTTCAAGCGAGGAAAGGAAAGAAACTCTTACGTAACTGGTTAGGTAATGTGACCGATAATTTCGCTAGGGAATATCACTCTACCATGTTGCTTTTCACAGTCTTCAGAGAGTTTACATGACTGGGCATGAGTTGCGTGGAAGTTTGAAATTTAAAACACAGAGTAGAAAAGCACGGATCGGGAAATGAGGAGAGGTACGTTTGTTAATGATGGTATAGCTCTCAGTAAATCATAAGTTAGGGTTTGTTTTCTGGATAGTTACGACAAACGATCGTTCCTGACAAAACTCAAAATATTCATTACATGTTAGAAGTGAACGAGAAGAAAAAGATGAAGAACTGACTCGATTATCAAATCAAACACACTGGTGATTGATTTCTATTTGTGTATAAATTTTTTTTTAATTTAACGTTTTGAAAATCATATTTTCCCTTATAAAAGTGATTAATTTATAAAGTTACAAGTATCTTACAAGTTTAGTTATATG